CTTCCTAAATTCGAATATATTAATACGTATAAGAGTCTTTAACTATTATAGGTTATAGGCTTAGGCTATAGCCTAAGCCGTATAGTTATATACGGAGGGCCGGATCCTATACGTATATATATAGGCCAGCCGCGTATAGGAGAGCTCTATATAGCTTATTAATATTATCCTACGGACGGCACCTACGCGTACGCCTCTGCCTACTCCGTAATAGTATAAGCTATTAATTAATAGATCTAATAGATATCTCTCTAGGGAGGGCGCCTCCCCCTCAAGGAAGCACTCCGCCCCTCCCTAGACGGATAGGAAGTATCGCAGCTATCCTAGAAGCGATTAGAAGCGCGACGGCTAGCGAGAAGGACGAGGTTCTCGCTGCACTAGGGGAGCCGTCTACGAGACCGGCTTTAACCCCTACGACCTCCGTAACGCCGGTTACGGCGGTCTAAAGGTATATAAGCAAAAGCGGAATTTTAGGAAATCAAGGAATCACGTAAGACTAAGTGATAGAGGGGAAGAAGGAGTATAAGGTAGGATTTTCAACGGAATTTATTAGTAGTGTATTAGTGTATAGAAGAGGTGTTAAAGTTAATAATCCTATCTCTATCTACTAGCGGACATGCTGTCTTATATAGACAATTGTAGCTAAACGGAAGAACCTTTCGGGACTAGATTTAGGCTGCCGTATAGCCCTAAGACTAGGGAATTCCGTGATACCTCGAGTAAGTCTAGAAGTGTCTTAGTTCTACTAATATTCGTGTTTAAAGGAGGTTGGTCGTGTCGGTGTTCTTAAGAGGTCTTAGCTAGTATTCTAAGCTAGCTCTGTTCCTTCGATTCCCGATTATATAATAACCGGCAACCCGTTTAATGCATAATAACATGCAAAATAACGAGCGATTCTTGCTCTATAGGATGAGATTTTATCTATAATTAATATACTACTTATTAGCTTATATAATTAGGAGAGTATATTATAGCTGCTTTATTTATAGTAGGAACACCGTTCCTTATATTAACCGTTAATAAACCTAGCTAGCGGGATTCCTTAGCCTTACCGGCTCTATTAGATACTATACTAAGGCATTCTAGCCTATTTATTAACCCCCTAACTTATAGGTAATAAGGTATATAAGAACTTACCTATACTATTAGGGCTACTAGTCTATACTTTAGCTATAAATATAACGACGGCGTTAGTTAACGGAAGTATATTAAGAAACCGCGAGTTATCTATATCCTAACTATTATAACTATCGCCCTTACCCCTAACTTAGTTATCTATATTATTAGCCTTAGATTCTATATTAGATAGAATCGTTATTAGCGTATTTAAATATCGCCTATAAACGGCGGGTATATAGTTTAAGCCTACTTCTACCCTAGGAGATAAAGCTTATCGCGAGGTTATAAAAGTAAATAAATACTACTACTACGTTAATAGCCGCGGTAGCCTTAGCTATAGCTACTTCGTCTACCTACCGCCCCTTAAGGGAGGAACCTAAAAGGCTTAGCTATCGAGAGTAATAGTAAAAGTTATTATTAAGGTAGGCGAATCTTTTATAAGAGTAAGTAACGCTATTTACCTACGAATAGTTAGAGAACTTTACTAAGAAGTATTATTAAGAGCACGAGTGCTAGATGCCTTAAATATATAAGTAAGCCGCGCTTACTACTCTAGCTAACGCTCCCCTTACCTCGGCTTAAATATACTCCCTAAGCTTTAGGTGCTCTTAGGCTTTCGTATTATTCTATCTAGCTATCCGTCTGAAATAACGTATAGGGCTAGACCCGCGTAAGCTAGCCTCTTATTTCTCCTATTACTCTCTACTAATTATATAGCTATCGGACTATACTAGACGCGGCTAGAAGGATACTATAGAATCCTCCTCGTAACCTTACTATAGACCGGCTTATACTATTAGCGGCCCGTTATACTTAGTAGCTCCGAGTTAGCCTTAAGCTCCGTACGTTAGTCCTTAATTAGTATTAGTGCTCCCGTCTTATTATTATATTCTACGGCCTAGATTAAAGGATAAGGCTCGGCACCTAGTTATAGGTGTCCTTAGAGCGCCTTTTCTTAGCTTACGTTTAGCGTAGTAATATATACCGCGTCGCCTTTACGCGACCCTCTATTAACGGCTAAAATTAATAAAAAAGGGCTTAGTTATGCCTTATATAGTATATCGGTAAGAGTCCGGCCGAGGGAACGCCGGGCTATGTCCCTCGTATTAATAGACTATACGCTAGCCTTTCCTCCTTATATTATACTAGTCTATAGCGCGAAAGGGTAATTTAGCTCGTTAGGGATAGCGCCGGTCTAGCTATATTAGTTAATAGACCTACCCCTTATATTATGCGTTAGCGCTATTAGTAACCGCGTATTTTTATAACTAACTAAGGGGCTTATAGGCTTCCTTTACCTACTAAATAGGGGCTAGCGTCCGGAGGGGCAGCTATAACGGTAAGAGATAAGATAGTCCGAGGTTAGGTTAGGGATAGAACGTATAGCTAGACGGATAATAATACCTAGATATAATAGCTTAATTTAAGTTAAAGAAAGCGTACTATATAACGATAAAGATATATATACTTAGTAGTAGTAGTAGCGGCGGCGGTATTTCTAGAAGAAAAAGGCGTAAACGCGTTTAGCGGGTGAGGGCGAAGCGAAGAGGTCTATATAGAGGTCGGCGGTAGACTAGCGGTATAGGCGAGATAAAGACGGCGTGTATAAGGAAGGCGGGCGGAGGCGGAGGATAGGGTGCGGCAGTAAGGGCCGAGCGTATTATAGAAGGAGAGAGAAGTTAAGAGTATATATCGACGAGCGAGGGCAGGTATTAAGATATTTATATTCCTACTATATCGAGCGTTATAACTAGGATCACGGGCGGGGTTAGGGCGGCGGCGGCGCGATACCCGATCGGGGAGGGGCTATTTCTAGAGGCGGAAGCAGCGTATTAGAGATTACTTTTTAATAGCCTTAATAGTATACTTAAAGCTATTTTAGGCCTTTATAAAGCTTTAAAATCACGTCTCTTTAAAGCTAGGTAAGGGTATAATATAAGGGCTTTTACCTTATATAGACCTAGACTAGAGTCTAGGCTAAGCCTATATATAAGCGGCCTCTACGCCTATATAAGCTAAGCTTATACTTCTCTTTCTTTTCCCTTTTATAGATTATTAACCTTCTTTTAACGGACTATACCTAAGCCTATACTTTTACTTACTCTATAATAGCTTAGTACTTAAAGAAGCTCGCTATAGGCTATAATTATTAATAAAAAAGAGTCGTATTATAATAAAGACCCTATTAATATCTTACTTATATATACTTAACCGCTTAATAACCGCGGCGCTATTCTCGCGGAGGAAGCCTTAGATAAAGTTATATACCTCGTCGTAGGTTTCGAAGCTTAAAAAAGGTAGTAGGGGCGGGATCGTATCTTTATATTCTTAGTAAGTCTCGCGGGTATTATAGGCATTATTTAAGAGGGAGAGAAAGGGGTCTATCGCAGCGCTAGTAGTAATAGCTTTAAATTTAGTATATATATATAGGTTGTATATATACGGGTTATATATATATATATGCGGGCGGGCATTTAGGCGGTACGGGTACTTGCTAGGCGCGCGCGGTATAAATAGGCGGGGCGGGCTGGCTTTAGTACGTATCTTAAAAATGGGTCGAGTGTGCAAATAGCAATATGCTATTGTGTAAATAGCAACACTCCTGTTGATCCCCGCACATCATACATATATACAGCCACACCCGCGGACTCTCTCCTTCATAAAGGACAGCGCAATCTACAAACACTCTCTCTCAATGCAAGGACCCGATAACCAGAGATACCTACAGGCCGCCGTACCCGGCTAAGCTGCGAGGGACACGAACGACCAACGCCGACGGAAGAATCGTGCCCGCGCGACCTGACCCGGACAGCTTGTACGTTCAACTATCGCGCTGCTGGATGCTTGACGGCATCGTGCTAGTGTCCAAGATGCGGGAGAGAGACGTGGTGGGGACCGGTTTCCCGAGGAAGTGACCGCCGCACAAGTCAGGCTGGAGGAACTGAGCAAGCGAACTGTCAAAGAGGCGGTGCAGTAGTTGGACGACGACTCTGAAGAGTCAAGGCGGCCGCCATTGGGTGTGACACAATAAAGGGGGAGAAAGCGCATGGAGAGTTGGAAGAAGGGCACACTACCCGCACAAGAGCAGTACCCCTGTTTGGACGAATTGGTGACGCGGGTTGTAACGGGCGAATCGGAAGGGCCCGTTCACAGCTCTTTCCTCTCTTCGCTCCCCAAGGCAAGGCATAGAGGGCAGAGAGGCGGTGCCCGTCTGCTGCGGCTGGCGTGTGCAAGCGTCATCGGCGCGAGCGGCTTCGGCTCTCATTCAATAGATGCCGCACCGTATTGCCGACTTGTCATATCCAGATCCGTCTCGAGAAGCAGAAATGCGCTCCAACTGCATTGCAGACTGCGCAGGAGAAGTGAATTTTATTTTTGACTGCAGTCCGGCGACTACAAACGCCTGAACATCTTGAATTGTTGCTCACTATGCCAACCATCTTGAAACACGGTGCCAGGTTGGGAGTAAGCTTCGGTTACCGGTGTACTTCACATGACGTTCTCCTGGAGAAAGGCACCATGACCTCGGCTATAAAACACGTTGCTAGAGCACGTGACTAGTCTCGTGATCCTCCAGCATCTGACAAGCCTCTGGACCACGTACGTAACTGTGAAGCTAACATCCATCTACTCTACCTAAATACGCGCGTGTTCCAGTGCAAGGCAGCTTTTATCCTAAACCGCGCCCTTTAAAATTTGTATACTTTCAAACACTAGAGCGAGCACGAAAAGCCGACGGCTTCGCCATCACTCTTGGGCCAACTGTACCGAGGGACACGGAAGGGCACAGCGCGCCTCGGAAGCCGAAAGCCCGTCTCCGGCACGGCCCCAGGACTCCCCCGGACCATCCTGACCCGACGCCCCCTTTCCCGCCAGCAGCCATGAGCGACGGCTCTGATCCCTTTGCCGGCGGCAGTCCTGACGACAAGATCAACGCCTGGCTCGAGCTGACCAAGAACGATGGCGGCCACCTCAAAGCCGGCGTAAGCAACTGTCCCCTCCCCCCCCAACCTTTCAAGTCCGTCCTTTCTCTAACAACCTCCCCTTCTTTCATCTTGCACCCCCCCCCCTCAGGATTGGATGGCCGCCCTTGCCCCCTACCTCCGCGTCCAATCCACCTCCCCCTCCATGCCCCATCCCTCCGTCACCTTCACCTACACCGTCCAGTCAGACCACTGCAACCGGCTGCAGAGCCTCCACGGCGGCGCCGCCGCCACCCTCTTCGACTTTTGCACCACCATGCCCTTAGCCCTCGTCAACCGCCCGGGCTTCTGGCAGTTTCTCGGCGTCACCCGCACCCTCAACGTTACCTACTTTCGCCCGGCCCGCGCCGGCGAAGAGGTCCTCATAGAGTGCCAGATCCTTCAGATTGGCAAGAGGCTCACTTCCCTGCGTGGCGTCATGACGAGGAAGTCCGACGGCCAGATTCTGTCCATTTGCGAACATGGCAAGGTGAATATCGATCCCGAGCCTAACTTATAGATCAAGACGGCCAGGACCCCGAGGGGGCGGTACAAGCAAAGCCAACATGTATAATTCTTCTGGACGCTACAACGAGGTAGAGGCGGCTCGAGTATAATAAACCGCCACGGGTGCGACGCGCTCAAGCTTGCCCAGGTCAGGTATACTAGCCCTGTCCAGCCTGCTGCATAATGTCCGCCACCTCGAGCTGCGCGTCCAGCAACAGCCCCGGGAGCTCGTTCGAGACGGGCTCGCCGTCAAAGTCCTCGTCCATGTCGTCGTCCTCTTCCTCGTCTTCATAGTCCATTTCCGCCTCCGGGTCCGAGTCGTCCATGTAGGCCATGGTGGTGTACGCCAACAAAAAGTCGTTTGTCAGCAGGCTTTGGATCGTGTCGTTTGTTGCCGAGGATTCGCTCGCCTTCCAGAAAGCCGTCGGTCCCACCGGTCCTTGGGCATCGTAGTCCCTGCAGGCAGAAACGTAGCGTCAGCAAGAGCCCAGCAAGTGCACCATGGCCGGCCCACGTACTTGTCAAACCAGTGCCCGACGACTCCGCGCGCCGATCTGAGGCCGCCAATCTGAATCCCTTCGCTGCGCCAGCGCTCTTCGCCTTGAAAGACGGAAATGGTCGTCCACCTGACTTCGCCTTCTTTTGTGAGGCGTACGGTGCCTTTGGACACGAGCGCTTTGGAATCAGCTCAGTTTGCAGGCCGGCATTGGGCCTTGGGGGCGCCCACTCACCTCGGAGATCCGAGTTGGCGTTATCATCCCACGAACCGTCAAGCGGGCGGGACACGCCCGTAAAGTGCACCACGGGCAGTTCTTGCCCATCGTCGGGCCCGGGGGATTGGATAGCCGTGACGCGAGCCCTCATGATTATCAGGCGCATTTCCTCGCCGACACTCAGGGGAGGCCGAGGAGCGTCATCGGGTATGTCGACGCCGACGGGGAAGTTATACTTGAAAAAGTCGTTGTAGTCGAGATAGCAAATGGCCTAGAACCCTGTCAGCTGTCAGGCTCGTGCAGGGCATCGTCGATGGAGGTTTACGAACCCGGTACCAAGTTCCAGTCACGCCGTATGGGTCACTCGCCTCCAGCGGCGAGAGCTCGACCGTCGGGGAGGGTATGTAGCTCTTCGGCCAGGACCCGGAAAAGGGACAGTCCCAAACGTCACCGAAGAGCTTTGTCACGCGTCTCTGGTTGAGATTTTGGCCTAGGACGACGAGAATGGCCTCCACCTTTTCCCAGTCGACACGACCCGTCGCATCGTTCATGAAGGGCCCCCATCTGGTAAGAACAGTGTACTGACGTAGGTCGTACACCTTGGACACGGCATAGGGATACGTCCTCGTCGACCTCAGCCGACCCAGGTTGGTGATGGGCCTGCCGTATAGGCAATGCAACTTGGCGCTCTGCTGGTGCTCCTGCTTTACAGAATCTGCCCAGCGCATTGGGCGATGGCATTCGTTTCGGACCCTCTCGAAGAGAAAAGAACGCTGGAGAAAGGCCTCGCGAGTCGAAGGCTCCTTGAAGAGCTCGGCGAGGAACTCTGCATTGCGAGACGCGGCATGCGTATGGGAGATTTCAGTAGTGTGCCTCAGCGAAGAGGCATGCTTGAGCAGTCGGTTCAGGGTCTGGGAGACAAAGTCCAGTTCATGTTCCTTTTCAAAATCAGTCTCAGTGCCATGGCGGGCGCAGTGGCAATCGAGCTCACCTTGTCCGCGACCGTCTTTCGTCGGCAGATGACTTGGAGGCGCACCACATCTCGCAATTCCGTTTCCCAGTCCAGTTTTGTGTCTTCGGGTGTGTCCTATAGCGATTCAGTGCACCCTTGCCCGAGGGCGGTGGGGCTTGGATCAGAGAAACCAGGAAGAGGAAACCCACGAGTACGTTTAGGTAGACGTCACGGCACAGCCGTCGGTTCTTGTAGGCGAAGGCCCGGAAAATGCGACAAACACGGGGGAGCAGAAGGAGGTCGTGCGGGCGGAGCCACTGGAAGATGTTGTGAAGAATCTCCGGGGGGAGCGACACGAGATGCGCCATGTTGTGAGGCGGCGTTGTCCACAGGCCGCCCACGCGATGATGGAGTAATACTTTGCTTTTGCCGGCCAGGCCGCCGACAGGTTTGAATCGATGAGCTCTATGGATGAAGAGCCGCGGGGACGGATGGTAATTGATGAGTGGTGAAGCCAAATAAACGGTAGCGTCGGACTTTATGCCTTCGGTTTCTCCAGCTCCGACGGCACTAATAACATTCACGCCTCGCGCGTGGGACGTGCGGGAGTATCTTACTCACACAGTGCAGAGGGCGGAGTACCCGGTTTCAGTGGAGATCAAAACTCGACGCTCTCTCTCTCTATACAAGATGAAACCGAATGCAAATTCACCGCTTCAGTCTTTGTCATTCAATCATAAATCCAAGAGGAAACAGCGACGCGCCAAGCCAAAGACCTTGCTTCTCTCGTCACGTCCTCATCATTTGTCTCATGGATCCAGAATCTCCCGAGTCTAGAGTTCCAACCGTCAACGGCATCAACGCCCCCAAGCCTGTCTCAAGACGTCGCAGCTGCATGCACTCAAGTATTGGCCACCGTCAATGCAATCCCGCCAGATCCAGAGCGGTGCCCGTCATGCTGCTTCGGCACATGTAACAAAGGAAAATGGCCCATCCCTTTCAATGCTTGTCCAAATCGATATTCCCACTTCTTGCCTTGCCCTTTGCACGAGATCCCATCTCCCTCGCTCATATGACCGTGCCGCCCGCATTGAGCTTGATGCAATTGCTCATAAGATTTGCCGCCTCGTGAAGCAGTTCCCACTGGGTATTTTCAAACGAGTCCTTGAGCGTCATCAGCAGCGCCGTGTTCTGGTTGATGCCCCTCATGGACTGCAGCTCGCTCGGGTCCGCGATGCTGCCGAACCGCAGCAAATAACTTCGCATCTCTTGCTGGACTTGATGAGGCGACGTCGCGTGCCTGGCATCTGTGCCCGGCCCCTCCAGAGCGAACCCGTAGCACCAAACGATGAGCGCTGCAAAGTAGAGCACCCAAGGCCGGTTCATCAACACGTCGTATCGCGCCTCGTAGGGCCTGTCTGGATACTGCCTCCCCACGGGCAATCCGCCATCCGCCCCAGGCAACAGCACCGAGCTTAGGAACTTGAGGGCATAGAACGTCGAGTCTCTGGCCCCGGCCGATGGCGCCCAGGTGTCCCTGGTCCGGCGCTGGGCCGCACTGAGCTCTTGCGGAGCGATGGTGCGCCCGAGGAGTCGCTTGGCGCGAGCGAATATCTGGCAGTTCACAACATCGGCGTGCATGGCCATGTGCGCAAGGTGATGCAAGACTGTGCGGCTCGCGAAAACAATGTTGAATTCGTGCTTGACCGCATCGTGCCGGTACGGGTCGCTCGATGGCTCGCCTTGCTCAAGCGCCCGGTCAAAGTTGGCTTTCCACGAGTCGTACGCCTCGGTCAGCGTGGCTCGCCACTTGTCGCGGCCGCACAAGGCGTGAGTGACTCCCCCACCGAGGATGTTGACCTGTAGATCTCTTTGGTGCATGTGATATGTCACACTGAGCAGCCCGGCCATGAGGACCGTCCGCCCAAATGACGTCGTCCGCACCTCCTGGTGGCTCAAGGTGCGTTTCAGGCCCTCCAGAAAGGACATCGGCTTGAAGCCCTGGGAGAGAAGATTGGACTCGATCCGGGCCACCTGGGCGCTGCTCTTGGCTCGCCACAGTGACTCGTCGCACGGCAGTGCCAGTCGCAGCTCGTGAGCAGCCATGACCCCGGAATGGCCAAACATGGTAGCGTGAGTCGTGTCGACAACAAACGCCGCAAACGCCGCCCGACGGGTCGCTTCGCCCACGATCCAGTGACTCCACCATTCCTCGGCTGTCTGCGCTGGACCGCCAGCAAAGGGGTGCTTCGATCCAGATTGGCCGTCTTGAGGGTTCGGAGGCGAGTCCAGGGTCGACTTTCCGATGAGAGACCGGCCGCGCCGCATCAATGTGATTGTGGTCGCATGGTGAATGTGGGCTCGCTCATGTAGCTCTCGTGTCGAGTACATCTTTTCGTACAGCTCGAGAAGGATGAGGGCTTGAAAGACCCACAGCTTCGCCGGGGGCCGAAAGCTCCAGTCCATGAAGATTTCCCATCGTAGATGCCGTGCGAGAAAGTCGGAGATGTTGATGCCGGTTGTTGTCACCTGCTGCTCATGTGTTCTGTCAAGGCCGGCAGCTCCCAAGGCCATCATGGCCAGAATAAGTAGATTAGGGGTCTGGTCCGAAGAGAAGGTGGGCTTGTGCAATATGGGCAACTGGTCGCTGAAGTGGTACCAGTAGGAACAGATGTACGTTTGCATCATTCTGCGGCTCAAAGGGTGATGGCCTTGGCTGCGGTCTCCTCCGATGATGCTCTCCCTCCGGCGGTCGATCGGGGGCACGTCATTTTCATGAAAGCGATCCTTTATGAGGTCGAAGAGTTCCTCGCTCTTATCCTCTGAGAGGCTGCCTTGGGGCGCGTTCTGATCGAGCAGATTGTGAACTGCCATGACCTGCTGAGGTTCGGGAGGAAAGTACCCTACGGATGCGCTTTCGTCGACGAGACATGGCATAGAGTACTGGTGCCTTTGTAGATCGCCATAACTACATCCAAGGTCAGTCGAGACTTGGCATAAGGACGGGCCATTACGTACTTAGGCGCCGCAGCCGGCACCACGGGCCCAGCAGGACAGGCACTGCTGGGCAAGGCATTAAAAAGGTATGCCATGAAATCCTCGGGCATGCCGACGTAGGGTGACTTGTTCAAAGCCTCGTCGTCTCCAAACACCGGCCCTGCTCTCGGCATAGCCATCTGGTCGAGGGCCATCATCTCCGAGGGCGCGCCACGGATCGATCTCGGGTATTCGTGTAGCGTAGCCGCGACGTACGGGTGGCTCGGGTCGCGTGACGGAGTATTGCCCTGGTTATTGTGATATGGGCCAGGCGTCAAATGCATCGACGACTCGTTTTGCTGGGGGATTGGGGGCGCCGAGGGGTGTGACGTGACGTTGGTATGGTAGATGGCAGGGCCGGTCTCACGTTGGCCGAAGGCATCGTAGGGCTCCAGGTCGGACTGGACGGAGAGACAGGATTGTGCCGTCGATGAGTCTTGCGATATGCTGTGTGGGGGGATACGCTCATTTGCGGCATCGGGCCCGTAGCCCTCGGCGACACTGGCAGACGGAGTCCCGCCATGATGTCCTGCTGGTGGCGTGTTGCTCACAGGCGTGTACGGGCTGTACTCCGACTGTTCCTGGGGCGACTGGTCTCGCTGGGGAGGTCGATGTGCGAGGCCGCCTCCGGCGTCAAATTGTCTGCCCTCGGGGGAAGTGGTCGAGGCAGAAGCAGAAGTCGCATGCACAGGATGGTTTGTTGTTGAATCTCTTTGGCCGAGCTGGGGGCCTCGTGCGGCGTGACGGTCCATGTGCCGCCTCAGCAGGTCCCCGCGAACAAAAGAACGAGGGCAATCAGGGTACTCGCAGCGGAAAGTCTGGTTCGAGTTGTGATTCAGCTGGTGACGATGTCTGCGCCATGTCAGTCGCGCCAAGGGATGCAGGGTACGCAGGAACGCGGCGTAGCGGGTGAAGCTTGGCCGCTTACAGGTGCTCTGCCCTTGAATAGCTCTTTCCACAATCTTCCATTGGGCATTCAAACCTCTTGCCGAGTCCCTTCCGGCTGCGCTTCCTCTTGGCCACGGGCACATCTAAGCTTGACGGGGCATCTGTCTTGTGCGCGCGGGGATCACCCACTGTATCCCCATGTGGTGGAGAAATGCCTTGCTCAGGGGAGAGGATTTGTTGCCGTTGGGGAGTAAAGGCTTGGCCGGCGCTCGAGGCTGAAGAGTGGTTGTATCCGTCGAGGACATGGCCCATGTTGGCAACCGATGTTGCGGAAGAAAAGGTAAAGGCAGGCTGGTCGTCACCAAGATGAGTGTGCGCCACAGAAGACATGGTGCAGAGCAAGGCGGGGCAGAGACCAAGGGCCGCCCATGCCTTGGCCCGTAGAGTCGCGAGATGGGAACCCGGTCACCCCGGAGTAGCAGGCAGTGGCCACTAGCAGAGAGCTCAAGGCCTTGCAGACAACGTCATGCCCGTCACGGCAGGCGTTTGCGGGCGTTTGCGGGCGTGTTGCGGGCAATGCGCAAGAGGGAGCCTCGGCGGCTCTGATCAAGGGGTCGTCAATTCGCCAGCCGCTGTGGACGAATCGGCACGCATGCCTCAAGAACCATGCCGGAAAAGACTATCGCCTCTGACTTGCAGGGTTTCCGGGGGCCCGAGGCGGGCATCCGAGGCGGCCGCTCGGCAGAGTGAAGATGACGGGCTGTCGAGTGGTCAGCTGGACTTGGGACAGAGCAGACAGCAGCAGTTCGGGTGTCTGGGGGACGGGGAGGCGGATGAGGCTGTATCCACAGGGCCCAAGCGCGGGAAGCCTTGTCGAGACCTGGCGGACAGGTGACGAGTGATGCGAGTGACGGGAGCGACCAACGAGGGCAAAGAGGTGCTGGCGTGTGGGCAGACATTCCGGACAAGCCCAGGCTCGAGCGTCGTCAAGCTTGCCGGTGCGCGCAGTGCAGGCCGAGGGCGAGGCGAGGCGAGACGAGGCGAGGCGATGCGGCTCGAGGCTCCGTTGCGGCGTCGTCGGTTCCGACGGCAGCGACAGGGTCCTCGCAGCGGGCTGGGTGGTGGCGACTGGCGGCCGGGACGGCGTGGGTGAGGCAAAAGCAAGTCGATGCTTGCGAGTCGCGTGGAGCAGAGACAGGCAGACGCGTGGGTATGCATGTACCTACCGAAAAGGCTGGCTCCTGCTACCTGGACAGGCGCGTCATGAAGCATGCAGCCGATATAGTGTGCGTGATGCCGCGGGTTGAGGTCCAGACGAGGAGGGGTGAGGTGACGATGGGATCTTTTGGTTGGTGGCTGAGCTCCTACTTATTACCTACCCGATTAATTACCCACCTACCTTAGAGGTATGGTGGGGTCTACCAAAGTGCGTTCGCATTGAATTATCTCCAGGGCATCATCCATCAGACAGCCAAAGTGGGGTAACAAAAAACACGACACACGCTGAATGAAAGCTCATAGGAAAACACAAACTCGCTAACAACTAAGCGTTAGAAAAACATGTAGTGCTAGTAGTAATGCATTTGTGACATTTCTTTTCAGAAATTTTACATTATCTTTACGTTATATCTTATAAATGACGTATTCTCACCCCTGATTCCTGTAGGATATCATCGTCGACGATTGGTACCGGGCCGATTTGGGCTCGTCTATGCCGCTATGTGGTACGTCCTGCTTCGTTGGACTGAGCTGGCCTGGACCTGGCCAAGACTGATGCCAAGTCGAGTCAAGAGGCCGCATCAGAGCTTATGCATGTCGGACATCACTGAAGGCGAAGTGGGGATCCATAAAGCACTTGCTGGTGGCACTGGTCCTTTGGCTTCCATGAGCTCCTCGGCCTCTCTCTCGAATATATGCTGCTGTATTTCACTCATGTCTCGATGCCGTGGCTGGGCCGAAAAGCTGCAAACAGCAAGGACAAGAACGACTTTGACCGAGGAGATGAAGATGAACCTGTCGACGAAGACACTGTGAGGGCCTACCTGAGTACACCACTCTCGAGCGGAGGAAATAGGGGCTTGAGAGCACAGTACTCCGTAGGTGAAAACAGGGATGCATGTCTTGGTCTATCTATCGGGACGAGCGAGGGCCTTATATAGGTAGTCATCTAGGCCCACATGGGGTATCTATACCTAGCCAAAGGAGGCATTGTGATGTTCCTATACATAAGTCATGCCCCTCATACGTTTTGCTGCTAGGAGAGTTATTCAGGGGTTAGTTTTTTTTGGGTCTGACAACCACATACCGTACCTCGCCTATGTTCGGTACCTTGTCTGTCCGCCATTCGTCTGCGGAAATGATGGCATCCTGACAACGACCGGGTCTCTCTGCGGGAAGTGGCTGCGACGCAAGTCAAGTGCAAGGCCACCACTGCGCTGCCGCTAGCACATGACGTTGAATACAAGCCCCCAGCAACCTGCAGTTGAGAACTTGGGACGTCGCTCTGTCATTGCCTCGAACACTTTAGCACAGCTTCTCTCCCCGGGCATGGCTGGGGATCTTGGTGAAGCCAACTATGCTTCGGCCAATTCTTTCCTGTATTCTTTTGTTTAGTATCGCTACAGCCTTGGGCGGCCCCGTTTGCTTATTTATCTCGGGGGCATAGACGTTGGTTTCCTGAGGACCAGGCCGGTCAAATCGAATCAGAATCGGTCCTTTGGCATGTATGTTCTGCGAGAGCAGCAGCTAATGTATGCAGTCAATCTCGCCATACGGCGCTCCTTGCTGGCTGATGGTGTTGGCGCAATTCGGCCGCACGACAGATGCCCAAACTCGAGCCAGCTCATCCATTGTCGGTTTAAACTCGGCAATCGTACTATCAGATTCCACAAGTCACGCCTCGTTATGTACAACAACATTGCTTCGAGGAATAAGACAGCTACCCGGCCGAGGGATAGTGTGTTTCGCCCGTTTCTCGGCGATTTGAAGCCAATCAAGGGCTCCTCCTAAGTCGAAGAGATCCTCCGTGCGGGAACTTGGCCAGGTACGATATCAAAGGGATATGGCTCTTATGGGTCGCGACAATGAATGGATGAAACTCAGTCGTTCAAGTTCTGGTGTAAAAGCCAGACACTCTTTTCTAGCCGTCTTGGTGCGGTACGGAGCGCGAGTGGGATACACCACGTTCGATTCGATGTGCACAACGTCGAAGACTGACTTTATTCATATCCCTCTATCGACTGGCTTCAAAATGTTATTAACTAAATAGAACACTTAACATAGCAAAAGACCAACTCCGGCGCCATGCCAAATAAATGTAGCACAAATGCATGGTGTCTGTGGAGAGAGCCACAAACCATCCACTTACGCCATATCAACTCCTCACGGCGCCCTTTTTCGTCGGTATGACATCAACGCCAACGGTTAGTAAAGCTATCAATACATAAGTTGATTATTAACGACTGAAAGATCACGGTCTATCGACAAGGGCTCGAAAGCACGGCAGGGTAGAGGGAGAGCCTAGCTCACTCACTAAGAAAACGTTGTGAGCATTTGTCTTGTCTGTGAATCCACATCCCTTGGAGCAGTCGTTGTTGTTGATGCAGCTGCCCGCGAGGCCACAGTCGCTCGCAGCGATCACGGTCGTCGGGTAAAAGCCCTAGGGGCCGTTTTGCGCATCCACTCTGCAGTTATAGCCGGGATCTGCGGTGCGAGGCCGTAAAGGGTCGACGTTATAATAGCCGCAGGTTGACAACTGATCATTTGTTGCGCGCTTTTGCTTTTGCTCTCGAGTGTTGTTGCGGTGTGGATGTGCCGCCGTCGTCGCCAAGACGCTCCCGGGGATGAGGAAGCTCAGCAGGGGGCTGAAGGAGTAACGACACGACCGTTGCCAAGGCCATCGTGACTCCCCTGGGCTGTACGAAACAAGTCTCACTCTCACTTTCGTAGCATTCGGCAAGTTTAACACAGCTGGATGAGAGATGATCCCATCAATCAATCCTGGCCAACAATCTGGGCTGTCTGCCCTTTTACTTTTACTACAGGCCGCCATACATAAGCGCCCAGCGTCCTGCGTTCGAAACTGGGTGCAACCAACACTATGCAGGAATACATACATGATGCACCTGCGATTGCCTAACGGACACCTGAATACTCCTAGCTCTCGGCCAGAACCGTGGACCGCAATACCCATTCATGCCCTGTCTTGTCAGCAACTGGCCAATAGACTCCAAATGCAGCCGTAGGTAGGATCATGTTGGACGCAAGGTCGGTGCCAACTGCAGCGGCCCTGTAACCATTATGGTCCCGTCTGTCGTCGGCCCCTGTCTGTATGGGCAGAGCTCTTCCTCCTTCATCGCTGCCAGGACTCGCCCGTGATGGCTCCGGCGCTCCGCAAGCATCAGCTGGCCATGTATCAATCGCTGTGGTCAGGTCCATGCATGCGTCGGAAACGGCCTTTGTTGGTGGTGCTTCTCCTTTTCGCTTTCTTTGTAGCCTTGAGCCGTGGGGAACTGTTGACCGAAGTCGTCGACGAAGTGGTTCTTAACTTCTTTATACACAAGCAGGGGACTCACAGGAGGCCATCATGGTGGGGCCGTGAAGGGCATCATGGTGCCACGTGACCGCCGCTGGGAGCAAATCAAAAACGGACGCGCCGACTGCAGTGCAACCGCTGGAGCTTCATTCTGCTTTTCCCAACCTCCGAGCTCTGGCAGGAAAGAGACGATCTAGGACCTGGGCAATTATTCGGCTACTGCCCGTTGATTCCAGCCTTCAGCTAGTTTGGGTCTGATATATCCGACACCCGTTTCGATTGGAGCCAAAATGCAGCTCAGGTCCATCCAACGGCTTGAGCTCCCGCCCACGGCAGACATGCACGTCCACCTGCGGCAGGCCGAGCTCATGGACTTGGTGGCTCCCACTGTTCTCAGGGGCGGAGTCGACACGGTATTCGTCATGCCCAATCTTGTGCCCCCCCTTACGACTGTCAAGCAGGTGCTCGAATACCAATCTCAGCTGCGCGCCGTAATTCCAGACGTCCACTGCCTCATGTCTCTTTTCCTTCATCCCTCCGTCACCCCCGAGGTCATCGCCGAGGCCGCAGCAGTCGGCATCACAGGCGTCAAACTGTACCCGCAAGGGGTAACCACCAACTCCGAGTCGGGCGTCTCCGATCTTGAGTCCTTCTACGCCACCTTTGCTGCCATGGAGCGGCATGGCCTGGTCCTGAACCTCCACGGAGAGGTCCTCGAGTCGCTTGCACCGGCCGACACGACACTGGAGGAAGCCTTTCTACCTACTCTTCAAAGGCTCCACGAGCGGTTCCCCCAGCTGCGCATCGTGCTCGAGCACTGCACGACGGCAGCGGCCGTGGAAGCTGTGCGGGCTTGCGGGCCTACCGTTGGTGCCACAATCACTGCCCACCATCTCTATCTCACCTCCCACGAAGCCTGCTGCGATCCCCTTGCCTTTTGCAAGCCCATCCCCAAGAAGCCCACGGACCGGGACGCGCTAGTCAGGGCCGTCACCAGCGGTGACGCCAAATTCTTCTTTGGAAGCGACAGTGCGCCCCATCCCCTGCAGTCCAAGACTTCCGCTGCGCCGGGCAAGGCGCCCGCGGGTGTCTTTACGCAGCCATTCGCGACGCAACTCGTCCTGCTGGCTCTTGAAGAGGCGATTGAGCGTGGAGTCGTCACTGAAGCAGACGTGACCCAGGAGAAGCTCGAGGGTTTCCTTAGCCGCTTTGCGCGGCGCTTCTACAAGCTGCCCGAGCCTGAGGGGTCGGGAAAGAGGATCGTGTTGGAGAGGAACGGGGACAAGATACCGACGAGCGTGCGAAGTCAAGATGGGAATCTCGAGGTAGGCATCTCGAGGCCGGAGGCTGAAGTGTTTAGCTTGAGGTGGGCAGATGCTGCGTAATTCATTCGTCTACAATGAAAGTATGAAAACAAAGTACAGCAATTACCCCCAATCTCTTCACGCCGACTGACGAGGCTGAATATGGATGTCCTTATCTTATCTCTGCGGGGCCCGTGTGGGTCCGGCCTCGACCGCCCTGTCTTGAACCTCGCTCGCCGATGATCTAGAACACGGTTCCGCCTCTCCATCTTTAAAACACGACTTCACCTCTTGTCTGCTCCAGAGCAGAGGTGGCCAGACCTAGCCGTCGTTAGGAAACCATGGCTGCAAACGATTCCGGCGAGGACCAAGACGCGCTCAACGCGCTCGAGTTGGAGGCCAAAGAGTTCAACAAGGTGCGACTTGCGCCGCCCATTCCTTCATGCGTTGCTCGTTACTGATGCTTGTTTCCGGTTAGGATGCCGAGATTGATCGAATTCTGAAAGCTTTCCGCCTCGATGCGTAATGCCCCCAACCCACGAGCATCCCTGACCAATGACTTGGCTGACGATGCAGCAAAGCTATGCCGTGCTCGACCTCCAGCCCGGCGTTACCGAATCCGACATCAAAATCACCTATCGCAAAAAGTCTCTGATGATCCATCCCGACAAGACCAGGAACACGCAAGCCCCCGAGGCCTTTGACCGTCTCAACAAGGCCCAGATTGAGCTCATGGACGAGAAGAAGCGCGCCTTGCTGGACGAGGCCATTGCCGACGCCCGCATGCTCCTCATCCGCGAGAACAAGTGGACCGTCGACAGTGAGGAGCTCAAGACGGACGAGTTTGCAAAGATGTGGCGTGAGAAGACAAAGTACGTCCTCATCGACAACGAGCACCGTCGCCGCCGCCAGGTCAAGGGTCAGATGCAGGAGGAGGGCAGAGAGCAGCGCAAGGTCGATGCCGAGCTCGAGGAGCGCAAGCGCAAGAGGCAGCACGACCAGGACTGGGAGGCCACGCGAGATCAGCGCATCAACAGCTGGAGGTCGTTCACGCAGGGCAAATCCAGCGGCGACTCGGAGAAGAAGACCAAGAAGAAGAAGCTCAAGCCCATTGGCTGAAGACGCGGCTTGGGAAACGGCGGTGAGAGGCAATCAGAACTGAGGAGGGAGAGAGATGTCGTTGCTATGCATGCGATTGCAGAAGTCGCCGGCTTGTGAGTTGAAATTTTCCGCGCAGTGTCCGGAGTCTGACCAAGGCAGCTGTTGGGGATATGAGCTGTTAGATACCCCCCCGACCGGCATTGAAGCACAAAGTCTGGCTATCCTACATTTCGGCGAATCTGTTACAATCGTATGAATATCAACATATGACACAAAGTTCAAAAGGTCGCAGCGTAATGTGAGGAGATTCGCCCCTATGGAAGCCTTTCCATACCCCAGAGCCTCTCTATTCGCACACGTATGCCAAGTACATGGCTTGCACAAAACAGCATGAGTTGCTGTCAAACCCATATAAACGCCATGAACGGAATGCCAGCCCCTTTTAAACACCATCAAATGCGCTTCCTTCTACAAGCATTGTCCAAGCCAAAAATCGCAATCCCCATCCCACAGCTTTGTGTACAGTTGAATCGTCGCAGGCTGGACCGGTCCCTCAGCCGGAGCCGGATTCAGACGACTTTTTAGCCTCGTCATCCGGTTTCTTCTGCTTGGTGTCCTCCTTGCTCGCGGCGGGCTGTTCTTTGGCGTCTTTTTGATGGGCTGGGTGGTTCGTCAGTGTATGCCACATTTGCTTCAAGAAGCCTTCGTTTCTGTGCGATTCGGGATCGGATGGGTCGGGTTTCGAGCTGTCCCACCAAGGACTTGTTAGCGCAAGACCAGGTCTTCTTCGTATTACGCCCAAGAGCTCAGGCTCACCTGGAAACATTCATGACCCTCCTGGCACTCTTGTCGTCCATTTCATCCGCAAGCATCTCTACAAGCACCCGCTGGTTCGCGCTGAGATACTTGGGCATGTTGACGCGGAACTCGACCTTGAGGTCGCCCAGGCCGCCTCTCCTCGAGCCGAGGCGCTTCATCCCCATGCCTGACAAGGTAATCTTTTCGCCCGAGTTGGTGCCGGTCGCGACCTTGACATTGACCGATCCGTCGAGTGTCGGGATCGAGACTTGCCCGCCGAGCAGGGCGGTGGTGAGCGGGATGGTGGCCGTGTAGAGAATGTTGGAGCCTTCTCTGCTAAACCTCGGGTCCTTTGCAACGCGGACAAAGACGTAGAGATCGCCGTTCTGGGCTCTGGCGTTGGGGTCTGCGTTTCGACCCGTGACAGGCGCGTCGCCGGCCCCGTCGACTCGGAGGCGCATGCCGTCCTCAATACCGGCGGGGATGTCCAGCGTTATTATCTTCCTCTCCCTGATGACACCTTTGCCCGCGCACGTCCGGCATTCAGCGCCCTTGGGGATGGTCGAGCCCGTTCCGTCGCAGGTCCCGCAGCTTGACGCCATCTGGAAGCCACCCTGCACAAAGTGCAGACGCGTGCCCGTGCCGTTGCAGGATTTGCACGAAGACCTTTGCGTCCCGGGCTTCAAGCCGCCTCCGGAACACGTCTCGCAGGACACCAAGGGGGTGACGCTGACGGTCTTGTTGGCTCCCTTGGCCGCCTCCATGAAGGAAACGCTGGTCTGCACCTCGATGTTGTCGCCAACGAGTATCTCTTGCTGAAACGGGTTCGACCGACCACCGCGGCGGCCGCCAAAGGGGCCTTGCTGGCCGGTAAAGGCAGAAAAGATGTCCTCAAAGTTGAAGCCCCCTCCAAATCCCCCCTGCCCGCCGAATCCCGAGAAGGGGTTTCCGGCCCCAGCGAATGGATCGCCTCCGGCTGGGCCTCCTCCGCTGGGATCGAAGCCTGCGGCCCCGAACTGATCGTATTGCTCCCGTTTCTTGGGGTCGGACAGGATCTCGTAGGCGGACTGGATGTCGGCGAAGTGATCCTTGGCATTCGCGTCCTTGTTCGTATCGGGATGGTATTTCTTGGCCAGGCCATAGTATGCCTTTTTGATGTCGGCGGCCGATGCGCCCTTGCTCACCCCAAGGGCCTTGTACGGGTCCTTTTGAGCAAGAGCCGTGGTTGCGTGGAAGCACTGTGGCCACGGTTGGTAAGTCGTCGCAGATGCTGCTTCAAGAAAGTCGTGCTTACTCGTCTTGGGCCGGACAGGGTTATCCGCCTCGACTTGTCTTTGGAGACGACGCGAATCGCAGCTGTGTGGATGCGTGCACCTTTGCCAATGCATTCCCGAATCTTTGGCCGGCCGACAAATTGGCTTTGCGCCAGGACCCGCGCAGGCGCCACGGCCTTTGTGAGAAGGCTGCTGTTCATTGTGAGAAAATACAGCACATCTGAAGGGACTGGGGCCCAGGAGATGAAGAGCTGGTCTGCAGTACGAAGTATTTTGAGCGCTCCGTGGATGCTGGGCGACGTCGAAGATTCGCGACCTTTCTCCCCGAGTTTTTTTTCTGCCGGGCTTAAGCCGGGGCTCGTGGCTGTCTGCGAAATGCCGTCATAACCCGGCACATGCCGGTCCGCGAAACCAAGCCAATCAACGTTACAGCAGATATGCCGGCCCGTCTTTATACCGATGTCCGAAACATCAAGCACAGCGTGCCCAGAAGTGCCCCTTGAGGTTGGGAAGCATGCTAACGTACAGTACAGATGCCGGATGCGTCGTGAGTCCCCACTGTGACCGGACGTGCTGGCCGTGGTTTACCATTGATCTTGCCCAATCTGACAAAAGCAGTCGTCTCTCGTCACCTGTCGAGGCGGTGCTGGGAATTGCTCTCTTACTATACCCGCGCGGCGATACAAAATAACTCTCCCTTGGTTCCTACAGATTTCCCTTCACAGATGAGCCTGTCCTGATGTACTCGTCCAGCTCCTTCTCGGTCCAGTCCCACAACTTCTTAGCCAGGTCGTCATCTTTGCCGAGCGCAATGCACTTGTCGGCGATTCCAACAGGCTCATAGTACTCTCCACTCTGAACATCCTTGGACACCGAGGCCCAGAGTTGATTCTTTGCACCGTTGCTGACAGAAGTGAAGAATACATAACTTGCCAGCGGGCCTAGCATTCGCAACACTGCCGGTACGCCCGAGGCGCCCGACATCAGATTCGTCTGTACCACCCCGGGATGGATGGCGGAGACAGTGAAGTGCGGATACTGCTTGGCGAGCTGCCTGGCGAAGAGGATGTTTGCGAGCTTGCTCTGGCCATATCGCCCAAGTGGGCCCAGGCTGCTGGCCTCGGTCTTGAGGGACTCGAACACTATGCCTCCCGTTGGTGCCATGTTGTTCGCTGCCGATGATAATGAGACGACGCGCACGTCGGCATCGGCGCTCCCTTTGGCTGTCTTTTCCAGTATTGGTGTCAGGAGCTTGGTCAAAAGCGCATGGCCCATGTGGTTGGTTCCAAACTGCGCTTCGTAGCCTTCCCTGGTCAGGCCCGGTGCCGACGCCATGATTCCCGCGTTGAGCATGAGGATATCCAGGCGATCCGACTCTGCTGCAAAGACGTCGGCTGCCTTCTTGACCGAGTCAAGCGACGACAGGTCCATCTGCAGAAGCTTGATTGGCGCATCTTGTACCTGTTCCCGGATCTCGTCCGCCGCTGCCGTGGCCTTTTCGAGGTTTCGAGCTGCGAGCCATATCTGGCGCGGATTGTGCCGTGCGAATTCGAGAATGGCTTGCTTCCCCAGACCGATGTTTCCGCCAGTTACGAGAATCACCTTGCCCTCGAGCGATGGGATGTCTCTCTCCGGGTCGAACGGCTTGCTGCTATTGAAGAAGAACATGTCGACGGTATCCAGAAGGGTGCTCGTAAGAACAGTACGACAGCACGACAACGGTTACGAGGACCTGGGACTACAGATGATATTTAAACCCTTCCGGGTTCCATGGCTTGTCATTCGGCTGTTTGCGCGTCCGGACCCTCCGAAATCCAAAGTCCGCTCCGTAGCGGAGCAAGTGGGCCCCGCTCGTTATGAAGAGAGCATGAGCCCCCTTTCCGCTGGCTACGCGACGACTGTTGCCTGAGTCCAAGCGTTGAATGAAACGCGAGTCTAATTTCTGGGTCCGAGCATGCGGCATACATAAATCGCACGCAGCGGCGACGCACTAAGGAAGCGGAGTGATTCGTCATCCCGGCAGCGCGACGCAGTTTGTTCTCGATGAATCGAAATTGAGCCGAAAACGCAATGCAGGGGCACTGTACTGAGGTTTGTTGAGATTAGTTCATACCGCACGGCCATCGCTTGTCGTTCAGGCTTTGGCTCTCAATAGTAATATCGGACTTGTCAAGGAGAAGTTTCCTCAACGTGAGGGCCAAGGGAGATGTGTATTTCAGTCGTACGATGCCTCTAACTCCAGCCCTGTCAATATCTGAATCTCTTCTCATGCGCTCTCTATCCTGTTATATCAAGGAACGCCGCTGACGATCAGCAATCGGACATTGGGAAACCAAGTGACCGAGTAATATGTAACCGACCCGTGCAACCAAGGACTTGGGCGCGCCGTCAAGTGATGAGCGCGACTTCGTTGAGCGTCTCGAGAACAGCCCTGATCAGCTGCGGGTTCTTCTCGAGTGCGGCGAGGATGTCAGAGTTGATCTGAGCCGGAGCCTCGGCACGCTCGGCGACGTACTTGCGGTATGCGGCGAACTCGTCTAGAAGCCGAGACGAGGCAGTCGCGATGGTAACCAGGCTCTCTGTAACGTTGAGGGCAAGTACATTCTCGTCAGGGGTTGGGGTGAGGATCGCAGGACCGGGACGGGACTTGGAACGCTCTCTCCTTGAGTTGGTTCTAAGCGAGAGAGTCAGCGCGAGAGCAGTGCGGTGTGGGCTTGGGAGTGGCTCGCCTTGGCGCCTCTTGAGGTGGCATCTTGGTCACGGTGATGGACGAGCACTGCGTGTATGGCCCGAGCAGACTGGACAGAGTCGGACCCAAGCTTGAGGCCATTGACAGACTGCTAACGGATCAGGGAAAAGCGGGATGCTCACCAGGAAACAAGATTTGATTTTGGTCAGCGCAAGTGCAACAGGACTTTTAACGGAAAGCTATGATGAGTTCCCTTGGCAACGGAGCAGCAGCCCGAGTCCACCATGTTGTTGACTCACAGGTCAATTTCTAGCAGCCCTCAAAGGCGTTCGGGTCCTCGCACACGCGAAAGACGTACGCGAAGCATAAGGCGCCGCGCTCGGACCCACGAACCGTCTTTGCATTTCTGGCCTTTTTCTTGGAAATGCCCGTGTGCTTGGGGAATATGGCATCGGCCATGACTGGGCTGGAACACGGAGACGGGGGAAGTCGAACTTGACCATTTGTCAGGACTGAGTCAGGAAATGCACAACGAGCGGGAGAGGTCCTTGGAGGCGTGGAAGACGAGCACCTGTGACGGCAGTCAGCTACGTCACCAGGGCGGCCCAAGGACCCAAAAGCGCATCCTGCGCAGAGAGCAGGCGGCGAAAACAGATCACTCCACCTAAGAATTACAGCCTGCAGGGCTACGTTATGCCTCGAGTCTTTAGTTGACGCGTTGGTCCCTGATATTCAGGGGGGAAGCAGCCGAACGTATTACACCTGCCGGGCTCCTATTCCGGCCACTTGGGTCAAGTGCGTAGTCCATGTTGTTTTCGCCGAGGTAACCCCAACGCCGTTGAATTCAAGTCGGCCAAGTTCCATGCCACGCCGGCCGGTGCCGAGCAGAAACGCCGCCGCAATGATGCAGCCGTAAAGGTGCCGTTAATTGGCAACGAGAAAGCCCTGCTTATTGGGGCCGGTGGCCTTTGCGGCCTTGTCGCTGCGGACTTTATAGATGAAGTCGACAATGACGTCATTCTCCTGGATGCCCATGCCGTTGAAGTGCTTGCGAACGGCCATGGCCAGCTGCTCCTTGCCCTGCCGCCGGTGTTTCCGCTTGCATACCATGGTGGGAGAGTAGAGGCCGATGCCGCCGGGCTGCGACAGCACCCACTGGTGGTAGGAGGTGGAGAAGGAGGTCGGCGTGTTGAGCTGGTGTTGGCGGCGGTAGGCGTGGAGGGTGTCGCGCTCGAGCGAGGACCAGTTGAGCTAGGCACGTCAGCGATAAGCATAGACTGAAGGGAGAGCGCGCACCGTCGGGGCCGCGTCGGCGGTGCCCTGGGCTGGAGCAGAGGTTGGCGCCTCTCGAAGCTGGGAAGCGCTCATCTGGCTGGCGCCGCGGCGCATCTTGGCCGGCGCATGGTGGCCGGCGCCCTTTTCCTTGGGGCCGGGGGCGTCTATCTTGAGGTCTTCGGCGTTGCGCGATGCTTTGGAGGGGGCCATGGCGCTGGAGATTTCATTCGGGATGACGATGAAGATGGGAAGGAATGGGAGAAAAGGCGGCGGAGGCGGAGACGCTTTGAGTGGCTTTGGTGGGGCGTTAAGAATTACAAGGCACTTTTCAGGGGTCTTGCCGCACAATTACCTACTACCTAGGGCGCCCTGGCTTGTAGTCTTTGTGTACCTCACATATTATTCTTAGTCCGTGATCTGTTTCCTCTCTGCGGCCTCGCTCTCCCCTATAAGCCGCTGTAATACATCGGTCCTTCTTTCTTCTTCTTTTTATCCGGAACCCTGGGGTTTACCCGGAAGCCTTACTTCCGGCTAGGGTTTTGGCATGATTGGCTTTTTATCATGATGCGAATCATGACTTGATATAAACTATAGAATCAACAACCGCCTTCGACTCGCACTTGGAGGAAGGACGGTGAGATACCATCATACGCAAACCCATCCTGGGATGGTACAAGCTCCTCTCAACACTGTTGACTGATTATACATACGCTAGGGCGGGGATTGGACCGTGCCTGGCCTATACCGTCCGTTTTAGATGCCAACGACTCAGTCCCCGACGTAATGGGCCATCACGATACTACGAGGCGCTATGTAGTTGGCATAAGTTGCATCGTTTTTTATTGTCTGCAGCACCCATCGTAGTTAGCTGCTATCCCTCTATGGCAGTGTTGAACTGCGAAATCTAAACCCCATGGTTGTTGAAACACAAAGCTCCTGCGCATCCAAGACTCAGCGTGTACGGGACCCCTACTCGGCGGTCGACTGCTCGGCGGCTGGCGGCCTGGCAGCTAACTGCTCGTTGGAGGCTTTGATGCTTTCGCAAGCTGCTGTGATGGTCTCCTGTTCAAGGCAAACACTCTCTATGTCCGATGCTAATGATACGGATCCGCCTTCACGGGCGCAGTATCTGTTGATTTCGCTTCCATCCACCAGAACATCTGTTATCTTCGTTTTTGCATTCCGCCACCTGCTTTTCGGGCCCATTTTCGGCTTTGAGACTATCGCAAGCCAACTGACGAGTCTCCCAGGAACCGCACTCCTTTGAAACAGCCATGAATACCAAATATTCCCACAGGACTCGGTGATGACACGGGCATACTGAATCCTTTTTGTCATAAACTCTGCAAAGAACCTGCTCGGTCATTTTTGCAACGGCCAAAGGGACAGCGATGTCCGGTATAGCGCATTTTCATCCCTGTCCGTCAGCTGTGCTGCTTAGTTTAGTATATTGCCCCGTTGCGATTTGCCACGGAACAAGCGCAGCTGCCACCTCCTCGCAATGCTTTCGGCCATAACAAGCCTCAAGTGACGACACAAGAGTACGAGCAGGCATGTCGCTCGAGTACCGGCCGTTGCGAGCCGACGAGACACGGCTTCTGACCCTGTCGAGATGTCATGCGACGAGCCTCTGTGACGCTGGCCCCGGTCTCGACGACGTGAGCCTCGCCTTCACGACCGTCTCCATTACAGCCGTCTCCATCCCGCCCTTTACTGCCCTCTCCTATGTCTGGGGAGATCCATCAGACACCGTGCAGCTCGAATACTCAGGTGGCTCACTATGTGTGACGCGCAACCTCCATGCCATCTTGGGCTGCCTCGCATCCTCGCTGGCCCTCGACCATGAGCCCGCTCACCTCTGGATCGATGCCATTTGCATCGACCAAGCCAGACTAGACGAGCGCGCGGCCCAGGTCCCTCACATGCGACAAATCTACTCGCGCGCCCGCTCTGTTCTCGTCTTCCTCGCCACCACATCGGCCCCATATGAGCTTGGCTTGAGCTTTCTCGGCCAGGCCGCCCAGCACCCGACGTGGCATTACGAGCCGTCACTGGAGCCGCGCATCACGGTGCAGTCGGGGCTGGATGCTCATTCAGAGGCTCTTCGCGATTCCGTCATTGCCATCTTCGCCGCGCCCTGGTGGACCAGGGTCTGGACTGTGCAGGAGTTTGTGCTCGCGGGGCGCGTCACTTTTCGCTGTGGGCGTGCCGGAATTGACGGAGAGAGCATGCTAGCTGCGTCTGAGAACCTGAAAGACCACGAGAGTGGGTGCTGTTGGGCGGCCAGGCATGAGGCAGACGGAAGCTCGAGAGGGTATATCCACATCCCTAGCACCCCAAACGCCGGCATGTCACTGTTCCAGGCGATAATAAGGCTGGACCAGTTGCAAGTCATGTGCAATGCCGAAGCCTACGACGCGAGAAGCCTGCTGGGGGCACTCTCCATGTTTCGCACGCGCGAGTGCACCGATCCTCGCGACCACATCTTTGGCATGCTTGGGCTGGATCTGGGAGACCAAGATCAAAGCCTGCGGTCCCGGGTGCGAGTCGATTACACTGCTCCCGCGACCGAACTGTTTCAAGACGTGGCCACTGCCATGATTCAAACGTCGGGAAACTTGGACGTGCTGAGCCATGTCTGCCAATACTCCAGTCTACGAGGCCGACTCGAAGGACTGCCGAGTTGGGCTCCGGACTGGACCGCGACTGTCGACGAAACCTTCCATCACCGGTACTCGGAGCGCACCCGGCGCACCGTCCTGGCGAAGGCATCAGGGGACTCGAAATCAGCGTGGAATGTCGTCAGCCCGGGTAGAGTTGCGACGAAGGCCCTTTTCCTTGGACAGATATCGATGACTGCTTCTGGATATCCATCCTCAAACTCATCTTTACCCGGCCAGCACGTCCTAGACAATTGGCGAGAGGTCTTTGAATGTCAACGGGAAGAGGGCTCGAAAGAGGAGCGCGCCAATCACACGGACTTTGATTTTGGGCTGGTGATATCAGGGGGTCTCGCCCGTGCCGATTGGCACCAAGAGTCCGGCAGGCATGAAGAAGCGTTCCAAGGCTGGCGCGCATGGTTCACCGACGAAGACGCGCAGAATCTGCGAGAAGGCATTAGACAAGATGTCCGAGGGTTTGACGATCTCGCAAGGTCGATGACTCTCGAGAGGCGCATGTTTAGGACAGGTAATGGACGAGTCGGCTTCGGGCCAGAGTCTGCAGAGGGGGGAGATGTCGTGGTGTTGATGCCCGGCGGCAGAGTGCCGTACGTTCTAAGAAACGCTCATGGGTCAGGGGAGGGCCTAGACGGCGAGAAGAAAGTATTTAGTCTACTAGGCGACGCTTTTGTGCACGGGGCGATGCTAGGCGAAGCAGTTGCAGCACTCGACGGCAGGGACCGGGTTGATGTCGGATGGGAAGACATCTCACTTGTCTAAGTAAAAGCCGGCAGCTCTTCCGGATAGCAATCTTGAGTCTGGGCCCGGCAGATTAATATTTTAGCGCTTTCCTTTCGCTAAGAAGTCACGTCAGGCAATTTCGCTGATATAGCCTTGTCGAGTGCCCGACTTCATGCAATCAAAAAGGGGTTCGGGGCACAGCACTCTGTTGGAGGGCGAGAGACTAGGATAGGATTAGGACTTGTAAAGCAGTTAATCAAGGCACGCTGAGGTTCTCACGGCAAAGTCGCCCAACATAGCCCCCGACTTTGGTGACCCAGTATTTGACTCTGACAACGGGACTCGTTGTCCGGTTCTCCCCCAATGACTTTACCGCAAGAGCTAACCCGCACCCGACTCAGGGTACTGCATCCCCCTTGCTCTCATACCAAGGCCTCAGCCCGCGCCCTCCAGGTCGTTATTGTGCGCCTGAGTCATGACGTCGCGGAACAACGCCGGAAATCGGCAAAGAAGGATCTGACATTGATCTTGAATCAGGGGCTAGGAAAGAGTCCGGGCTAATAAAAAACCACCAGCCTGATAGCAAAAACGGTTCGATCCCTATTAAACCGAGTAGCAAGTGCTCAAATCAGAGCTGGTATTCGGCCTCAGACAGCAACTTGATTAGCTATGTGCTTCTACATCTTGAAACCCTCCCATCTGTTCCGGCAATCCTGCATTAGATCTTGACCTGATATGGACTAGGCGCAGCTTTGTATTACAATTTGTATTACAGGAGCAAAAAAGATCTTGGAATGGCAGACAGTGTGGGAATATCTAAAGTACAAAGAGGGTGCTGGCAAGCACAATGCCGGCAAACAGGGCAAGAGACGTCTTTTGCTGGGCAGCGGCGCCCCGGACGGAATCGACGTTGGGGGGGTTGGAGCTGGCAACAGTCGTGCTCGAGTCAAATCCGGACCCAGACTGGGCCGGGCAGCTCAGGTCAAAGAGGGGCTTCTGCAGGTTGTCTTTCTCGGTGATGGCAAACTTCATCTTGTTTTCCGGGTTGGAGTCGCGCAGGATGTACCAGAACGTAGGCATCTTGTTGAACAGCTTCCCGCAGCCGATCGTGTCCCAGAAGTACTTGGCGTTCTTGATGCTGGGAATGCCGTTGTTCCACTTGGGGCCGCTCGAGGGCCAGCCGATCTCGGTGAGCCAAATGGGCTTGCCGTCGGCAACGCTTTGGGTGCTGTTGAGCGAGTTGTCGAACAGCTCGACAATGTTGGTGATGTCGTTGTTCTGGTCACTCATGTAGTAGGAGTAGGCGTCAAGACCAATCCAGTCCACAGCGTCGATGAGAGGCTTCATCTCCTTGTTGGGCCAGACGTCCCAGGTGTCGACATGGCCAACGGGGACATTCCGGAGAGCGGTATTGTTGAAAGCATCCCGCCACTGCTTGATGAACTCGACGAGGGCGTCGGGAGTGTTTCCAACGCCAGCCTTGTTCTTCTTTCCAAGATCGGAGTTGCGGTAAACATCCTCGCTGCCGATGGAGCAGCCGACAATGAGGTCCGTCAGACTCTTGCCATGCTCCTCAATGGCCTTATTCATCGCGCTGATCTCATCGCTGATGTTCTTGGTGCCCGAAGCCCAAACGCCCAGCAAGATGGACGTGTTCGTCTGGACCGCGGCCGAGAAGGCGGCGATGGGGTCGTCTTTGGTGTTGGCCTGGCGGGTGGTGAAGAGCCGGACGGTCGTGAACTTGCCGTCTGTCCCGGGCAGTTGCTTGGCAGCCTTAAACTCGGCCAAAAAATCACTCTCCTGCTTGGCTTTGTAGTCGTCAAGGGTGGCACCGGAGTTGAAGCCAATGAAGTTCTGCGCGGCTTGCGCAACTGCGCCTCCGACGAGGGAGCCCGTCACGAGAGCAGAGTCGATGCGCATTTTCAACGGTTAAAGACTAAAGGCGATGTAAAGAAGGTATTCGCAGCGGCAGTGTCGGATATGAATCCGTCCCCGTCGAATGCTATGTAAGTGAATTCGGTAACGAGCGTGAATCTGAACAAGCAGATCTAGTAGCAAAAGGGACAAAACGAGGGCACCGCGAGAAAGGAGAGAAAACTCGGATGCACAGTGGCCCTTGGGAAATACATATTACAAAACAATAGGACAAGGCCAGACAAGGTTTCAAGGCAGGACTTGGCTCAAACCGGCCATTAGTACGCGTCTCTATATCTGAGGCCTTAATCCATTTTACGAAGCATATGCCTGCAATAGCAGAGTCTCGTCCTGGCCTGAGCCAATCAGCTTGAGCAGATATTTGCCGGCGCCATCTTGGCACTACTAGGTTCCAGCATCTCATGGGTGCGGTCGAGTCAGTCCAAATTATGCATACACACATTCTCCTTCTTTGTTTCTTCCACCCAGGGTACTGATCAGGAAAAGCCTCGTCCCATTATTCATAAGTACAGGAGCCGATACAGCAGGCACAGGAATGAGTTGGGAGTAATAGCGCAGCGACTCATACTGGCGTAGCATGCACGACATGGAGACACCTGTTTCTCGGATATCCCTCAAACATGCACGTGCCTGGCACCTGAGCCAAGGCCGTTACTCAGGTGGCCTTGTTTTTGCCTTACGCGGTTCTCACACGTTACAGAACTCCCTATGTATCCAGTCCGACGACATGTCATTCATGCTACGCGTCACATCCAATCTTGGCTCCTTGTAGGCTCCATGAGGCAGAGTGTTGCTCGGCCTTGCGAGACTACGCGTAATATCCATCATTCATGCCATGGCTAGAGGCCCTAATAAAGGCTTTGGCCATGCACTTTTCCGCCGAAGCTCCCTACATAACATTGAAGCTGGGCGAGAGCTTGGCTTGAGTGAATCCACATACTGTACATGAACTACTTGTGCAGACGATGGCGATCTAGCTTATCAGATGTAATGTTGCGCGCTTGAGGAATTGGTGTCACTTTGATCTTCTCCAAGTCTCGGCATCGGAGAGATCGAGTGCGTCTCGCAAGACCTGGTTGACGCCCTCGCCCGCCCACAACATTATGAAATGCGCGGTGGTGTTACCATGGGCGCGACACCGGGCTTGCTCCCCCGTCTGTGCCCGGTGGATAGCATACCGGTACATGGGCTTCAACGGCGGCGGCTCCGTGGTACCGGATACAGCAGGCTCCTCATCACAGGCCTCGAAATGAGATATCTGATTTTGCTTCCCCATGTACCGAAACATGCAGGGTCTCGGACCGGTATTTCCTTCAACGGCCCCATTGCCTGGCTCGGCGTGGCATCACTCAATGGCTCTTCCCGCTTGGAGCTCACCCTCACATATAGACGGATGCATCCCTGAACCGCATGCCGGCTGAAGACGTCATTTCTATTTCCCAGTGCATAACACGTCCCAAGACTGACTAACTCAACCAGAGTAGGAAATCGTGATGTGGCATCGAGGATGTGCAGAGTGGCGTATTGAGCGCCTCCATGTTGAGGCTTGGTATCCGTAAGACGCGGCCGACGCTATCACGGCCGTCGGTCTCGATACGGCCAAAGGGCTCTATGCGGCTTCTGTGACTATTACAAGGTCATCGGCCTGCCTTGGTGCGTCGAGTCTGATCCTGTCAAGCTCGCGGTGAGACTACCGTGACTAGGTGCCATGTGCCCTGCCCGCAGTGGGATGCCGGCACCGGACTCTTATCACGGTCCCGAGCGGCGTGGAAAAAAGCCGAACGGGGAGTCTCGTTCAAGTTGTTTATGGACTTCTGTAACATCCCCGCTTAATCCTCAACCTATAAGCGTTAACTGCCCCTTACTGTCAAGAGTACCAAGAGAGCCACAAAGTTTGTAGCCCTCACAGCGTCTTCGAGGCTTGGACATGTAAACTCACTCCAATTTTCTGTTGATACAATCTATAGATTTAAATGTTATGTTTCTGCTGCTTCAATATGAAACAAAGGTCGAAATAAAGCAAAAAACGCTTAGGAAGGGCGATTGGAGCCAGAATTGCCTGTGGCTGCTTGACCGTGCTCTTGGCCAACGAATCCGGACAAGAAACATCTCGTTCTATGAAATTCCTTTTCGCTGTTCCCTTCCCCCTTCCTATGTTTTCCTACGTGCCAGCCCCTGCCTGGTATCTTCCACTACCGAGCTGGACGAACTTCCGATTGGAAACAGAAGAAAACGATCGAATCGTCGTGGCTGGAGCGGGATGCCGAATGGACCCTTTAGCAAGCCTTGGCCGCCGGTTTGGCCGCCGTGGGGGTGGCAGCGGGACGCGAGCATTCCGAGCATCCCTGCTCGGACTGGCCCGATGAGCCCGTATACAAGGCAGCGCCGACACCAGCAGACTGCTTCTGGGGCGTAGTAGCAGCAGCTTTGGTGCCACTCTCGCCAGTCACCCCCTGATCCAGACCGGTCCAACTGCCAGATCACCGACCCCGTGACGTCGATGGTGATTTCGTTCCTCAGGACATCATCAGCAGGGCTATCCTGACAGCTGACCACCTCCATGGCGGCTTTACCAGCCTCGCCGACGGGCTCGGACTTGATGCGGACATTTCGCGCGAAATCTTCTGGGCTTGGCACTGGCAGTCGGGGGCCCGGTACATATTGGCGGCCTCATCTGCGGCAATGGCACGGCGCTCACCCTCGGCGGGAACAGCGCTCGACTTGAGTGCGACATATTGAAAGGAGCAAACGAGATCGCCGAAACCGCCGACGGTAATGTCGTTGTCGGAGAAGACGTGCCGGACCTGGCGGTGCCAGGTCTGGAGTTCCAGCCCGTCGCCTTTGGCAAGAGCCGTGGGAGTGGAGGCCGCGGCGGTGTCCGCAGTCTCCGACAGCTTCGTGGCGAGGCGTTGTCCTGGCTTCGCGGCAGAGGGCACGGCGAGAAGAGTCGTAGGCATGGCGGCCGCCGTCGAGGAAGCCGCTGACTTCCCCTTCACGCACTCCACGTCGTCGCCGATGGATTTTGCCGCTGAACGGCTTCCTGCTTGAGGTTGTTGAGCTCTCCCGAAGCCGCCGACGCCGGGTAGGTAGTGTTGTTGATGGTAAAGCGGGCGAGCCCCTGTGTCTCGGGTCTGTCGGGATAGTGCTCCTCGACGGTGAAATTCTTGAGCGGCTTCCGGTCTGCGAAGGCCACGCCTGTAAAATTGCTCCAGGAATTGCCGACGTCTCCCTGGAATTAGCCCCAGGCGAGGGCTTTGGGCGGGTCGTCCTTTTCAAACTTGTTGAAGGCGTTGATCCAGTGGCCGCTCATCTAGTCGTAACGCTCCTGAGACAGCAGCTCGCAGGCCAGGCAGCCCATGACATCCTTCTTATAGGACGCGCCCTCGCCGAACAAGCACTGTTTGTAAACAGCAAAATCCCGCTTCTGGTCCGTCGCCTCCTTATCGGAGAGGCGGCTGACAGACCCGCACATGCTCGAGATGTACTGCTCGGCGATGCAGGGCGGCACCGCGTTTTTGATGCCGAGCTGGTAGTTCTTACCACGGAGTGGCACTGATCATTAATTGTCGTCTTGTTCTCGAGCCTCTGCAGGACATGGTTGGTGTCGATTTCCTGAGCCATGGCGACGCCTTAAAGAGCGGCGAGGGCGACGACGCCCGCCGAGACAGGGCTTTTGTTCAACATTGTAGGCAGAGAAGAACAGCTAAAGGCCGGGAGGCAGAGAATGTGATGAAATACGACGTAAAGACTGGATTCTGGTTGGCAACCAGGTAGCAATAGAAATATCAAAGACAGACAGAGAGTGATGAGATGCGATGGTGGTTCGAGATGCAGAGGCCGGCGCCAACAGGCTATTATACACCAGATATCATCCACGGGTGTAGGTCCACAATCCGTCCAGCACCTGGCTGGCCATCATCTGAAAAGCGGCCTGTGCTGGCCGTGGGGATGGCCTCCAGTCGTGTATTCGGGATAGATCCTTAACAGGAAAGAGTGGTAACCGAGGGCTGCGCCATTCACGTTGATCGCGGGCGAATTGTAGTCAGTCTTGCTCGACTTGGACCTGAGGACAAGGCTCCTTTGAGACGTGACGCACGTTGTCATTCTATAACAGCGAAGTGGAAGCATATGCACAAGTCATTGACTCACACCTTCGTCACCACTCCCATCATTAGTTTAAACTGGATCCATAATCTTGTAGACAGCATGACTTTGTACGTATGCCTACTATCCAGTGTTGACAAGCGTCGGGGGTCGTGTCTTGACGCGCAATGACCTGTCTACAGTTGCGGAATAACTTGGTATATTTGGTCAGATATGTACCTACTCCATAATTCGTCCTGGGCCGTGAAGATACAGTGAGTCGAGCGCACAGCCATGGCACGGAGGTGTCATGTTCACGGATCATCGGGAAGCAGTTTAGTGTTTGGGGTTGACAATGAGCTGGGGCAGTGCTGGGTGGCTGGCCTTCCCTTGGTCCCCCGAACCGGTCTAATTCTGAACTATATGACCAAATGCTTTCACAACTGGGAGAGCACCTTGTCGAAGAACAATGGGAACAGTTTTCGTTTTGGGCTACGTGACCTGGTCTTCAATTATGTCTACACACGGCTTGCAATCCTAGGGTCTGTTTGATAACGGTACATGTCCATCATTGGATTTGCAGTTGTCGGTCTTTTATTTATATTTCTTCAATTATGGATAACTGGAAAGGGCCGAGACTACGTTGTCACTCAATGCGGTGCTATCAGTCCGGCCCGTTCGAGTATATGGCTCATTGTCTACGGTTTATCACATCTACCCATATTGAATCCCTTTATTTATAGAAGCGCATCTCTTTATGATACCGAACTTATCGATCGAACTGACTGAGCATCTTGCTGCGACTGGCTTTCTCTTGGAGAAATGTAGTAGTAATTATATTTGGTAACTTTGTCTCTCAGGACGAGTCATCTTTCCTGCTACTACCAGGGCAACTAAGAAGGTAATTATCTGTATTACGAAGCAAGATTCGTTTTGTTCCGACTTGTTCTTGTCTAGGCCAAACGCCTTATTCTCATTACCTTTGACGATGTAGATTCGACGAGTGCCGGCGAATCTATTGTCGGCCTCTGCGCATACGTCAATGACTCAATTAAACATTAATCGTATGTCAAGGAAGCCACGGACTGGCGATGACGTGAAGCCGCTTTGGGACGGTGGCATTGGTGTCTCGCCGCCGCCTCGATGCCACTATAGGGGGAGCTAAGCCGGGGTCTTTTTCCAATCAACCCCATTTAAGAAATCTGTAATAGAACACTGACTGTGTTCTTTCTACCACTTATTCAACCAGACCAAGCTGATACTGTCCATCTTGCTGGATGCGATGGTGACTGCGCACGGACTAAGCACGGGGGTGTGGGTGGGTGTGTTGCAAGTCTTGCCACAGTGTTGTGGATTACAGGCCTTTCCAGGGATGGAAACTAGCTCGCATACCGCCTATTGTTGTCTCATGAACCATCGGAAAATCAAACAGAGCAGAGTCAAGCAAGTCCTGTCCGGGCCTGCTGTCGAAAGCCGGTCGACCCCTTAAAGTAAATTCTGAGTCGTGACAGCATCCCACGCCATGCAGATCCTGTCGTCATACTTCTCTCTCGTCTGCGGACTCCCACTGTCGCAGCCTATGCATATATTGATCTGACGAAGCCCGCGGTCGCTCGACCCGCCCTTGTTCCCTTCAATATGGTCATGAAGCTATCAGGGCCCAGTCATCCGATTCTGTTCACCATCTCGGCGGCCCAGTTCGGACTTTGCTGGCCATTGTCCATTATCGTCATTTATTCCGCGCCCGAGGCGGGAGGAAAACCCGGCCATCCTTCGATACAATCAGTCTGCCGAGTGCGTGTCAGGAACACGCGCCACCGCATCTTCAGGAAGCCGGCCAGCAATTCTTTCTCACACGATGCCCCTTGTTGCTGCCTCCAACCTATGGGACCAGGCAGTCGTCCTCCTGATCACGGCCCTGGCCGCCTTCGTCCTGGGCTTCGTGGTGGGTGTCTTCAACGTGCGCGGTCACGTCATCTCGCCAAAACGGCACAACAAGCGCCGCCAAAAGCTGTCCGACGCCTTTGATAGCGACGAGACCGATGTCGAGGATGATCTGATACTAGATCACGCTCCCAACTGGGCGAATAGCGAGGAGACCGATCGGCAGCAAGGCCTGAGGGTATAAACGGCCGGTATCACAGAGTACGGACCGGGCTGGAAGAATGCATGATGATATCTTTGGCAGATGTTTCAGCAAGACCAGAGTAGTTTAGGCGGATAGGCTCTGAGACAGCAAAAGTCCGATCAAAGCTGCGGCGAACATCTAACAGGAGTCTTGGGCACCTCTATCCCAAGGCCGGCAGCCGCTGCCTTAAAAAAAAACGCTATTCATAGATGCAAAGAGTGTGCCGGACCTTCTTCGCCCACTAGTCAGGCATCTCAAAGGGCGCTGTATGAGTAGAGGTTGACATTTTTAGTGGCCTTCAGGGGAGAGCGCCTGAAGTGGCTGGCTTGACTCAGAGGCACAGTCTATGCGCAATGCGGGATCACCGACGCCCTAAGGTTCCTCGGAGTCCGAGGTTGGATGCATTTGGAGCCCTTATATCAACTCGGGAACCCGCGTCTCCGCTGAAAGTGAGCCTCGTGGCTTATTCGCCGCAAGTTGGACCGCGCAAGCAACAGTCGCATTGATAGGCAGAAGAAGAGTCACTGGTCAGGAATCAAGACATGGCAATTCGGCAAACGGATTAAGAAGAATCAGGGACCGCGAACTCGGCCGCCCATCTAGGACTGGACACCGCGTGCCTTCTCAGTTGCGACTTGAGGCTGCTCTTCTGGTTCGAGTCGTAAAAGCAGACTGCATGTAGTATTGCTGATAACATGTGGAACAGAAACGATAAAAATCAGGCTGGTAGCTCCTTTCCCTTGCGGTGACTGACTGGAGGAGCAGGCCCGCGCCAAATAGAGCGAATACAGGCACGGAAACGCTCCCACGCTCATGTACCAAGACTTGAGGACGCGTGGCACAGCGCCCTTCTATTTGTTTTTGGGCCAGAGGGAATTTCCCTTAGACGGCTCAGACGCAAAGTGATAGCTAGCGCCGTGGCTGTCGCCATTGATCTGGGTTCCGCCGTTACAGTTCGGCTGGCTCCCTGTGCCGCCGTGGTAGAGCTGAGTTCCAGAGCCGCTGTTGTACAGCCTAACACCTTCTCTAGAGTCCGGCTTCAAAGACGGTGGCAACTTCTTGACCTCGTTGAGCATCTCCTGCACCTTGTTGACATGCTCTCGGCTGACAAAGGGCTCTCTGATGACATCGCCGAGGCGGCTGAGCACGCTGCTCATGACCTGCTCGGGTCTTTGGGCGCCTCCCTCCACAGCCTCGCGGTACCTTTCGAGTCTCAGGGTAGCGTCTCCAATTGTGACGACTGCGACAAGGGCCTTCTCGAGGTCTTCAGCCTGGCGACGGCAGTAGTTAGCCACCTGCTGGATCTCGACGAGTTTCTTCTCGTCTTCTTGCCCGGCCGACTCGACACGCTCCGTCAAGCAGTCGAAGAGCCTAGAGACTTCGGGGACACGCCGGGCGACGACGTAGAAGGCCGGGGGCAGGCCGGATGTGCCCTCAAGTTTGCTGGCCAACCCTGCGTTGACGTTGAACGCATTGCGAGTGTTGTTGAGAGACATCTCAGTGTACAGCTTGGTCATACTGTTGTCCGACATGTTTGATGATGGGTCGTCTCGTCAGAAACAGAAGAAAACAAAGACGGTTGAAGCTGGCGATGGTGTAGCATTATATACCTGCTCGGGCCCGACGATCAACGTTTTGTTGCAGAAATTCCGCGCAACAAGCCTTGGCAAGGCGGCAGAGCTCTGTAGTCTGCCTTGAGGTGCAGGCTGTTTCTATGCGTTCAGCTCTTTCAGCCATTTGCCTTTTTCTGCTCCTCATTGGCTGCCCAGTACGTGAACGCCTCCCTCTCTTTGCCTCGCTGCAGCATCCGCCTACAAGTATGCTGACATTGGCCGCCTCGATGCTTGACTACCAAGCCGAGGCCGGTTGCATCTTGAGCACTGTTCTTTTGCCTTCTCGCGAGAATTGTGCTGAGAAGCTTTGTGGTGTTGAGGCGACACAGCGCTCGGTTTGTGCTCCATCTATCCGTTGTTACATGAGCCCTCCCTCTCGGGCTGAGGCCACTGGCAGTCCCTGGCCCCCTCGGCCAGCTGCGAGTCGCATGTTAGTGTATGCAGTTTGTAAGTTGGTGTAGCACTGCATATGTGCTGACCAGGTGCCGCTCATCGCCACCCCTACATGACTTGTACTGTACTGCAAGCTGCGAAATGGGACATCCCGCCGCAATAATTTCTCTCGCTCTCTCTTCTTTTCTTCCCGCTGGACACCATCTTGTACACACGTGGGCTTGACAAGCCTGGCACGACGTAGTCAGACCGCCCAGGGCACTTGCGTACAAGTCGTCCTATATATGCATTAACATATCTTGGACGCCTTGTAATGTTGAAAGTTGCCGCACCCTGTACTGGCCACATCGTTGAGCCCGCTCTCCTGTGCAAGTACGAGTACTCTGTCACGAATAGTAGGGCCAAATAGGCATAAAGTTAGTATTTCAGAATCGTCCGGTGCTGCTCCATTTTCCCTTCTGTTCTCTGTGTCTGTTCCTTCCTTCCTCGCCCTTTTATTCCTGGCCACAATCTCGATCTTCTCCGTCTGCCTCACACCTCCGTCAATCGTCGGGGTGGCTGCGCCCACTTTTCCTAGGACACCGTCCCTGACGGCCGGGCTGACTGTCTCAGCCGACGCATCAGAAAGCAGGCCTGACGTCCTGGCTGACTGTCTCAGCAGGAGCATCAGCAAGCAGGGAACCTCTAGAGGTCCTACGAGCGGCTTCGCAACACACCCCCTTAGTGACGGCCAACCAGGACGTTGCTAGAGATGCGGGAATGTCGTGCACGACTCATCTCTCGCCCTGGGCCTCTTTATGGCTATCACGGGATGTATCACATCTCGTAATTCTTCAAGCTTGGCCTCTCTACTCAATCGTTCCTTTATCTCCTCAAGCCCAACCATTCGTTGGAACTCGAGGAGCTTCTGCCTCGGCAATGCCTTCGTCAAGCCATCTGCTCGCATATGTGTCGTAGGCACCCAATTGACCAATTCGAGCATCTTGAACCTCTTGTCGTAGCCAATGCTGATGAATGTCTACGTGCCTCAGTCTCGTCGAGAGCTTCGTACTCTCCTCTTTGAGAAGTCTGATCGTCTGGGCATTGTCGCATTCCACTACCAACGGAGAGGAATTCGGATGTCCAGGGAATTCAACAGACGGCTCAGGAAGATCGCCTCCTTTGACGCCTCTGAGAGAGCAAGCAACTCAGCCTCCGTGCTTGACGTCGTGACTGTCGCTTGCTTTGACGCTCTCCACGCCACTGATCCTCCAAATAGGGTCATGACGTAGCCTTGTGAGCTCTTCCTGTCGACTGAATTGTCTGCGAACGATGCGTCACTCGAACAGAGGAACAGCTCCGCTTCCTTCGATCCTCCTCCGAGACGTAACGCGTACGATCTCGTTGCAAAGAGGAAGAGGATAACTCTGTCTGCTGCTTTCTGGTGCTTCTCATCGGGATTGTGGTTATGTCTTGCCAGTCGGGATACGGCAAACGCAATATCTGGTCGCGTTGAAATTGCTGAGAAGAGCACGGAACCAACCTTCTGGAGATACTGATGTTTTTCCTTTCATTTGCTTGGCTTGTAGCTGGCAGGAGCTCTTCGTCAGAGATCATTGGCGTGTCTGGGAGCTTGAGAGACTCAGGGCGTTGTCGTTGTTTAACAGGAACTTATACGCGATCTTGTCGATATAGGCGTCTTGCGTCAGCCAAAGCGTCTTCCTTTGACGATCGCGGAGGATACGAATCCCCAAGAACCAGCGAGGTTCTCCAAGCCGAGTTAGGTTGATCTTTTTCTGTAGTCCCCGAGTAGCTTCTTCGACGACCCTTCGTCCTCCTTCCGGAATGCCCAGATGATGTCATCAACGTAGAAGAAGACGGTCACCGCTCCCTTCACCATGACACACGGCTCCTGGGAACTTTTCTGAATCCCAGTTCCTCTAGAGACGACGTAAGCATCTGTTGCCAGAGGAGCGGCGAGCGGCGTAGTCCGTAGAGAGCTTTTCTCAGGCGTAGGACTTTCCCCCTCTTCTGGAACCCCGGTGGCATCCTCATGAAGATAACTTCTTCGTCGTCGAGGGGGGCATGAACAAAAGCATTGACTGCATCCATCTGTTCCAATTCGAGGTCGTGTTCCGCGGCAATGGCCATTAGCGTACGAAACGACATTCCTGCGAGGGTAGTCGCTCGAGTAGGCAGGTCCCCCTTTTCTTGCTGATTGCCACAGACAACGAGGCGAGCTTTGCACTTTTGGAGATTGCCGTGCTTATCAGTCTTATAGATGAATACCCACTTGCAACCGAGGACCTGCTTTCCAGCAGCCTTCGTCCAGAAGACCTCGTCAAACGAGCCCATTTCCGCATGTGAGGCCAGGTGGTCTCTCTGAGCCTGGGTGAATTCCTCTCTATACGGGTGTTTTTCTAGTTGCTTCTGCGTCTGTGGAGGCTCGGGTAGGTCTCTCTTGTGGACTTTTGCGCTTTTCGGTCTGAACAACCTTCCTGCTGTGAAGGCTCCGTGCACCCCGTCCTCAATTGGCACCGGGACGAAGTCGGCAAAACGGTCGATGTATGACTGATCCAGCTCTGGTTGATCAAATGGTTCCAGAGCTTTCAAACGCGATTCTTTCATCAGGCCTTCAAGGTCGGCTTGAAATGCCGCTCCTCCAAGAGAGCAACCCACCCCTCAGGGTGAGCCTCCTCTTCAGGATCATCCTGAACCCGGACTCTCTTCTGAGCTTGCAACGGCTCCAGATCGACTTGGAAAGGGCTTTACCACCACCCCTTAGGGTCAGCGTATGGAAAGTGAACCGAAAAGACTCCATGTGGTTCTTCTTCCTCCGGGTCAGAAGCTGGTGGCGTTAGGTATGCATCTTCCAGCTCCCGCGCTCTCCCGTAGTCTTCTTTTCCTGCTCTTCGCTTTGTTGTTGTCCCTGCTCCTCGTCTTCGTTATCTTCAGCCATTCTGATGTCATCATCCTCGAAGTCCTCGATATCAGTGTCTTCATCGGTCTCTTCGTCAAGGATGGCCTGATTCGCCGTCTGGCCTTCCGGGATTTCAATCTGTTGGATCATCTCTCCGATGCTCGCAGGCAGCGGCATCCGCTCGCCTCCTCCTTCGAAGAACGTATACTCGTCAAAGACAACATCTCTCGTTGCAATGACCTTCTTCAAGAGAGGGACCCAAATTAGGAAGATATTTGTAGACTTATAACCGATGAGGTATCCGATGTGAGCTCTCGGGTCGAGCTTCCACCTCTTCCTCAATCCAAGCTGTGCATTTGCTGTCATTGCGTAGGCTCGGCAGCCGTACGCACGAAGATGTGAGCTGATTTTTCTTCCTGTGAACAAGTCAATGGGAGACTTCCAGTCGGCTTCTCCTTCGTTAGCGTTTTCAGCGGCGAATCGAGGCTCTCTTGGCGTTCGGTTTCGAGGTAGCAGGCTGCTTCGATGATCTCTTTCCATAGTGAATGCGGTAGTCGAGAGGCAATCCTCATGACTCTCGCTCTCTCGGTAGAGATCCTCCTGACCTCTCGGCTCCACCATTCTGGTCCTGAGTGTTGGAAGCTGACATCGCCTTTGTCATCCCTTTCTTCCTCATCCAGGCTGAGATTTTCTTCGTGAAGAGCTCGCCGTCAGAGCGCACGACATTCGTCTTAAATCCAAAGCGAGCGAGCATAAAGGAGGAAAAGTCTTTCAAGACAGCTCCGTGTTCCTTTGCCTTGTAGGTCTTCATGAAGTAGGAAAGACCATTCCAGAGAAGGCGTCTGTGATAAACATCACACGGACGTAGTTCTCGTGGTCTCTCGCAAGGTCGGTCCAGTCTATCCAGATCTCGTAGCACGGCTTGTCTCTTTCCTCGTCAGGTGGACGGCGGGAGACTTGCCTTCTGACCTTCCCCTGAGCACAGTACTCGCATTCGACGGTTTTCGGCCCTTAATCCGGACCCCCCTTTGTAGGCCTAGCTTGTGCAAAGCCATTGGACCAGGGTGACCAAGACGGGCGTGCCAAAGCTTGCCGTCTCCTTGAGAGGCAGGTCGAGGATCTCTTGAGCCGGCTCTTCGAGCTTTCCTTGTCTCCTTCTTCGATGCCTGGAACGCACTGTTGAAATCCGGGAATTCGGTTTCCACGGGCTGGTATTCAACAACAAACTGCTGATATTTCCTCTCGGTGATCCCGATAGTCTGGCCCTTTCGGACTAGCCTCATAGGCTCAGACAGCGTATCCCAAAAGATCTGATCGTCGTCGATAAGAGTCTGCAAAGAAACCAGGCTCGATGAGAAACCGGGACAGTAGGCAACCTTCTTTAATCGGGTGTTCGGTGGGAGCCGTCAGGCATCGTCGTTGCGACATTGACTCGCCCGAATCCTTCGATTCGAACGAGAGAGTCACCGGCGACGATAAAGTCATTCTTGGCCTTTTTAAACGATCGGAACCGACTGAGCTTGTTGTTGATATGAAGAGATGCGCCGCAATCAAGGAGGGTTGAATTCTTAAGCGGATATTCCGATCCCCTTAGGCCAGGGGACTCAGCTGAGAACACGAAAGCTGGGTTTGCTGAGCCCACAAGCCTTCCCCTCATCCTTGGTTGCTATTTCTGCATTTTCTTTCGAATATCTTCAATTCTCCTTTTCAGGACAGGATCGTCAGCGACTCTCTCGTGTCATCTTGAGATACCTTTCAGGGGCGGATTATAGCCCTCTGGTCTGGCTTCTTCGATAACCTGCCAGCAACCCTCGAGCTCGTGTCCCTTGCGTCTGCAGGCAAGGCAGGGATCTCTTTTGGAATATGGCTCCTTTCAAGGGCTCTCTGTCCAGCTTCTTCTTCTTCGCTGGCGGTACTTCGTCCGCATCGTCTGCGTCTGCTGCTGCTTTGTCCGCATGAAATGCGCCTCCTCTTTGATAGCACCTCGGGTTTTTCTGCTTCTCTGCTTTCGGCCAGATGCTTCACATCTCGCACGACTCTCTCAACAGTCCATTGACTCTCCGTCGGAGCTTGGGCTGCAAGAACGGCGGCGACTGCGGCCGTTGCTGCAGCGGCCATCGCGGCTACTGCAGCTGCTGCCGGATTGTGAACAACGGGGTTAACAGGAGCAGCAGCAGGAGGACCATATCGGTCGAAGTCGAACAGTTTCCCTGGGTAGCCTCTGATTTTGCGTCGAGTATCCTGCTTCCTTGTTCGTACTGGTAGCCTAGGGAGTTATCCAGAGGCCTAATCAATGTGGCAACGTCTCTAAGCCACTGGCCCGTTTGGGCCTCCATTAGCTTATACTTATCGGCGTCAGACATTATGTCTTCCCATTTGTCGATCCAGGAGTCTAGATCCTTTGCGTTAAATCTCTTTAGGTGGGTCGAATACTTGGTCCTTGTGAGATTCATCATATATCCCGCTTCAGGGGCCGTCGACGCTTCTAGACGTTTAAACCACTGACGAATTGGAAGGTCTTCGTCGAAGGCGTTCTGCTTCGAGGATACCACTGATTCCTGCATCGCTATGCGAGCGTTGGTAACCAGTTTAGTCTCATCTTTATACTCTTTCCTCCTGATATCATAGTCCCGCATCGCGTCGTTATAATCTCTCTTCTGAACGGCAGAGAGGTCAGCGAGTCTAACAGCATCAGGGCGTAGTGGCGGAATTCAGGTCGCTCAGGAGGTTCGAGGGGGTCCTCGTTGGTAAAGATCAGGCTATGGATCGTCTTGTCAGTTCGATTCCTGAGCTCCCTTCTCCATTTGTCCCAGTTGCTTGGTCCTGAGAGGATCGCTCGTGCAGGGGCGGCAGAAGACTTCGACATCTCGTTGATTTGAGAGTGGTTTTCGGTCGGAATGGAAGTTACAGGAACGTAGTTCCTCCCGGCTCATGACTGTCACGAATAGTAGGGCCAAATAGGCATAAAGTTAGTATTTCAGAATCGTCCGGTGCTGCTCCATTTTCCCTTCTGTTCTCTGTGTCTGTTCCTTCCTTCCTCGCCCTTTATTCCTGGCCACAATCTCGATCTTCTCCGTCTGCCTCACACCTCCGTCAATCGTCGGGGTGGCTGCGCCCTTTTTCCTAGGACACCGTCCCTGACGGCCGGGCTGACTGTCTCAGCCGACGCATCAGAAAGCAGGCCTGACGTCCTGGCTGACTGTCTCAGCAGGAGCATCAGCAAGCAGGGAACCTCTAGAGGTCCTACGAGCGGCTTCGCAACATACTCCGTTCAGGAATGTACGTGCGTAGCTTTGGATGCTTTGATAGGCTCGCCGTATGGTGAAGGAGGAGACAACTTCAACATCCTCTTTCTTGTTTCTCCAACCCAGCCCCCCCTTCTCCGTTGCCGCCTAAAAACGCCACAAAAACCTCACCATGTCAGGAGCTGAAGTGATAGGCATCATCTCGGGAATCATCGCTATACTCGACGTCTCTCACAAAGTCTACAGAGCCGTCGAGGACGCCTCGGGCCTGCCGCCGTCCTTTCGTGACGTGGGCTCGCGGCTCCCGCTCGTCCAGGATAGCCTCCGGGCGGCATACAGGGGCCTGGCCGAGGACCACGTTGCGCCCGAATGCTCCGGCGCCCTCAAGACGGTCCTCGAAGGCTGCAAACTCAAGGCCGCCGGGCTCGAGAGAATATTCCGGGCTACCATCCCGCCCGTCGGGGCGTCGAGGACGACCAAATATCTCAAAGCCCTCAGGACAATCCCCAACGCCACAAAGGTCGAGGGCCTGATGGATGGCATCATGAGCGATCTGCATGTCCTGACGGCGAATCATGCCGTCAAGACGGCGACGAGAGCGCAGATAATGAAGCTCATGGCGGCGGTTGACATGGATAACGGTGGCGGCTTCTATGAGGACAAGTCGTCGGTAGTCTTGCATAATCTAGGATCGGGATCACAGTTTGTTCACAGGGGGGTTGGGAACCAGAACATGACGAGCGGAACGGGATTGCAGTTCAACGGCGCCATGACCGGCGACTTTTATCTTGCTCGAGGCTAGTGTAGAATGGAAATATCGACCTGTTTATTGAGAGACATTTGGGCAGCCTGGGCTTGATAGACTAGAGACGAAGCTTGTTGCGAAGGAAGCTCTGAATGCCAGCATGACCCCCCGCGTAGTCCTCTGCTGTCCATCCACTCGCGTTTTGTGTATTGACATTGGCTCCTTCAGCCACCAGTTGGCGCACCGCAACCTCCTTCCCCAGCTGCGCAGCCAGCATCAACGGGGTCCGCCCATCGCGGTCCCGGGCCTAGAGATTGGCGCCCTCCATGCCTAGGACATGGACTGTGTCGGCCTGGGCGACGGAACTTGCTACGGCGTGGTGGAGAGCCGTAAAGCCTCGATCGTCTGCCGAGCTCAAGTTCACTCTCCTGCTCTTCGACAGTAGCTGTATCTCGCCGTTGAAGCCTCGACGAGCGGCGAGGTGCAGGGCCCTCAGGTAGTTTCGGTCATGCCCGTCATCCGGTACGCAATGCTCAAGCAGCACCCGCATCATCGACTGACGCTGCATCTGTGTTGCCAATGCGAGAGCACCTCTCCCCTCGGGGTCCTGGACACTGAGACTAGCTCCCCGTGATGCGAGTAGGGCGGCTATCTCGTCACAGCCGCCCAGCACGGCATGATACAAAGGAGTCAGCCCGGCCTTATCCCTCACATCAACGTCAACTCCCCGGTCGACAAGAAAGCGCACTGCCGCGAGGCTTCCCCTGTTGGAAGCCCGGTGCAGCGCCGTTGTGCCCCGGTCGTCAGCGGCGCCCGGACTGGCTCCGTGCTCGCACAGGAGCCAGGCCACGGAAAGATCGCGGCATTTCAAGGCCAGCTCAAGGGCATTTGGAATGTTCTTGCCCTCAAAAGTCAGGTCCGCCGTATTGGTGACCAAGAGCCAAACTATGGCCCTATCTCCGTTCTTGATGGCGTAGAAGAGAGCCGGCCAGCCTTTGTCATTTCGCTCATCCGGCCGGGCTCCTCTGTTCAGCAGCGCCCAGACAAGTTTCTGGTTTCTGAACTTTACCGCCTCGATCAGCGGGGTCGAACCATCCTTCGTCCTTATGTTAACTTCTGCCCCGTGTTCGGCGAGCAGCTGCACCGTGTCAACGTCTTGTCTCTCGACTGCGTCCATCAGGGGAGTCCATTCATCCTTGGCCGAGGGACGATTCAGGTCCACCCCTCTCCACAACAGGCGCTTCATCAGATAACGAGCATGGCTCTCGACGGCTTGTCTAAGCAATCCGTCTGGGGTTCCTGAACGAGCCGTCTTCCCCACGCCTCCCCCGACCACGTCAGGCCCACTGCAAAACACATGTCTCAACGAAGTGCAGTCCTCGTAGCTCTCGGCGTTCACATCGACCTGATTCTTGACAAATATGTCAGCAATGGACGTAGGACCATACTTGATGGCCGACGTCAAGGGACTCAGTCCCTCGTTGCCCGGAATGTCGAATCTCGCGCCGCTCTTAACCAAGTCTTGCACGATATCAGCACCGTGGCTAGTCGACCCCATGAGAGCTTTGTGTAGTGGTGTATCGCCAGCTCTATCCTGCATATTCAAATCTGCAGAGTTTCGAATGAGTAGTTTCAGGAGTTTCCGCCGGCCGTACCTCACGGCCCAGTGTACAGCAGTTTGGCCGTCACGACACTTTGCGTTCACGTCGACGCCGATTTTGATGAGACGATTCGCCCAGGATGGGATGTTGTAATGCATGGCGGCGTGTAGGCCGGTCATGCCATCCAGACCACGGTCCTTGGTCTCATCGATATGACGAAATGCCCTCGTTAGCTTGGAGCTGTCTTTCAGGAACTTGAGAACCAAGGCGTCGGTCCCGGGGTCAATTTTCTGGCCAAGGCAGCCGAGATGGGTGCACCAATTACGGGCTGCATATCGCAGCAGCGAAGTCTCCACGTCTTGGTCGTCGACTAATAGAGAAGTCAGGCACGTACTGGTCACTTCCAATTCGGCATCCTGCGAAATGATGCCGTGTTGTTCCAGATGTTCCTGCACGGACTCGTGGACAAGGCGCAGGCTATCGTTGCTCGTGTCCCTGATGACCAAACCAGCGCAGACGGACAACACCGAGTCTGTGGATGGCCGATGGTCTTGGAAACGTATTCCCTTGCTCCTTTGGATGGCAAAGCTATCCCGAATCTGTTCCGCGTTCAAGTCGGATTTTACATGTGCCACCCAAGTAAGAACGTGTCTTGCTAGACTGCTCTGAAACTCGGGTTTCTTGGTTATTTGCTGAATCGACGCCTCGAATGCATTGTGTGAGCTGTCGGGCAGCTGACGCAATGCGGCCATGATGTCGGCAAGAGTCCCCTGCTTGCTCAAGTTGTCCATGTGCAGCCTGGCCAACAGAAAGCTGTACAGAAATGTCAGGCCAGCTATTGTACATGAAAGGGGGCTGGACTGACATCTTGCTCGTCAATGTCACTCTGGTGACTTCTTCGATGACCTCCTGCCGATGGATAGCCGTTGCTCTCTCGCCGTTGAGGACCGCATTGCTCTGGACTCTACTTCTGACATAGGTCTCTATGTCGCTTTTCTTTGGTTCAATGCGCAGCTGTTGATACGGTCCGGCCTGCTTGGATGTGAAAAGGACTCTGACGTTGTACGGCATGCCTTTGAGGTCATTCATGATCATCTGGCGCGAGCTTCGGCCGGGGACATCGGGAAAGCTGTCCAAGTCATCAATGACCAGGTAGACTGTCTTGAGCGTGGCCACTTGGGCGTTGAATAGATGGAGATACTGTGATGAATGGAGTGTAGTCGATCCCTGAAGTGACATGTTGAACTCGTCCATGACTTCCTGCGCCAGGGTTTCATACCCATGATTTTGAAGGAGCTGTGCCAACAGAGTGGCCCAAATATACTCAGGTGGTTTGTGGTCTTCTCCTTGGGAATAGAAGTAAATGCAAGCAACGTCATTTCGCCCTCTTATTTCTTCCAATATGGTGTCAACGATGAGGGATCTGGGACAAAGAACGATCAGCAAGGCCTGTTACATTCCAGGGTAGGAAAGATTAAATGCCAACACGAGAATGGTTTTGCCGGATCCCACTGTTTGGAAGGTCATAGTCAGCTCGAGGGAGCAAAAACGTGCGGCATGATCCCCTGAGCGGTACCTACGATTTCCGTGTAGCTGCAGAAACCTCGAAGTTGTGGATGGGCTCTTCCAACTCTGAAATACCTTGCTGCTCAGGACCCATCCGCCTGTACCTGGTTCTCGTTGGCTGCAGTACTCGGAGTGGTGGCGGCGGAAGTTCAAGGCCGACAGGTCCCACTGACCCATCAGCCAGCTGATGACGGGCGTGACTTGAGTTCAGGTTAACTGATACGTTCTTTCCATCTAGTTGAACTCGGGATGAGGCGGGAAAACACACGCCTTGACTTGTCAGGCCCATGTCCCACATGGTCGAGGTGCCATAGCGAAGGCATGCCTTGGCCCGTCAGCAACGAAGAACAAGCCGATGGCAGGGCGGCGAGAGGCTCACAGTTGTAGTAGTAGGCATGCAGGTTGTACTGCACGCCGTTCCCGTAGGCCACGTTTTGGTCTCCATGTCCTTCAGTGACGTACTGACTGCCAGACCCTCTGTTGTCCGCCGCAATGTGCGGTCCTTGGGTATTTGAATCGGGCCACGCCATCCTCGAGGTGTTGCTTGACTCACATGTCCATCTGTCGCTCCACCTTTCAGCGACGGGTCCCCCAAGGCTTAAGAACTGTTGCATCGTTGGTCAGACTTGTTCGCATGGTCGGTCAGCAGCCGCGTCCAGAAATGGCAAGGAAGGGGGGATAGGCGTGGCAAGGCGTCCAAGGCCGCCACGATGTTGCAGGATGCAGTCCTTCAGCTAACCAGGATCTTCCACCAATGAATAAGTAAAAGCAAGTCTAGTCGCTGATTAGCCGCGATACGGCGAGGCACGAACAGCTACAGTCAGTTAGAGGCGCGGTTGGATCCAAGGCCAGGTGCTACCCCCAAGGCAGACTGCGGTATCTCCCAAAGCTCAATGCTCTGCTCTCCTCTGTCAAACTCCATTCAAGTGCTCCAGTGATGAGGGGGACGCATTGTCTCTACTCAGGAGCCTTCCCATGACCTTCCGGTTCAATCAGATTGCCTTCGACGCCTGTAACACGGCGAGGCGCGATGAGCAGTTCGCCGCCCGGACCCGCAAGCTATGTATCCCTGGATGAGGCCCAGGGGGAGCATGACGGGGACTATACCTATACAGTTCATGAGTCGACCACACGGCGTGGTGATGGGTGGGTATAGGTCGTCCTCCAGAGCCTCTGAGTTCATCTAATGCCAGCAGGCTTAAGCGGCGAGGCCAAAGCTGGGGGTCCTCGAATCGCCCTCGCCCGAGGCCCCCTGGCAGATACGGCGTCCCCGGCAGCGACACAGCGAGCAGCTTTACTGCAAGCTCGGTATTTCGCGGGCGAGGCTACGAGCCTCGCTCCTACCGAGGAGGGCGGCCAAGTGTCCCCTCCGCTGGCCAACCCATGGGTCGACGTCACAGGCGTGTACCTGGAGGAAGATCCCGGGATGATAAGCAGCCGTCTGAGACGCTGGCAGCAGCCGTTGTGCCGCCTCCAGGCAGCAATTTTTCTTACCCTCCGCCTCCCCCAAAGCAGCACAGGAAGCCTCTCAAAGTGCCAAAGGGCGGCAACTCATCTGCCCACTCGCTGCCGTTGGTAGAAACGCCCGGACTGAATCATCATTACCAGCCGCATATCCCACCCTGGTATTGTAGCCCGCCGTACGGTCAACACCCTGGTCCGTCCGTGTCCTTTTACCATAACAAGAAGCCGATTGATGTCAAGCAAGACTCAACTCGGCCGAAACATGTCGAAAACAGCAAAGTGGAGGCGCAGTTGAAGGCACAGCAAGAGCAGCAAGAGCAGCAAGAGCAGCCAAAAGCCAAGGAGGAGAGCAATGAAGTGGTCGCAAAAGCAAGGAAGGAGGGCGAGATTGCCGCGAGAATTCAACTCCGTGGTGAGCTGGAGGCAGAGCGGCTGGTGGTGGAGCAGAAACAAAAGATGGAAAGAGAAATTAGGGCGAAATTGGAAATCGAATCATGGGAAAAGGCGGCGGAGAAGGAAGCCAAGGCAAGACAGGAGGACGAGTTGGATAAGCGGGCCAGGGACAGGATACTGCGAAGCATGGACGAAATGATGGAGCTGGCCAGGCAAAAAGCTTTGCACGACATGGAAAAGGAGAAGCTCGTGGTCCAGAGGAAGCAGGTAGAGCTGGAACAGCTACGAGCCGAGGTTCGAGCCGAGATTCGAGCCGGGATACGGGCCGGGATACGGGCCGGGATACGGGCCGAGATTCGAGCCGGGATACGGGCCGAGATGGCGGGTCAACAAGGTCTGAGACGAGACGACGACGGAAAGAAGCACGAGGAAGCCGCGACGCCCAGACCGGCATCAAGGCCGGCATCCCAGAATAGCCTTCCCGTCCGCTCTTTCAGCACCACCGGCCGACACCTGTCTTCAGAGCAAGGGAGCTGGCTACCATCCCAAGGCCGTAGCACTTTGTTACAACGACCGCCCAGCCCACACGACGCCCCCAGAGACCCTGCCGACGGCAAAGAAGAGGAAAGCCTGAGTCAACCGCCATCCGAGCCAGCTACTTCTGACGACTTGGGTTCCGAATCCGGTAGCCAGAAAGCTTTCTGGAGGATGAGGGAAATGGGCATGCGCATGAACCTGCGGCTCGTCAAGCAAGAGCTGATTGATCCGGTTGTGAATCTGGTGATGCAAGGGCTGGTCGAACCGCCGGACTGGAGCATGCCAACAGGAGTGCACCAAGACGATATGCGGCATCAGCATGCGTCTGAGTGGGATGGACGCGACCCACTGTCCCACTGTCTCGAGGGGGAACCAGAGCCATTTCGCTCGGAACCGTTGGAGTCGGAACCAAGAGAATCTGGCTTCGCATCGAACCGACGTTCCCATTCACGGGCGGAGCCGCGCGGGTCTGGCGAGAGTCCTTGCCATCAGGCTCATGAGAAGAGCCGTCGGCGAAGTGACGGACGGCGGGACGCGGTTTCTTTTCATCCAGTGAAGATATCGGGTGAAGAAGAGCTACCGCGTGCCGAGGTGGAAGAAGTTGATGCTGAAGCCGAGACGCTTGACGTGGAGTCTGCCACTCGAGGACCTCTCGGCGAGCAGCAAAGTTACAATAAGGCAGGAAGGGACGGGGTGCTGTCAAGGGCCAGCGGCAAGGCTCCGGAGGGCAAAGTTGACAAGGCGGCATCGGTCGTCCATGAAGAGAGGGCTGCAGACCAGGCGGGCCTAGATGCAACGGCGCAGTCGACGAAGCTGAAAAAGCGACAGAACGAGGCCCCGGGGAGCACGACCGAGATTCCTCGCAGACGAGACGGATTGCCCGCCAGTATGGTGAATTCGCAGGGGCCAGACCGTCGCCAATGGCACGGGCTGGCTGGCAGCAGGGACATCTCAATTGTGAGGTCGGCGATTGAGCGACTGATGATGTCTCGTTCGTATGCGCAAGACTCGATCGATTAGAATAGGCTGTTCCTACGACCCTTGAGCTGGGTCTTGTCGAGATCAACCTTGTGTTTGTATTGTATCAAGCAGATGGAGGCAAAACGGGACTCTGAAAACTCCGGACTCCAATGTTTTTTTAGAGGCGTCGTTGGACGGCACGTGGGCGCCCCACTTATCCGGTCGTCAAGAACTCTCTATCGATAAGCGAGTTGGGACAAAAAAATCGGCCCTTCAAACTCCATGAAGCAGGTCGTCGTCACTCATTCCAGGTCATCAAAGCAACCAAAATGCCTCGCCGTGCAACCTCGCCGGCCCAATCGGAACCGGAGCTTGACATCCTAGGCTCTTTGTATCCCGGCGACGAAGAACCGACCAAGACGGCCACTGGCGAGCTAGACATTGACGCCATCCTGCATGCGCCCGACGCAGCAAATGATGACGATGACGAGGCTTTCATCGGCCTGCAGCAGGCGGCCTCGTACCGCAAGGCCTCCAACTTGAAGGGTCGCACGGTGAAAAAGGGCGGAGGCTTCCAGGCCATGGGTAAGGGAGAGCTGCTCCCCTGTCTCGACCGAGCCAGGCTGATGTCAAGTCACAGGTCTCAATTCCAACCTGCTCAAGGCCATCACGCGCAAGGGCTTCTCGGTTCCGACGCCGATCCAGAGGAAAACGATACCACTCGTTCTCCAGAGAAAAGATGTCGTCGGCATGGCCAGGACGGGTTCCGGAAAGACGGCTGCGTTCGTGATCCCAATGGTCGAGAGACTCCGCGCCCATAGCGCCCGGTTCGGCTGTCGGGCGCTCATCCTCTCCCCTTCGCGCGAACTGGCTATCCAGACCCTCAAGGTTGTCAAGGAGCTGGCCAAGGGCACAGATCTCAAGGCTGTGCTCCTCGTGGGCGGTGATAGTCTGGAGGAGCAGTTTGGCTTCATGACTGCAAACCCAGACATTGTCATTGCCACTCCTGGTCGTTTCCTGCATCTCAAAGTCGAGATGGGGTTGAATCTCTCCTCGATTCAATACGCCGTATTTGACGAAGCCGATCGCCTATTCGAGATGGGTTTTGCCGCCCAACTAACCGAGATTCTCCACGCCCTGCCTCCTTCGAGGCAAACCTTGTTGTTCTCCGCCACCTTGCCCGCCTCTTTGGTCGAATTCGCCCGTGCAGGCCTGCAGGACCCGAGTCTTGTTCGCCTTGACGCCGAGACTAAGGTGTCTCCTGATTTGGAGAGCGCCTTCTTCTCGGTTAAGGGCGAGGAAAAGGAGGGCTCCCTGCTACATATTCTCCACGATGTTATCAAGGTCCCTGTTGGCCTTCCCGAGGGAGCGCAAAATGACGACGAGAAGCCATCCAAGAAACGGAAACGAGGACCAGGCTCGGCGAGCGGCAAGCCGACGGAGCGTTCGACCATCATCTTTACGGCCACAAAGCACCACGTCGAGTACTTGGCCAATGTATTGCAGCACGCAGGCTTCGCCACTTCTCATGTCTACGGCTCTCTTGATCAAACTGCTCGACGAATTCAGGTCGAAGACTTCCGGAAAGGGCAGACAAACATCTTAGTGGTCACTGACGTCGCCGCCAGAGGTATAGATATCCCTATTCTAGCCAATGTCATCAACTACGACTTCCCCCCTCAGCCCAAAATCTTTGTCCACCGCGTGGGCCGAACAGCCAGAGCGGGCCAAAGGGGCTGGAGCTACAGCCTCGTCCGGGACATAGATGCACCCTACCTTCTCGATCTGCAACTGTTTCTTGGCAAGAGGCTAGTCGTCGGCCAGGATGACGGCTCCGCTTCGTATTCCAGCGATGTGGTTGTCGGGGCCTTGAAGCGAGATTCCGTAGAGTCTCACGTCGAGTGGATGAACAAAACCCTCGACGAGGTCGAGGACCTCAACGCCCTACGTCGAGTCGCGGGCAAGGCCGAAAAGTTGTACATGAAGACGCGCAACTCAGCATCAAGCCAGAGTGCCAAGCGGGCGCGCGAGGTCGTGGCATCAAATGGCTGGATGCAGCTGCACCAACTGTTTGGCGAAGACGTAGACGGCACAGAGCAGGCACGGGCGGCGATGCTCGCGAAAATCAGTGGCTACAAGCCCCAAGAGACAATCTTCGAGGTTGGCCACGCAGACAAAAGCACTTCCGAGGCGGCCGAAGTTATGAAACAGTTACGGAAGAGAATCACGCCGAGGAATAGGCAGGCCGTGAAGACGGAAGAGGTGAGGGGTGACGACGAGCTCGAGAATGACGATGGCGGGCTTCAGATGGACATCGACATGGCCGATGAGTCGGGCGAGGAAGAGATGGCAGAAGAAACGATGCTCAGCAATGACGAAGACGACCTAGAGGTGACCATCTCGGACGCGACGAGCAAGAAAAAGGGCAATCAGGACTGGCGCGACTCGCAAATGTTCATGTCGTATACGCCGCGGACGACCAACGCAGCCGAGGAGCGCGGCTACGGCGTGCACTCTGGCGGGCGGGGCTCGAGCTTCGTCGAGGCGGCGCGTGATGCCACCATGGACCTCGGTGACGACGAGACGGCCAAGGCCTTTGGGCAGCCGACGCGGGCCAAGATGCGGTGGGATGCTAAGGGCAAAAAGTACGTGTCGCGCGAGAACGACGAGGACGGGTCGCGCGGCGCGCGCATGATTGTCGGCGAGAGCGGCGTCAAGATTGCCGCCAGTTTCCAGAGCGGCCGCTTCGACAAGTGGCGCCGCGCCCAGCGCGTCGGCCGCCTGCCGCACGTCGGCGAGGCGGAGCGGCCCGGCGCGCAAGGCGGCGGCGGCGGCGGACTTCCCTCGGGCCGGCGCTTCAAGCACACGCAGGAAAAGGCGCCCAAGGAGGCAGACAAGTACCGCGACGACTTTCGCGTGCGCAAAAAACGCGTCGACGAGGCGCGCGAGAAGCGCGTGGGCAGGTTCAAGGACGGCATGGGCAGCAAGAAGGAGCTCAAGGGCATCCACGACATCAGAAAGGCGAGGCAGGAAAAGGAGCGGCGCCAGGCCCAGAACGCCAGGCCGCCCAAGAGGAAGTAGGCCAGGGAGGCATGGTACTGAACAAGACTGGAGAGAGAAAGCTGGCAATGAATATAAACGGGCTGCCGTTGCACCACCCGACTGCTGCAAATTATCTCGTGTGCTACTACTACTCTATACCGTATCGTCGCCAGATATCTATTGCCGTGTGCAACGTCCCCAATCCAGCCAAAGCATCTTCACCGAGGGACGGGCCAACAGCCCCGCAAAACAAGCTATCCACCAGAACCAGACGCTGTAAATCGAGCGAGGGGGGGGAGAAGGAGAAAAGAGAAGGGGCTTGCGATGTGCAGGAATGTCTTGTCCGGCGCATCAACAAGCTCGCCGCTTGGATAACAAGGGCCGCGCTTGTGGGGTATCGTGCTTCTTCGCAAGTAAAACAATGGCCGCACACTCATGGCACGTCTCTGTCTATGGATAATTATATCTGCTCGAGAACTTGGGAAATCGTGAGTGGTCATAACGCGGTCCCGATAAGACGCGCCGCTTCATTCCACGGCCTCTAGGTTCGTCGCCCACTGCCTGACGGCCTCGCGCAGGATATTTTGGCTCGGCCGCAGGTGTTTGTAACTGCCGCCGCGGCCCTCACCATTCAAATCGCGGTTGTCAACGGCGTCGCGGACCATGTCCTCCAGCGTCGACAGAATGACTGTCTTGCACTGCACTCGGGGAATGTCGAGCGGTGTGTCGGCCATCTGGGTGGTTTCTGAAACGGCATCTGGCATGGTCCTCCCGCTGTCCGTGCTCCGTCGCGAGTCACTAGGCGTTTGCGATGAGTTTGTCGAACTGCCTTTGCTGGTGTCTGGCGTAAAATGGATCACTCTCTCTATAGCCTCCCTCAGAGCAGTGTCAGATGTCGAAATATCTTCCTCGATCCAGTCCTCTTCAAAATGACACTCATAAGTTAGAATAAAGGGCGTCAGCGGTATCAGCCCGTTCGCATTGGACTGGCCTGGTCTTTCAGCCGGGATCTTTGGCTTTACCAGCCGACGGTATACGTGGCGAGTAATCGAGTTCGACGTCGTATCGGCAATAATGACGGAGCTAACATCCACCCATCGTTCACAAGTCTCGTTTCCAGAGGCACAATCATGAATCGGCGTCGGTTCCGCTCGCAGGGATGCCTTGATATTCTCCAGCAAATTGTCTTGGGGCGGCAGGGCCTGGAGAGCAAAGTCTGGATGGAACCGATTGAGCCATCCGGCGGCGTTCAGGGGCAAGTCCCCGTCGATCGAAAATCGTGCAGACTGCTCGAAAAACTCCAGGCCGCCTGGGAAGCCAGGTGTGGATAGGTAGCCGCTGCTGGACGGTGAGCTGATGGCAGACTCAAAGGACGCGATGTAGTCGGGGAACGGGACGTCAACGTCAATGACGCCGTCTTCGGCGTTGATCGATGTCTTGACGGGAGATTCAAAGGCACCAGAGGGGTCCGGGGTGCGGTCCGCCTGCGCAAACGACGCCTGGCTGGGAGTAGCGTCGTCCTGAGGCACGCCAAAGTTCCGGGCGCCGCTCCCAGGGCCTTTGCGGCTGGGCATGGATGCATCAGTCTCTTCCACGAGCGCCACCTCCTGGGCCATCTCAAATAGTTTATCGGAACGGCCAAAGCTGGATTTGACCGGTGATCGATACTCTGTGCCGGGACTGGCAGTGTCATCATCGAGGGAGTCCCTGCGACGCGGACTCCAAAGCCCGCTGACGAGGTTTCCCCACCGGAGCCCTTGACTCGGAGGTCGCGTACTGGTAGCGGCGGCTGGACCTCCGCTGCTCTCGCCACGCTTCAAAGATCGTTTGAGGTCGTCTGCCGCCACGCTCCCGCTGCTACCCGGACGGCGTCTCCTATGACCGTCGCGTTGTTGCTGGGCGCTAGAGAAGTGGGGTGTGGTCGTCTCTGCCATGACCGTAGTCGTCGTCGCAGCGCTGCTCTTACGAACCAGGATGTCTTGACCGGGCATAGGAAGGTTTGTGGTGCGAACGGACGCCGCATCAGAAGCTCGCCGTTGGTGCTGGTTTCGCTCCAGGCTCAGCTGCGCAAGTTGGCTTGGGACTGTCGAACCCCTGGCGCTTTGGCTGGCTGTTCTCGAGTGCGAGGCGCGCCGAAGACCACTGCGGCGATTGATCTTGCGGCGGAGGGATTCTTCCCGGAGAATCGGAACGACAAAGGTCGGTGGCGAGTGGGAATAACCGCCTACTGAAGTCGACGTGCTCGGCCGATGTGTGCGGGCGGTGGCCACCTGCTGATTCGCGGGAAGAAATCCTGAGAGGAGAAAAATGAGGCGTCGGGCGGCCATTTTATCATCGGATACAATGATTGTCCGAGCAGGCAGGGACAGATCCTCTTCGTTCCGGCCTTGTCGAACAGTGGCGGCACGCTTGCGATAGGTAGGACCGCAAAGGGCCTGCAGCCAGTCGGTGTGGATCGCCAGGAAGCCGGTGAGAAGGTTATAAAAGAATTGTCCATGGTCCATAGTCAAGGCCCACCTAGACATCCAGATGGCCTCGTCGCGCCAGATGCCCCAGCGTCCCTGACCGGTGATGACTCTGGCCGCACTGAGGCCCATGACGACTCTGCTTCTGGCGAGGCCGACCTCGGAGGCGATGTTGATGTCGTCTACCAAGCAGTTTGGTAACAATGAAACGAGTTTGGTGGTGCCCTTAGAGGGCTTCGCCCGAGACATGTCATGGCCTCGTCTGTCTGACATAGACGGCGTCCGAGACACAACGTTGGAGGCAGCGGGAGACGCACAGGGGCCGGGCGACGCAAGGTCGGCTTGCTTGAGCATCGTATGAAGCGTCGTGGCTACCATGGACTGGAGATGGGTCAAAGTCCTCATTATGATGTCCCAATGTTGGGTCAAGGAGTCAATGCGGTCCTCCATGTCGATCGAATATGAAGAGTCCGTGGCATCCCCGCAGATGCCGGATCCCATGCTCCAGCCGGCCTTGGTCGAGTTGTAGGATGAGGAGAAGAGGTCTTGATCGTTGTAGGAGCCGCATTCGCGGAAAATGGACTTGAGGGGTGCGGCGGAAGACATTCGAGACGAGGAGCGAGGCAATTGCACCACCAAGACCACAGCGTACATGGGTGTGCGGCGCTGCTTTGGTTGGGACTTCTTCTTTGGCGAGGGTTCCTCGCCGGGCCCGGGGAAGGGAAAAGCGCCATTGTCGTCGGAAAAGCGGCTCTGGGGCAAAACGTTGTTGTCGGCATCATCGACGGGGAGATTAACTGGGAACAGGCGCGTTATGAGAACCTTTTTCTTGTCCATCTGGCGCGCAGCGGTGCCGGTTGGCGGAACGGGGGGCCCAATGATCGGGGAGACGGCCTGTGACGACAGCGACTGGGACAGCTTGCTCGAGCGCCCGCTTGAACGGCCAATTGAGCTCCGGCCGTCTCCGAAAACGGATGAAGAGTGGTCTGCCGGGCGCGAATCGCTCGGCACGACGTGAACCTTTGTCGAGGTGCCCTTGTACGCCATCAACTCGGAATTGCCAAAGATGCAGCTCGAGAAGGTGGCCAGCTCCTCCCGATACTCGCGGGCTGCCCGCTGTGCGTCCGTCTCGGCATAACTTTGACTCCTGCTGTGGACGGAAGCCCGGCGATCGAAAGCACCCTGGCGATGCTGAGGGCTCTCGGACTGACTGGCGAAGGGTCGCGAGGCGTGGCTCTGACTTGCCATGTCACCACGCGGCGACATGGGTGGCTTTCTGGCATCCTTGCGCGCCGGGGAGCGCTCGGCGGATGCTTCCGGAAAAGGGTGGCTGTCGAAGAGCAAGGAGGCGTTGGCGGGGCCCAGGGCATCCTGTAGGACGATGACACGGACGTCGCGGACGTCGAGCTCGATGTCTTCGCTGTAGTCGAAAGCGTTGGCGGCGGAAGCTGATGGCGTGGCCGGGGCCGTGGACAGGGGAAAGACTTGATCGTTGCGGTGCAGGTGAAGGGCGTGAGCATCCGGAAAGAGCAGGTTTCGCGTGTGAATGTCTTCCTGAACGGACTCGAGGGAGAGGATGGGGCGTGAGGCGCCGCTGCTGCCGGCTTGGGCCTGAGGAGTGGCGGAGCCTCCGGAGCCGAGGTGGAGAAGGCGACCGAGCATGGTCGGGGACGTGTCCGACAGGCGCGACGGCGGTAGGAAGTGGATGAAGACTTGCCGTGCCGAGGCAAGGGACCAGGTCTGGTGGGTTCTGAGGTCAAAGCCAGCTCAGGCGAGCCGAGCCGCCATCATCAGCGGCTGTGGGAGAAAGGTATCTCGCGCTTCACGCATAGTCAAGCGGTGCCGGGAGACGTCGAGACGACCGGCGGCATGCAGGGGAAGCAGAGAGCGGCGTCGACGAAGACGGCGGGGAGGCGAGTGGCAGGCGGGGAGGCGAATGGCAGGCAGTAGAGCTGGTGGCGGAGAGGAGCAGATGGCGCGGGTTTTGATGCGCAGATGGTCGAGCTGGTAGGGAGAGAAGAGTCGCTAAATCGGCGGTGGTGTCGTTTTGCAGTTGAACAGCGGACGACGAATGGATGACGACCAGACCGCGCTCAACTGTCGCATGCAAGAAAAGGGGTGGAGAGAGCAAAGAGGGCGCACAGAGCCGAGCGGTGAAAGTGTGGGGATTTGGGGCAAAGAATGGGCCTCGACCGCTTTTGGGGAGGAGGCGAGAAGCTCGCGTTATGAGACGGCGGCCACGAACGAGGTCGAGAGGAGCGCTGTAGGTGATGAGCTTGCCGTCTGCGTCTCCTGGAGCTGATATTGTTGTAGTCGTCGTCGCTATTAATGCTGCTGTTGCTGCTGTTCGCAGGCGGGGAGACCAGAGGGCGGGGAGATGCTGCTTTCCAAACGAGGGGAGGCGGAACGGGGAGAGAGAGGCGGAACGGAGGAGATGGCGGTGATGAGATGAGACAGATGTGAGTAATAACAGGAGGGGGGGTGCGGCGTTGAGAGTGCGAGAATCGAGTGCGAGATGGATGGACCAAGATGGTTGGACCAGCACAAGCGACCGCCTAGGTAACTAGTTACTGTACAGAAGCAGCAGCAGAACCAGAAAGCCGGGTCAACCAGGCCAGGCCGGTACGTACCCGGCGAATGAACCTGGCCTGGGAAGGTGGGGCCGGCGTCTGTGTGCTGCCCGGAGGACCTCCCAGGCAAGGTACCTATTACCTACCTAAGGCCTAAGGTAGATAGATACTCATGTATCAGACACCCTCAGCTTGTACCTGAAGAATGGATAATTATCACGTAGAAACTTGTATAGTACAGGCAAGGGCCGTGTTGATGCGCAATGCCGGGCGGCGGCATGCCAATCACACACATACCTACCACGCGTCGATGCGCTGCAGAGACAGATCTCGCTCTACAAAGGAGGGGGCTGTTGAACGCCCGAACCTCGCGATGCGGGAACATGGCGGCCCCTCCAGGAGACATTAGCGGAGAGTTGTACCGGTACCCGGTAGAATCAGGTAGAGAATAATAAGGTGGGATTGTTGAATGCGCAGGGTCAGAGGACACCAGCAAAGGCGGTGGTCGATTTATCATAATGATGACCTAAGTTACTGGCCCGTTGTGCTACCGGCTGGAGGGCCAGGGTCTCGGGAGCATCATCAGCTCGACCAGGTCCGGAAGAGCACAGCACAGTAATACTGTCACTTACATCCTGCCGAGGTTAAGATGCTACAGGTCATCGAGGCACGGACCGTCGGTCCTGATTGCCCGAGGTACTGTGCGGTACATCCGGTCTACCGGAATAAGCAGACGAGGGGCGAGCCGGGGAGCCGGGCAACGCCGCCAACCAGCTGCCGCGACGGACATGCGGCTACAAATGACGCCTTCGCAAGTGGCCGTGGCCCGTCCCGGGATTGTCATCCAGCAGCAAGTGCGCACGAGGCGATTCGACCTGGCTTCATGCCCTACGAGGCTGTTCGACGGCAGTATTCAATGTCTCGTGCTCCGCATCCGCACCGTCCAGTACGGTACCTGGGTGAGGGACTCGCTTACACAGGCTTCGTTGCGGCCAACCAACCAACCAACCAGCCAACAAACGCAGACGTGGGCGCATGTGCATCATCAGCTCCCCCTCCGCATCCAAAATGCGGTGAGGGCCCGTCGTGGGAAACCAATGGCAGCACCCGCCTCGCCTTGTCTCGCCTGCCTGCGCCGACGTCATGTGCGTCCAGTTGCCGTGTCTGTGTAGAAGCGCCGGCTGCAGCCTTGCCTTGTGGGACACCGCTCTGCTTCTGGCGACATTCTTTGGCGACTCGCAAGCCAACAAGGCCAGAGCGAGGCGATGGCGACGGGGCTCGGGGCTCGGGGCTCGGGTCGGGTCGGATCGGTCTGGGACCACAGTTGAAGGCCAAGTTATCAAGGAAGGTCCCTTCCCCGAGGCACTACTGTGCACAGGACCATGAGTTGCTGCCCGGTAATAAGTCGTCGACTTCGAGAGGTACAGTACGTATTAGGCATGCACCGAATTGACCGGTGAGCGTCATGTGGGGGGGGGGAGAGGGCCCGGTCAGGGTTTCTACAGGTGCACAGCCCCGCTAAAATCGCTTAGGTGGACAAGGGTCCCGAATTCCATCCGCCTTCTGCTTCCAGCGTCGCATCCTTCAAACGTCGGACAGTGCACCCCCAAAACCATGTACAGATCATCACCATCCCAGCATCCTGACCGACAAATCAGTCGCAAGCCAGACGTCACAGGGACAGCCAGCCGAGCGGCGGCCGCACCCGACCATGGGCCTAGGCCCGATGGCAATTTTGCATCCCCCAGCAAAGACCCAGCAAAGACCCAGCAAAGACCCAGCAAAGACCCAGCAAAGACTCAGCAACGGCCCAGCCAGCGACGTCGAATCGACGACGCCGTGCTCCAACAAGCAAAAGGCGGCCGTTCCTGGCGACGGACGGATAGCCTACATACAGACCTAGCGTCGACGTCGCGGGGAACCCTGCCGACACCAATAGCCGTCCGTTGCAGAGCATCGTTTCCCGGTCTCCCCCTCGGCGTGTCATGCACGTGCAAACGCCCTCGAGAAGCTGAATGGCTCTTGGGGGACTGACAAACGAAGAATGTCATGGTCTCGGGCGAGAGGGTTGAATATGAGGCGGCGACAACAGCCGCTTCGGCACGTGGGCGCACCTGCGTCTCTGCTCGTCTCTCGGACTGGCCGTGCCGTGTCACGAGGGCCCCTGGCCGCGGATGCCAAGGCAAACCAACGTCGCACAAGAGCTTTCCGATTCCACAGCCAGCTCTCCGGCCCGTGAGCGTCCTGTCCGGCGTACGGGGAACATGCATATACAGGCATGTCTTCGCACAGCTCGACAGGCATCTCAGCCGACGCAGATCGAACTTCACATCCCGGCCGTCGCCGCAGCGTGGACTGCAGGCACCTCGGCAGCGATCGTCTCGCCGTCTATAATTAGCTTATTTGTACTGTAATATCTGGCACCGTCTAGGCAATGCGACGCAACATCATAAAAACCGCCGCCTGCTCGCGCTCCTCTTACTCGGGGACGCGCAAGCCAATACCCCAACAGGCAACCCACCCAGTGCCACCCTACTGCGGCGACTCATCAGCCGTGCGCGGCGTCTTGGCAAATGCCGACGGCATTCAGCCCAGCCTTTCGCTGTGACGTGACGGAGCTTAATAATTCTCTGAGACTTGTCGCGGCGCCAAGTTCGGGGGCGGGCCGCGGGAGAATTCAACGCCACGCTTCCAGAAGCCCACTCGATTCAAGCATGCCTGCCCGGTCCTCCACCCTGGCTGGCCTGGCCCCCCTGCAACTGCCTACATACATACGAGCTGAGCCACCGCCGTCCGGGTCGCAAAAAGGGGGTTCCGCCCGCTGCCGACGAATTGCGGTTTTGTTGGACTGGTCCGTGTGTGTTCCGTCATCTCGGTACCGGCGGCCAACGCGACTGCCGACATAGATTAGGTATTTGATTGCCATCAAGACGAGGCGGTCAAGTCATCAACCAACGACGCACGGAAAGAGATGGTTACAGACAGGATATTGGAACTGAGTCCACGCCTATTGAGCACATTCACACCACAGGCTCTGCGCCTTGAAAGCCACTGTCGTACCCCTGGAACCGTCGAGGGCCAGCCCAGGTAGAAGCAGAGCCTTGGTCTATCATGCCATGCCTTGCTGGCCAACCTCGCAGTTAAGTCCTTTCATTTGGCCCGCGCCAGTGTGCTCGCCGCACAGCTCTCCACAGACGAGCCGGCAACAAGCCCGTTCCCGTTGACCAAGACGGGAAAAGGGAGGAGACGAACCCTTTCCCATGTCGTGCCTGATGTCTTCCAGGTCGATTCCCCTCGGGGCTATCTGCAAGAGGAGGCGTCCACGTCTCTTTGTCATGGGAATCGCCGTCGCGACCATGAGAGCGCTCCAAACGCTGACGGCCGGTTCAATGCAGTATCTCGCTTCATCTTTGATTTCCCATACCACAAGAGCTGACATTATGACGCCAATGCTGTTCATGGCCACCCGATATGATGGATGAGCACGCCGAGCATCCCCAAGTCTCGGCCAGGGGGTGGAGGACTGATGGTATTGTACTTGTGCCCATGGTGGCACTAGATGCAGCATGGGAATGGGAATATTGGCAGATGGTCTGGGTAAGGCGCTCCTCTCATTGACTCACTGCTTTGGCGTGGGACCCGAACTCAGAACCATCGACTAACTCTTCAGAGATATCTTCAGCACGTCACTCAAGAGACGGCAGGCTCGCCGTGTACAAATGTCAGGGCCAAGATGCCCAGGCCCAGACCAACACACGCCACAATCAAGACAATCTTTGGATATCCGGCGGCTACAGTGTGGAGTTTTTAGACGGACTAGCCCACGTATCAGGCATTCAAGCCCCGACTCTGGCTGGAACTTGGACGAGCTCGCCACCCAAGCGTGGAGAGAACGCGCACCGGCTTCTCCCTTTCTTTGCTACTCTTCGTGTGCCGCGTCGTGTGACGAAAGAGGCTTAAATCCTGGTTGCGCTAGCCGCCTTCGAAGGCGTTGCAAGTTCAATTATGTCCATATATCAGGCTGTCAGCCCTTGCCTCTGGGCTATGATCGTCAGCCCAGTGGCGGGGAAGCGTTGCTGGGTAGGCAAAGGCAAGGCGAGAGCTTGCACACACCGAGAACACGTATAGCTTGTCAGTCAGGTATCGCTTGATGGAGCTAAGTCCTTTTTATCGTGCACGGATAACGTGGTTCGGAGTCTGGGACGAGAAAACTCGAGCGTTTGGCACAATCCAGCTTTGGGCTCCTGGTATTTGATCAGCCAACCAGATGGGCTTTCGGGAATACCGAAAAATTCCCGGGACCATAATATGTCCAGCAAAGTGAGTCTGAGGTTAGCAAAGCATCTCCGCACATGCCTCTGCCTTCGCGGCGCAGCACCAAAGGGGCAGGCGGTGGGGCTGAATCTGCCGCGACGTCAACTGACAACCCGCCCTCCTCGCAGCTTTCAACAACGCGCCCGCAATCACCACCAACCGGAGCCCCAGTCCGCTCTCCACACGGCTCTGTCACTGCCATGAGACACTGCCAGGCCTCATGTCTCGACATGGCGGCGCGACATCATCCGGTCCGCGCAAGGGGCCGCGATGGTCCCATCTCCGTCTGCCGAGCGGCTCCGTCTACGATCGCGCACTAGCCGCCGAATCTCCAGGCTCCCCGGGGAGCTCCTCGACGCACTCGACGGTCAAGGAGCACAAGCTGCGCCGGCTCGAGCGGTATTGCCATGTCGTCGTCAACGAGGGCTATGCAAAAGACGAGGTCCTGCTCAACCTCGACCTCGTCGGCTCCGACATCAAGCCTGGCTCGCTCGTGTCCATTACGCCGCTGCGGGGCGACTCTTCGAGGGCCTCCTCGGCGGCGTATGGCAGCTTGAACAAGCAGCCAGTCGCTGACCATGGCGATGGCTCCAAACCGACGCTTGGCGGCCATAGCGAGCACGACTGCGCCCACAGCAGGTTCATTTTTATCGCGAAGGACATGCCCAAAGAGCTAAAGGCCCGCCAGCCCGACGTCGAGGTTTACGTCGTCAAGCACATCGCCGACGCCTTTGGAATCAAGAAGGGCACCCAAGTGTTGCTAACCCCTGTAAGCGCTTGCCCTGACCCGTCCGCTGCCCCTAGCTAACCATCTCCAAAGGTAGACAAGGACCGCCCCGCGACAGAGGCGACGCACGTCGAGCTGACATTCAAAGACCAATATATTTCAAGGGCAGACATGTGGAGGCTTACGGCGGGCGAGCTCACGCAGCGAACCGTCTACAAGGGGCAGTCGATCCTATTCTTAGGCACCATCAAGGCGCAGGTCACCGCAGTCTTCGTTGAGGGCAAAAAAGTTCACTCGGCCTTCTTTGTGCGCGATACCCGTCCCATCTTCCGCAGTGAGTCCGCGAGATATGTCTTGTTCATCCAGATGGCAAGGGAAATGTGGGACTTTGACTCGGAGAGCTCGGGTGAAATCATGTTCGACAAGGTGGTCAATGGGTTTCTGCCCGCCATGTTCAAGCGATGGGTATTTCTCAAAGTCAAGCACCTCGTCAGCATCGTCCTCTTTGCCCGCGTCGAGTACGACACAGGCCTCAGCAATGAGCTCGCCAGCAGCGCCTTGCGCTGCGACTATTACACGGGTATCCAACCGTCGGGCAACCGCCGGCCTTACAAGGACTTTTACCGCGTCGTTGTCAGCCAAATGGCCAGCGGGGAATGGACAAAGATCCTTTACCAGCTGAAGCGCGAGTTCAACTTTTTCCGGCGCGACATCAGCCTGCACCATCAAATGTCCGGCGTTACCTTTGGCCCATGCTTTGAAGAGAAGGGGGCCAGGGATGGCGCCTTGAACAGGGTCAAGGCCGAGTCCTCCTTATCCATCCACGGAAATGTGCTCGAGGCGATTAACCTTGCTGCTTCGCAGTTTGCTCATGACTACATCGACAGAGACCTCAAGCGCACCGGCATCTCAATCGCCGTCATCACCCCGGGACCGGGCGTTTTTGAAGTCGATTACGAGACTTTACGAAGGACGACGGAGGCGCTGGTTGGCAACGGCATCGGCATCGACCTGATCTGCATGCCCCGGATGCCCCTCCACTCTACGCCCCTTTTCAAGTATCGAAACCCCCAATATTCTGAAGATGGACCCTCGGGTCCCGGGGCTACCTTGTCTCGATCATTCCACAGCCACGACAGTACTCCGAATCAGCCGACTCCTATTGTCGGAAGCTACCAGTCCATGGCGTCCTCGTTCTCGCCCACGAAAGCCTCAACCGTCGTCCGCCGCATTGAATCGTTGGCTCTCACCGCAGCGAGCGAGGAGTGGTGCTATGCATTGCCGCAATGGCTTCACGTGTCGTTCTGGACAGGCGCATCCGACGAGGCCTTGTCTTACGCAGGCATCGCGCTGACTGTTTCGAACCAGGTTGAGCAAGACGATGAGGATGAGTTCAAGATTCGCTGTCGCATGTACGACTTGCAAATGAGGAGCGTCCTGGATGTCAACGAGATCGAAGCAGCCCCACTGCAGGCAGACGCCCACTACCCGGCCCAGGCGATCGATGCCAGCCCCGCCTCGAGACGTCGCCAGGACCGGCTGGGCGATGTCCTGTATACGCCGAACTGCCGTGTTCCGGAGTCCCTTGTGGATAGTGTCTTGGGGATTCAGAAATTCGTGCCCGACAGGCTGGTCCGGCCGGGGGAAAAGTCTGTGTGGAAGCAGCTCCACGAGTTTGACGATTCGCGGAGCCGCCTATCAGCTAATAGGCAATTTCATCAGTCAGCAAGGCACAGGACTGAGTTGGATGATGTGGCTCGTAGGCCGCAGGTGGAGGATTCCAGCATCTTGGGATCATCCCTCCCCGAACGGAAAGCAGTGTCTCATGCGCCAGTTTCTAGGAAGTTCTCTCTGACCCCTGCTGAAGCGGAGACGCCTGTTGTGGCAGCCGGAAAGAAGCCTCTCGACCCGCCCGTCAGCGTAGCAAAAGCAGTCGCTCCGCCCAAGTCGCTCAAGCCGCCCAAGTTCATGAGACACATCAGCCTGGGACAGCGTGGCTTTGGCATTGCCGCCCCCAAAGTGGCAATTGCAGAGGTAAAGGCAGAGACGGTCAGCGCCTCCGTCGTTGGCACAGGAGACCTGCGGCCGCCCTCTACTCCGCGATCCGTCTCTGAACTCCGACCGTCGACCCCGCAGACAATTGTCAGCCAGTCGTCTCCTTTGTCTGCGCAGCGGCCCAGATCAGAGACTTGTGAGTCCGTGACCGACGGTTTCTTTGCGACGCCGAGCATACCCATCACGAAACGGGACGGGCATGCCCAGGTCACCCTGACGGCCAGCCAACTCATGCCGCCTTCACTGGCTTGGCAGTCATCCGGCGTTCGACGAGACCGGCATCACGACAGCGAAATTGGTTACTCGAATGCGTTGCGGGCGGAAGATGCGCAGAAGGTATATACTAGTAAGCTGCGCGCCGGCGTAGTCCCCGAGCTGCCATCGACGCTCTCCTCCACAACCACCATCACCCCATGGCTGAGCCTGCTGAATCCATCCAATCCTGAGCGCCATCGCATAGACGACACGGTACTGTACAGCCGATGGCAGCACGTGTTTCCCAGGACGTCGGACATGAAGGTGCAAAGGTGGAAGACGTTCTGCTGCCCTGCGGCCGTGCCTTTAACGACGGAATACTTTCCTTCAAAGGCTCAGTTCGATGCCGAGTATCAGCGCCATCCGTACAATGTCGATCAGAACCTCGACGACGAAATGGCTGATGAAACGCGGACTCGCAAAGAGTTTATAAGGGAACTCATCAGCATGCGCTTCTCGCAAGGCTTTCAGGTCGTCGTCGGGCCATCCGTCGCGCGGGCTTTTGGCCAGAAACTCATCAAAGTGGCCGACGTCTTTTCCCGCGACCAGCCTCTCGACGACGGGACCAGCTTGTTTATGTCCGTCGGAAATACCATACACCAACTTTCCTGCATAAACGGAACTGAGGTCGAGGTCACCATTTACGTGCGCAAGCCAACGCAGCCCTCCGTGTCGTCACTGGGGTTTTCTCCAATATACAAGCCGGCAATCCGGACTCTGCTCGACTCCCAGTACGAGACCAGGCACATTGATATTCTAGCGCCCAATCCGGAACGAAACTGGAATACTATTGACTCCTACCTCGCTGGTCATCATGAGGAGATGATGGAAAGCTTGAGGTTCTGGCGTGCGAGGTTTGTGCTCATCCCCCTCAGCCCAAAGCACCCGTCGATTCAGAAAACGCAAACGGGCGACAACCCCGAAGAACTCCGAATCGAAGGGATCAAGCGGCTGGCTCAGCTGTGGCAGAAAAATCGCTTTTTCCCGCCGTCGGAGAAACGGTTTCAGACCCGGGACAACCGACAAAACCCTCTGGACATTGTTTATAAGACAGAAGATCCATCTGTGGTTATTGCCGCCGAACTCGAGACACTGCCGCTTCTGGAAGGCCTAGAAGGAGTCCATCGCAAGGGCAAGCTCGTGACGAGAAAGGAGCGTTTTCAAAAATCCCACATCAACCTCGCCGCCCTGGCCGAGGCAATGCAGCAGCCGGTGGAGAATGGCGGCGTGCCTCTGCGAAATCGACGTTGGCATCTTCGTCTGCACAACGCCGCCTTTATCGGATCCGACATGACCACCTGGCTGCTGGACAACTTTGAAGACCTTGCGGATCGCGAAGAGGCGGAGCAGCTGGGCAATGCTCTGATGGCTCCGGACGATGTCAAGGGCAAGGACAGGGACAAGGACGGCTCGGAGACCCGAAGCGATAAGGACAAGGGCTTGTTCGTTCACGTGGAGAAGCGGCACAAATTCCGAGATGGCAATTACTTCTACCAAATCGCCCATGACTTTGCGCGGCAGCAACCCGGCTGGTTCAGCTCGAGGCGGCGAGACGCGTCTGTGCCGGCGACGCCCATGTCAGAATCCGGAGCCCGGGACTCGCCCCATGGCGGCTTTCCCCGCCCGCCCGGCTCTGCCAACGAGGGACAGTCACCGGCCTCGACTTCGGCCACGCCCACCTTTGGCACGGTGCACGGAGCCAATAACCGTCCTCGGGTCGTGCTGAGCAAGATGATCAAGTACGACACTGATCCTCGCAAGCGGTCGTACCGTCCCGAACGGATAGACCTGCACTATGACCGCCTCCATAACCCGGACAACTGCTTCCACATACGCATCGACTGGATGAACGCGACGTCCAAGCTCGTCCAGGACGTGATTGAAAGCTGGGAGAGGGAGGCCAGTCAGTACGGTCTGCGCCTGGTCGAGGTTCCCATCCACGAGGCAAGCAGGATCACCGAATCGAATCCGTTCCGGAAGCCCTACCCCATCAAGCTCGCCGCCCGACCCCCGGACGAGAAACCGGAGGCTTACTACGACCCGAACTCACTGGGACCGCAGATTGCGCCGAGCAAGCACTTCTACCAGACGGCCATACTCCGGAGCTTTGACTTTGTCCTCGACCTGGAGGCGGCATCTAACTTCCCGAGCAACGTGGATGTGCGATACTCCTGGGGCAAGCCCGACTACCAGTATACGCAGTTCATCCACCGCTCTGGCGTCCTCCTGGCCCAGATCACCCACGAAGGCAACTTCCTCGTCCTGGCGAACCGGCTGTATAATAAGAGAGTTGTGGGCGCCGTGCGGGACAAGGAGGTGCGTGTCGTGGGCACGGCCGACCAGCCGCACCTTGACCGGGGCGGCGGGCGTTCCATGGGCATCGCGGGCTTCAGCACCTACAACCTGCCCGAGCCCACAACCATGGCGTCGCCCCTGGTGCGCCCGACGTTCCACCGCTTCTCCCCCGTCGCGCCCTCGGCCGAGGCTGCCCAATCGCCCAAGCCGCCCGCCGTGCGCGCCCACCCAGAGGGCCTCAAGGACGAGCTCGAGATGTTTTGCGACGACCGGGCGGCTCTCGACGCGTTTTACAGGGAGACGCTTGAGAAGGGCAAGCGCGCCGGCGGCACGCCCTCGTCGGCGGCGGCGGCGTCCGCCCTCGAGCCCGTCCCGGAGGCTAGCATCCCCTCGCTGGGCCTCCCGCCCGGCGTGCTCGGCGGTGTGAACTCGGGCGCGGGCGGAGCCGCAGCCGGCAGTGGCGCCGGGGAGGCGGGAGAAGGAGCAGCGGCAGCCGGCGGGAGCAGTCCCGCGGCGGGCAGCGTGCGGATCGGCAGTCCCACGGTGTTGCTGCGGAGGGGGAGCTTGCAGTTTGACGGCTTGGGGCTCGGGTCCAGGGGTAACAAGTAAGTCGTCGACGCATTGAGATTCTGGCTAGCTGGTTGGAGCCTCTTGACTTCTCCTTATGCTCCTTCTATTTTCACTATTTTGCTTCTTGCCCCCTATCTATCTGACACTAGTCTCGAGCAAGCGGGGGCGAATAGTCCATGCCTCGCGCGGAAATCAAAAGTCATCCGAGGCGTATTAAAATCCTGATATCGTGACGGCATCGTGCAGGGTGTGAGCGAGGAAGCAGAAACAAAACTCGGACAGGCACGTGCAGAAGACTGCAATTGAAGACGGCCGTGCTACTTTGCAGGGCAACAACTTCTTCATCTTGATTTTCATATCTTGCATTCATTTCTCTCTTCTTCTTTACACCCCAAACACTCTCCGCACCGCCGCGACAACCCAACACCGGGCCCCTGCCGCGCGAGCACATTTGCTGCTCCCCCTCTCCACATCCAGCGTATGCTATTAAATTGACAAGAAGCGAAGACGGCGACGAAAGGCGACGAAAAGAAAGTCATGGATAGGGGCAAAGGGAAAGAGGGGGTCAAAGACCGAGGCGTGACAAGAAGACGAGGGCGAAAGAAGATGGAACAAAGCACGGGTCGAGTCGGAAAGAATGACCGCAAATAGCGCGAGCGGCGTCGATTTGCGCGTCGTGAAAGGTAGAATGAATCCAAGACAGGAAGCGCAGAGGACCGAGGGAAGCAATCACCAGAGCCCCTCCCTCTACCGCAATGGAGCGCGACGTGCTGACATGACTATGTGCAGGCGAAGATGGCGTGGGATGGGACAATTACAGTCGCCTCTCCAAATCGGCACGGCCCTGGATGCTGGAATCGAAAAGGGAAAAGGCGCGGGTATTAGAAGGTAGATATTCAACGCAACCGCGCAAGAGCACGTAGGCCTCGTCACGCCCAGGTCCAAATGTCGGCATTACCCGGCATTACCCAGAGCTGCTCTGTTGCTCGTTGGTGGCTGAGTCGGGATAATCTAGACGCAGTGTCAGCAAGCCAGCAAATTCCATCGTCGTTCGAGAACAAAGCCCCCGTTTCCACACAGCAAGGAAGCGACGAGACATACAGAAGGAGCAGACGGCAATAATGGCGTACAAGCAGATGAGGAGGAAGCCCTCGAGCCAATGGCTCTTGCCATCGCCAATGAGGTAGTTGGTCAAGAGGACGGCGACAAACATGACGGCGACCTGGAAGAAGTCGAAGCTGAGGTTCATTTGGTCGTTGCCCTTGCCCCATCCGATGACGACGAGCAGGGGAATCAGAAACAGCGCGACCTGCATGCTAGAGCCGACGGCGACGCCAATAGCAAGGTCCATCTTGTCCTTGATGGCAACGGTGACGGCCGTCGCGTGCTCGGCGGCGTTGCCCACAATGGGCAGGAGAATGAGGCCGACGAACTCGACCGAGAGCGGGCCGTCGTGGGTGACGGAGTCGATGGAGTCGACCATGTACTCGGCGCAGAGGGCGATGATGGCGGTGGAGCCGGCGAGGGTGGCGAGGGCGACGATAAAGTGCAGCTGCGGCTCCTCTTCGTCATCGTCGTCATCGCCGTCCTTGTTTAGACGCGGCGGGTTCATGAGCATCCTCGACAGCCGCTCGTTCTCGGACTGATGGGGCATGCCGTGGCCCATGAGGGAGCCGGGCATGGCGAAGCCCTGGCGGATGGCGCCAGAGCCGAGGCTGGCGCGGCTCCAAGGTTTGGCGGGCACCTTCTGGCCCTGCTCGCTGAAGACGGTCTGGTGCGTCTTGAGCTGGAAGAGCAGGTAGGCGGCGTAGACGAGCAGGAGGATGACGGCGGTGCCGCGGGAGAGGGCGGCGACCTTATCGGGGCCCGTGTCCTGGGCGGCATCAAAGACGGAGGGAACGATAACGGAGGCGGCGGCGAGGGCGAGGAGCGAGGCGGCCGTCTGGGCGACGGTAGTGTTGAAGAACTGCTCTTGGCGGCGGAGGCCGCCAAAGAAGAAGCAGCAGCCCATGACGAGCAGCAAGTTGGAGAGGATGGAGCCGATGAGGGACGTCTTGACAATGGCGACCTTGTTGTCGTTGAGGGCGATGACGGCAACGATGAGCTCGACGGCGTTTCCAAACGTGGCGTTGAGCAGGCCGCCTAGGGTCTCGCCGGTGCGCAGGGCAATCTCCTCGGTGGCAAAGCTCAGCATGGCGGCGAGGGGCACGATGGCGACGAAGTTGACGACGAAGACGACGACGCGGCCGACCGAGGGGACGTAGTTGAGGGCGATGCCGACGGGGGCGGCAATGATGAGGACGTTGATCCACGAGCTGAGAAAGGTCCTCTGGAGCTGGTTAGCGACGGTAAAGGGCGTCTTGGGCTGGACATGGCGGATCAAGCCGTTGTTGTCGCTCGCGCCCGACTTTCTCTCCTCGGTGTCGTCGGGGGCGGAGTCGTGGGCCTGGGCGGGCAAGCCGTTGACGGCCGTGGTGCTCTCGTCCTCGGGCCTTCTGTTGCGAAGGCCTGCGGCGTTGAGGGAGCGGTGCGAGGGCGACTTGGCCTCGCTGCCGGCCCTGCTGCCGGACCTGGCATACTCGCCGGGCTGTTTGGACGCGTCGGGCATGAGGTTTGTGGATTCGAGGCCGCTGGGCATGGCGATTCTGGGCGGGGACGGGTCGGTAGCGGCGTGGGCCAAAGGCTCGACGGGCTGATGCTCGAGGTTACGAGCGCTCCAGGTCTCTGCGCGCGCCGCCCTGTCGCCGCCCCAAGTGACGTGCCGGAAGGGGTTCCAGGTCTGGTCGGAGCTGGAGCGGCTGACGGTGTGCGCCTGGCGCTTGTTTCTGAAGTGATTGACTGCCATGGCGGGCGGCGCATCGGGATGATTAGCGGCTGATGGGCGTTAAGCGGAAGAGGGGGGAGACGGGGAAAGGAGGAAAAGAGACGAGCGTCATGGCAAGGCAAAAGAAGAGCGGAGTGGGACGAATGAGGTGTGAACTGTGCGCTGTCCATGGATAACGCGGCACCGGCTGCGGCGACCAAGGAACAGGCCGAGCCACAGCTTGACGACGCGCCAATCCAATTTCATTTTTCCTCCTTGTTTCTCGCCCGCTCTCTGGCCGTGGATGACGGGGAAATGAAGAGTAGACACTCACACGTCGACATGGCGAGAAGCGTCGTCGACAGTTTGTTTCGTTTCGTGGCCGCTCGCCTGGCAGGGTATCCGAAAACGGAAAGGAAGATGACGTCGAGCTCGACGCCCCCCATGCGCCCGCTGTTCAGACTCGGCTCTTGGTGCACGGCGTCGCCCACCAGCAGAGCACCCCCTGTCCCCGGGTGCCTCGCAGCTCCCGTCCGTCTGTGTTTGTATTCGCCCGCTCGTCAGTGGCTTGCCGATTGGGGGCTGGAGAGGCGCCGCAGGGGGTGCGAGATCTTGGGCGGCGATCGGGCTGCAGGGCCACGGCGCGGCAGACGATGGACGCTTCGGTTCGTGGTCGAGCAAAGAAAGATGGCTGATGGGGGGGGTGGGAGGCCAAGAGATGGCCAAGAGGTGGCCAAGAAGTGGTGGCCAAGATTTGTAGGTATGGGAAATGAGCTCTGCAACCAATTCCAGCCCCTCTCCAAACAAACAAAACACCAACTACCTGGCCGCGTCTATTCTTTCCCCCTTTCCTCTCTGCTTCCTTCTCACTCTCTTTTCTTTTCCCCTTTATTATCCCATTTTCCCTCCCCAGCAGGCAGAAGAGAAAATCAGGCAACGGAAACAAAGGTAAAATCAGCCTCTCTCCCCGGTCTTGGCTTCCCCATGGGCCCGCCCCCCCCCTCCCCCCACCAAGATCCGTCCCTTGGCTCTCCCGACCCCTGCAGGTACCAAGACAGATCAGATCAGATAAACGACACCTCCATCTTCTCCACCACTCCCTCCTCCACCCTTCAACGCCCTCTTCTTGATCCCATGGAGCACTCAGCGTCTACGGCACATGCACACGCTCCTCCTTGTCCCGAAAATCTCCCATCAATTGGCCTCGCCTATCCCCAGGGGCGCCAAGGTATCATTTGAAAGCACCCAAAAGACTCCCCCCAAATCATCAACCTGAAGCAAGATGGCAGCAAGCAAAGGCCAAGCCAGAAGCCCTTCCCAAGTGAAAATGAGCAACGCCCTCCCCAATGTCCTCGTCCTCCCAGACGCCTCTAAATCCAGTCCCCGTCCAGTTCTGCCTCCTCGCTCGGCGCCACGCTCTGCTTGCGCGGCCGTCCTCGTTTCCGCGGCTGTGAGCTGGATCGCGCCCGTTTCTTGCGTCCGCCCGGCGTCGCCCCTCCTTTGCGCTTCCTGCCCCGATCTGGTCCTTCTCCCTCGTCCCCGGCCTCGCTCGGTGTCGCCGGCCCGTCCACGCCCATTCCCTCGTCTTCGTCCGCCACCTTGAACTCCTTGTCCACGCTCATCAGCTCCACAAACTCTCTGCACTTGCGCGCCATTTCCTCTTCACTCTGCAGTCCCTTCACGTGCGCCGCCACTTCTTCCCAGATCTTGTCCCCGTGAACGCCTTGCACCTTTGTCGGCGTCTTGTTCAGGTCCTTTGCCAGCGCCTTGGCCTTGCTGTCATGCCGGCTCGTTCCCATGCCGTACAGCTTTCGGATATGCGTCCGCGCCTCCCAGACCAATAGCAAAACCATCGATGCCGCCGCCAGTTGGCGCAGTCGTCGGGGCTCCACCGCGAACTCTAGCCCGGCGCCCTTGCATTCCACGGTCTGCCCTTCGGCCGGGGGTCCCTCCGCCCATGTTGCTCCTCCCGCCGTCCCGGCTGTAGTGTCGCTTGCGGCCGGCACCTCACTCGGAGGCAGTTCGTCAATGTCCATCCGCACGTTGAAGACTTCCGACTCGATGGCCTGCGCAACCGTCGCCCCCGTGCTGGCCACAATCTTCTCCATCGTGTTCACTGCGCTTTGCACCTCGCCCACCGTTTGGTAGTCGAAAAAGGCTACGTTCTCAACAATGAACCTAGTGAAGCCAACGTGATGTGGCACCTCGCCTGCCACATCCAGCTTGCTCAGGTCAAAGTCCACTTGCCCGCACAGCTTTTCCAGGAAGCGTTGTCTGCTCTTCATCTTGCTAATCTTGAGCACTTCCATCAGCAGATGCAGCTTCGATTGGAACGGGTCCACGGTGGCGCCGTGTTCATCCTTGACCACGTCTCGCTGGTACGCATATGCCGACTGCACCGCCTTGACGTACTCTCTCTCCAGGACTGTCTCGTGCTTTTCGTGAAGCGCGCGGTGCTCCATGTAGGCGAGCTCTGCAATCTTTCGGTTGGCCGACGTCTCCAGCGTGATCAGGGTCACGCCCGTCTCCTTGGGATGGGTCAGGCCTTGGCGGTTGATGCTGCCCAGAACCTCCATGGCCAAAAACGCATGTTCGTCCTGGCTCCCCAGCGCAATCCGTGTAAAGTCCTTCATGAACCGCTGGGTCGTGGCGCTTGCAACGTCGTCAAAGTTGGTCCCGCCCATAACCGTCAGCTCCTTTTTCTTGTCTCCAGACCCAGCCTCGACTCCAGCCTCGGACCGCTTCTCTTCCGTCACAAGGAATTCCTTGAACGACCGGAGGATCAGCGTCTCCAGGATCGGCACCCGGTCCTGAAACACCTGCTGAAAGGCCGTGTAGACCTTGGCCAGGACGTAGTTGCGTGGCCACGACTGGCAGACCAGTCCTATTGCTTCGATGGCTGCCTTTCGAGCCTCCAGGGACTGGGGTGCAGAGGAGAACGGCGAAAGGGTGTCAACTATCAAACGAGGAACCGAGTCTCCCTGCCAACGAGGAAACTTGTCCCTGAAGATTTGCAGCTGCTGATCTAGGTCACAGTGCTTGCCGACACTTCCCACAATGATCGCGTAGGCGCAGAGATGGTTGAGTCTTTTGTTGTCCAGCGGCCCCTTGCCCAGCTTTTGAATGCCCATCAGACTCGACGCGACGAGATTTGCCAGAGGGGCGAAGTCTTTGAGCAACTCGCAAACGGCTTGCGCGCAGGCAATCAAGTCGTCCAAGGCGCCGCGCGACGAGATTTTCCCGATCCCTTTGAGAAGTTGGAGGCGAACCTCGGCGAGGAACTCTGAGTGGATCGTCGGCAACTGTGGCAGCACCCTTTTGTATATGACAGTCACTGCCCGAAACGCAGCCAGTTCATCGCGGCCAGTGAAGCTCGCCAGCTGTGGCTTGAGAAGACGAATTTGTTCCAAGTTGAACAGTTTCGGGTCGGCCTTGGCGAAGATGGTGAGGACTTGCAAGGCATCGCGTCCGGAGGGAACAGTCGTATCCTCGGAGTCGGGGTTATCAATGGACCCAAACATGGTCCCGACCAGCCGTGAGCAAACGGAAAACGGTCCTTCTAGAGATCTGTTCTGCGGCCTGAGTATCGTCTGAAACACCTTGTCGAGAACCTCGGTGACAGTCCCCGTCTTGACCGTTTGGATGATGAGCGCCACGTGTTCCGTGAGCGAAGTCTCGAACGCTGCCGTGTTTTCGTTGGAGTAGAAGGGCGCGAACCAAACTTCCTCAATCATTTGCCTCGAGAGGTCGCGCACTCCTTCGTCTGGGTCCTGAACGCGGCGAAGCAGCCCATTTGCTATGGCACTCCGCAGCGCCTTGCTTCGGTTGCGGAGGTAGATGTCACGAGCAAGCTTCATGGCTCGTTTCCTCACCCCGACACCGGCGTCCTGGAACCTCTCGATGATTTTAGGCGTCAGGGACGACTCAAGGCCGGGTCGCATCCCGATGCAGTTGCCCAGTAAGCCGAGCGCCGAGTCCCTCACCTGCGTTGAGGAGTCGCTCGAGCAGTCCAGAATCAGTTGAATGACGGTCGAATCGCCATCCAAGATCGAGGGATCCGTCTCCAGAACCTGGTTAATGCTCTTCAGGCTTTTGCTTCGAACAGTTGCCTGGTCGCTAGCCATAGACCCCAGCAGAATGTTGACAATCTTGGTGAATGCTTCGCACAAAGGGGATCGCAGCAGGATGATTGAGTAGGCAAACTTGGCTTGGCTTGCCGTGACTGCTTTGAATGTGTACTCGTTGGATAGCCATTGGCGGTCATCAATCATCATCCTCAGGCGATAAGCCAATCGCCCGAGCTCCATGTCGCGTTCGCCGTCGTCCTCTTGAAGAGAGTCGTAGCCGGCATGAATCTTGCTCCCCCAGTCTGTGATGAGATGCGAGACCACACTGGCTAGATGGGCGTCCTCGGAGCAACGCCTCTGCAAGTATTCCAACGCAACCCGGTAGGGTCCTGACCAGGCAAGGACGTGCTCGACCTGGCTCTTCTGTTCGAGGACGTGGGTCGCCAGGTCGGAAAGATACTGCGACAATTCGCCCGCGTCACTGCCTTCAAAAGAACTCGCGGTCCTCTTGACGTGCGATCGGAGGCGTGAAATCGCGGCGCTCATAGCTCCCAGCAATTCCAGCGCCATGTTCTTCGCCGGCGCAGCAGTCTTGCCCGCCTCGAACAGCTGTACCATCATGAACATCAGGAGCCGCAGCAGAAGCTCGGCCGACGGCCAGTCGGGTGAGTCGAGGCACGTGGTGAAGTCATCGACGAAGAGGTCCAAGAGATTTCTGTACGGCGTGTCTCCAGACTTTGTAGAGCCTATGGCCCGCTTAACGATGAAGTTAATCACATAGGATGCGTTGCGACTCGCCGCCTCGTTCAATGGCGCTGCACTTGCTTCCAATTCCTGGACAGCCACGGCATGCTGCTGAGCGCCCTGCTCTTCTGTTGTGATGGTCGATGACGCCTGATTTCTTTTCAAAGGCTGTGGTTCCTCTGCCTCTCCCGTTTCGCCGTCGTCCAGGCTTCGGAGGATGGCAGCCCGCCCGCTTTCGTCGTCAATGTTGACTCTCCCAGAGCTTGCCTGAACCAAGCGCATGATGAGCGCCGAAACTGGCTGAATGCTGCCACTATCGGAGAGCTTGAACTGTCTGGAGCTCTGCTTCCCCACAGGAAGTTTCTCAAGCGAGGTCAGGATGTCGTCGATAATACCTTGCCTCTGTTCCGGCTTGATGAGGAAAATCTGGCACAGCATGTCCATGGCGACAGATCGAATGCCATCAAACTTCTGCACACCAATCGCCGAGTCCCTCTCGAAGTAGGCGTTTTCCACGAAGATGAGTTTCGACGCAGTGTACTCGAGTGTGTTGATCACAGACTCCGAGAGCTCGATTTTGGTGACCAGCTCGGCAAGCAAAGCAAACAGCTTCTGGCAGCAGACGAAAGCAGACAAAACGACCTTTTTGTGTTTCTGGACCATCTTGAAGAGGCTCGCGGTCGGCCCTGAGTTTCGGAGCTCCACCAGCGGAATGACCAGATCTCCCGTCACAGCCTTGAAGAGATCAACGCATCGTTGGATAGTCGCCTCAGAGTAGATCTGCTTGTCCTCACGGCCGCCTGAAAGTATTCGCAAGCATGTGCGTGCAGCTTTGAGCGCCGTCTCAAGTTCGGATAGTTGTCGTATCCAGGACTCCAGGGCGCCCTCGTCCCAGCTTTCGTCGACACGCATCTCCAGGTCATCCACTTGCTTCAGGCTCGAGTCACTCAGCTTCATGATGCTAATTAGATTCTCCAGAGGGACGCTGTTGAAGCATTTCAGGCCAATCACTTTCTGAATCGCGCCATGCATCTTCTGTTGGGTTGCGGATGTCATGGCAGGTTCCTGGTCAGTCGTAAGAGCCACAATGTGCTCAGCTCCAGGCTCCATCGCCAAGGCGTTTCCCACAGCCGTAAAAACGGTCCGAAGCAACGTTTCGAGTGCTTCCAACGCAGCCTCGCTCCTCTGGCGCTGGTCGAGGCTCGTGACGGTGACGCCCTGGCCGTGGGCGAAGTCTTGGTTCTCGTTTCGCCGGACTGAGAGATTATGCGGAGCATCTAGCGACTCGGTAACTTCGATATACTCCTCCCTTTTGATGTTTGCCGCAGGTAGCTCAATACTGAATGCGGGAATCTTGCCGCTCGTGGGCGATTGGTCTGCGGGCGTCGCCGTGCGGCTTGTCGAGGTCGGGACCTTGGCTTCAATCGTGGCCTGAGCTTCGACCGACACTTTGGTTTCGGGCAGGGCTTCAGCCTCGACCGGGACCTTGGCCTCGATCGTGAGCTCTTGCTGAGCGGGTGCCGTCTTTAGCTCCTGCGGCTGGTCCAGGCCCACGTCGACATATGATGCCGGGTCCAAGGTCCTTCTAGAGGGGATGGCCACCTCTATCCTAACCGATGGAGACCTATACGTCTCGCGCTGTTCTGGACGAGCCCCGTGTGCCTGTGACGAGGTAGTGGAGCCGTGTGACGGGGATTCCTTGCTCGGTCTGGGAGGTTGGTACGTCTCGCCGTTGACAAGCTTGGGGCTCACGGTGTTGGCTTTTGTCGATTTGAAGAAGCTCCCGACTTTATCGTAAACGCTCTTCGTGATCGGGGACAGGCCTTGCGACAAGCTGCTGCCGGGGGGTGCGTGGGACAGGCCCGCAGGCACCGCTGGAAATTTGCTGCGAACAGTCAGTAGATGCCGAGACGCATACGCGCGCGTGCCAATACGAACTAGTGGGTTCTCTGCGACGGCTTAAGATCATGCAGCACGTAGTCGGCAGTCTGCTTCAGGCTCCTCGACCCTTGCGGATGAGTCGTGGCTTCGCTATTCACTTTGTCATATTCATCTCGCGGGAAGAGATCGGAGATGCGCAAGGCAGGCGAGCCTGATCCGAGGCTGGGGTCTGGAATAATATCTGAACACCGGGGTCAGGCCATGTGCTTTCCCCGGCCGGACTCTGGCGGAGGCGTGCAGTTACTGACCGGGAAGAAAAGGGACAGTCGAGGTCTGCGGGGAAAACGACAAGGACTCTTGCAGCGTGAACGGTCGCGATATGGAAGAATGGGGTTGCGCCGAGCCCTGGTAGGCATCGACCCCATTTGTCGGACCATTTGCGTTTTCTTGCTGCATATCTGCCATATTGTCGGTCGTCACAATAGCAGCTCCCACGATTTAGGCATGGCCGATGGGTTTTCGTGGCCGAACAGGTCGCATCGGGGACTCGGCACGGCACAGCAAGTGAATCGGCTGGGGCTCCGTGGAAGAGACGGGTGGGACATGAACAGCGTCCTCTGGGCGTGTGACCCCGAAGGCTCTTGAGGACAGAGATGTGCCGTCAGGGAAATGCGGTTGCTCGGCGCATCGTTGGTCCGGCGTCGTGCTTGATTCACGGAAGGTGACTTCACGAAGCAGCAGCCTCGCGCATGCCTTCCTCGAGGTGGACAATCGATAGTTGGAGTGGGTCCCTGCATAAAGCTCCCGACCACTGAGCAGCGACGCCGCCTTGCCTCATGAGGCACAGCCCCACTGTACCTTGTTGCCGCCACATGCAGCTGTCCGCTGCAACGTATTCCGGTGAAGCAGCGGAAGCATGCCCTGGGGGTTTGCAGCAGCTGCAAATCACTTCCACCCACTCAAAGGGAACAGACGAGAGATCCCAAGGCCAAGCGCGGCGCTTGGCTCTGCACAAGAAGCTCGAAGATGGCTCACGCTTACCAGGCAATCCAGCCATGACCCAGCCGCGAATCGACGAAGATGAAGCCAAACCCCTCCGATTTCTCCTCGAGACGAAGGCGCAATCAAACGGGCTATATACAGCGTGAGTTCTCGGCTCTAGAGCATCGCCCGCAGCCGGTGTCCCAGTTGGGGCTGAACCTGCAAATCACCAGCACAGGCTCGGCGACGACATACACCTCGATGCAACACGAGCACATGTCTCATTGTGGAAATCGTCCTCTCTCCCCATGCTCGCATACTGCTTGTGAGCACGAGAGCGACTGAGAGGTTGCTTTCTTGGTATTGGGTCTTCTCGGATCGTGTCCCTAGGCAGTAGCACCTGCAACTTCCGGGATCAGTGCGTACTCGGCGTCTGCGCTCTTCTCGTACTCGGCCATGTCCAACGCCACAATGACACTCTCGCGGACTACCTTCTCCTTGTCCTGCAAAAAGCTTTTCAGGGTCTCTTCAACACCCTCCTCCTCGCCCAGGCTGCCGAGGGCCTCGGCAGCCTCGTGCCGGACCATGCTCGCCTCGTTTACATCGCTCAATGCCTCGGTGAGAGCGGGGATGGAAGCCGGGTGTGACAGCTGCCCGAACACAAAGGCGATCTCATGCCGGAACAAGGCCGACTCGTCCTTGAAGCCCTTGGCCAGTGCATGGACTGCAGGGACCGCCGTGGGCGCATCGGGGGGCGAGGCAAAGTCTCGGAGAGCAAACATTGCACGGTATCGCAGGAACAGCGGCAGGTTGACATCCACAAGCTGCTTCGCGAGGTCGTCGACGGTTTTCTCTGACTCGGGCATGGGAGGCGCGGGATCGATGGAGGCGAAGTCGCTAACTCGAGTAAGCCAACGTGCACGTAGAGCGCCAGGGTAAGACGGCCAACCTTTGTCGCAGCTTCTCCTGCAACCTCTCCTCGGAATTCTCCCAGTGTATTCTGTCGATGGCGATCTCGCAAGTCTCCTTGACGACAACGTCCTCGCCCTCGCGATCCCGGAAGTGCTCCAGCAGATCCAGGTCGTCGGCCCTTCCAAGGGCGCCCAGAGCCTCGGCGGCCTCGTGCCGGCACATGGGGTCCTCCTGCAGATCGGAGAGGACACGGCGCAGCGGATCCACGGCGGCGCCGTTTCCGGTTTGCCCCAAGCAGTAGGCTAGCTCGTGCTTGAGCAGCGCGGATGGCGACGCAAAAGCAGCCGCGATGGCATCGATGGCGGCGATGGCAAATTCGCCTTCGGACGTCTTGGCCAGGTGCTTGAGCGAGAAGAGGGATCGGAACCGAACCGGCAGGGGCGTGGATTCGGAGCAGAGGCTGTCTCGGAGGCTCTTGATCGTAGCGTCAGCCATGATGTTGAATGGGGCGTGTCGCAGCTGCAAGTACCGAGTCGGGCGAGTCCAGCTCTGCTCACTTTCCGCGCGCATGTCCGAAGGTCGGGGCGCAAGAAAATTTAGGAGGGGCACTCAACCCCGCTACGACCACCCTTGCTCCACCCAGCTTACTTCATAATTGCCATTAGACTCCCCACCGTCAGATCCCATGGGAAGCGGAAAACCACTTCATTTGGTTCCATGGTCTAACGGTTATGACTGCGGATTCTGATTCCGCCAGCGAGGGTTCGACTCCCCCTGGAACCTATCTTTTTACTGATCCTGCCGCGTTTCGGTGTTGAGCGGTCCCCCTTTTTGCTTCTTCCTCGTCTCTGATCCGCTTACGACGGTGCCGAGGCGTGTCTTTGTTGGTTTTGCTATTCCAGCCAGCCCTTCCATCACTCTCGCAAAGCCTTCCCGGAGGAATAGACTTGGCGCTCGGTCCAGTTGAGAACGGCTACCCTAGAGCCCGTTGCGATTCAGAGATGAACCATTTTGATGTGGCGTTCCCGGATGATCATTTACTTGGGTTGGTCCAATAGAGAACAAGTGTCAGAATGGGGACTAGATGGTTAAGAGGGCCGTTTCAGCTTTTTCTCCAGCAAAAGCCGAAGATGGCGTGGGTGCTGGGAGGGTCAGCCATGACCTCGACGGCCATTATTAATCGTGCACTCCGAGTCGTCATCGCAAACACCAACATCGCCACCGTAAAACACAGGCTCACACAACAAGCACAAAAGCCAGACACCAAGCTCCGACAATGGCCCCCTCACTCGAGGAGCCGGAGCCGATCGCAGACGTTCTCGCGGACCCCGTCAAGCAAAAACCCCAGCTCGTGGCCCCGGAGCCGGAGCACTGCCCCGGGCCCGAGTCCCAGCAGGCCGGCAAGGCCGACTCGTGCGCCGGGTGCCCGAACCAGGCCATCTGCGCGGCGGCGCCCAAGGGCCCGGACCCGGACATTCCGCTCATCTCGGCGCGCCTGGAGAACGTGAGGCACAAAATCCTCGTGCTTAGCGGCAAGGGCGGCGTGGGCAAGAGCACATTCACGTCGCTGCTGGCGCACGCCTTTGCAACCAACCCGGACAGCGCCGTCGGCATCATGGACACGGACATTTGCGGGCCTAGCATCCCCAAGATGATGGGCGTCGAGGACGAGACGATCCACGTGAGTGGGTCGGGTTGGTCGCCCGTCTGGGTCATGGACAACCTAGGGGTCATGAGCATCCAATTTATGCTGCCTAACCGCGACGACGCCGTCATCTGGCGCGGGCCCAAGAAGAACGGGCTCATCAAGCAGTTCCTCAAGGATGTCGAATGGGGCGATCTCGACTTCTTGCTCGTCGACACGCCACCGGGCACGAGCGACGAGCACCTGAGCGTCAACTCGTTCCTCAAGGAGAGCGGCATCGACGGCGCCGTCGTCGTCACCACGCCGCAGGAGGTATCCCTGCTCGACGTCCGCAAGGAAATCGACTTTTGCCGCAAGGCGGGCATCAGGGTCCTGGGCCTGGCCGAGAACATGAGCGGCTTCGTGTGTCCCAAGTGCAAGGGCGAGAGCCAGATCTTCCGCCCCAGCACCGGCGGCGGCCGGGCCCTGGCTGCGGAAATGGGCATTCCCTTTCTCGGAGCCGTGCCGCTGGACCCGCGCATCAGGATGGCCTGTGACTACGGAGAGAGCTTCTTCGACTCGTTCCCGGACAGCCCGGCCTGTGTGGCATTCAAGGGGGTGGTCAAGGGGGTCGCGGCCCAGCTGGGACTTGACGCCCAGAGCGTGTTGCCAGACGACTGAATACAATGGAAATGACGGATCTCCTCCCTCGAACAGTCTAGTTGGCGACCTCCGCGTGCACAGCCTGTCCGGCATGGTCTCCTGGGAGAGGCTGCATGGCCAGCACGTCTTTCGCCTCGCAGCACAATCTCTTCCTCGACTGCTGCTCATGGCCGCCTCACTTGTCACCCTGGCCCAGATGCCAGCTTGCCGGGTATCTCTTCCAGATCTTCGGCCGATTCTATATCAAAGACCCTGCCCACCTCGCTCGTATTCCGCATCAGCTCCTTGGCGCCGGCATATATCATCCTCATATCGGCATTGCAAGTCGACGGAAGATAGTAGAGCAGCACGTACGGCACCGAAATTCGACCATCGGGCTGTATTACACCGCAGAGTTAGCCGCGAGCGCCCAGAGGCTCGGCTCGGCTCGGAACGGAACGCACCAGGGTGAGCGGGTAGCTTAGGAGAACATAGCGAGGCGAGTGGTCCGGGAGATCTTCGCCGATTTCTTCCAGAGACTTGTATACCGTCTTGTCGTCGTCTTGGCGGATCTCGTACGTCTTCTTGTCGATCATGTCTGGGTAGGATGGCGTGCCGCAGTGAGGGTCAGCTAGGTCAGGCTGGCCGGTAGATGGAGCATCCATTGAGATGAAACGCACATATGACTGCCTGGGGATCATTGGCCCTCGAAGTCGTCAGGCGGAATTTGCGCAAGTGGTCCTTGGTCTCCTGAGAGAATTTGTAGAGCCTCGCCTCGGACGCCTTGCAAGCTCTCCGTCAGTTGCGTGCCGGCCGCAGGGGAGGCGGACATGGTACCATCATGTGCAGTCTGGAGTCTCCGAGGCTGAGGTTTGCGCGGGCTGCCTTGCAGGAAGAGGCCGTATCGGACCGTGGTCTTGGGCAGCGTCGTCGCGGATGCTCAGCGGAGGAATAGACTGAAGTGTTTCGGGATTGAGCAACCCGCCGGCCCCGCCAAGCGCCTGCGCAACGGGTATGTACCTGCGGCCATGCACTGTACGAGCGACCCCGCGCTCTGAGTCTGCTAACAGATACCTGTATGGCCAACTACGGCTGCAGGCCCAGCCTGTACCCTCCATCCCAAAGTCATTTTGGCAGTCTCTAGCTTTGATTGCGTCATGAAAACACCCTGGGCAGCCCCCAAACTGGACCCGCATCAAAACGCACCTCGTCCCGATCCGACTTCCTCTTCTACACCGTGTCGGGATCCATGTTTTCTAGGCTATCCCAGGCAGCGAGGCACTTGTCAGGTCCCTCTCCCTCCTCAATTGCCCGGCGGCCGTTGGCCCTTGCGAGGATGGCGCCGGCGAATGAGCGCGGCTCGCGCACCGTCCACACCGCGGCCTGCTTGATCATCGGCGATGAGGTCCTGGGCGGAAAGGTATATGCCCCTGAAAAGCCAAGAACTGAGCGACGCGCGCGCTGACGCTCCCCGAGACAGTTGACGTGGGTTATCCTCGCGCGGACCCGTCCCGATGTTGAGGGCCTCGAGCATTGACAATGGTAGACCAACTCGGCGCACATGGCAAAATGGTGCTTCGCTCTGGGAGTTGTAAGTCACAAATGGCCCATGGCTCGGACGCGTGCTCACCCCGGCCAGAGCCTGAAGCGAATCGAGGTGATCGAGGACGATGAGAGCGAGATTATGGAGGCGGTTCGTCGGATGAGCGATCGTTACGACTTTGTTGTCACCAGGTACTAAGAGCCAGCAGACCTGGGAGCCGCCAGAAACTGACGAGATTCTCCAGCGGCGGAATTGGGCCAACGTGAGCATGCAGCCGCTTCCCCTTGCAAGCAATGGCTTTCCTGACCCAATCGCGGTGCAGGCACGACGACATCACCTATCAGTCCATTGCCAAGGCGTTTAGTCTGCCCCTCAAGCTACACAAGGAGGCGTTTGACAAGATGAAGAAGCTGTCCAAGCCTCATCCTTCCCAGCCCAATTTCAGCTGGGACACCGACTCACCCGCTCTCAAGGCTAAGCTGCGCATGGTTGAGCTGCCGACGGACGAGTCTCGGGACTTGGGCGAGCAATTCATCTTTCCCCACGACGATCTTTGGGTTCCCGTCGCCGTCGTCAACGGAAACATTCATATTCTTCCGGGTGTCCCGAGGCTGTGTAAGTGTCTGTCCATGAGGAACGCGTCTGGCTGTTCTGACGGGACCGCAGTCGTGAAGCTACTTGACGGACTGAAGCCGCACATTCTTCCGAGGCTTGTCGACCCGGAGGGCAAGGGAACCACGAGGGTGTTGATATCAACGCCCCTTGCCGAGAGCGAGATTGCCGCCTATCTCACGGAGCTGGCGGCCAAGGTTGAGCCCAAGGGCGTCAAGGTCGGGAGCTACCCGCGGTGGGGCAAATCACGAAACACGGTTACACTCGTCGGGAGGTGAGCCACAGCCTTGTCTCCCTCTTCCTGGAGCCCTTGCCCTCGCTCTCTTTCTGGCGCAGAGCTGACCGGGTGCCACGGACAGAGACCACGCGTTCCTGGACAGCATAGTAGCCGAGGTGGCGGAGAATGTCCGGGGCAAGCGGGTCACGACCGAGAGCGACGATGACGAAGCCGGCACCGGGACGGACAAGAATGCCTGAGATTTCCGGACCTGGCAGGAGACGGACCCGACGTGGGGCGGCGATGGCAGACTTGCCGCATCCATGGCGTTGACAAATCCTACTGTACCCGTCCTGACTGCTGACGCACCACGCAACGCAAGGTTGCAGTCGACCGGTCAGCCTTGCCAAATCAGCTGATTCGTGAGACCGTTTACAGTACATACATGGGCTTGGAGCTCGATAAGAAAGTCGTCAGGTCGGATTTGCCGATCGTTTATGCATTGAAAGTGTGATGGGACGATGGAGACGAGGCCAAGGATCCCCTGTCAGGCAATTTCGCCGTGGGCCCCCATTGCTTGGCCAGCTTCTCCCACCTTTATCACCGTGCCATACGCAAGCGCCGAGGAGCGAGCGACGACGTGACGTATGCAAATGTCAGCACGCTGCCATGGAGCGTCTCTACAGAGCCTCTAGACAGCCCAATGAGGACACGGCCGGTTTACGGTAGACGACGGGGTAATTTACCAAGCATTGTACGGAGCACGGAGTCTGGCCACAGCGTGCATGTTGCCAAGACGAGTACGGCATCCACGGACCTGATTTGCCGAGTTGATAAGGCGGCGACGAGCCAACAAGGGGCGTCGGGGCGAATGGCCCGGCAAGCGCGCCGAGAGCTTGTTTGGATGGGCGGTGGAACCTGGGCGCGGCAGCTGCAGCTCGGGGCGGTGCCTTGAGAGTGTGGAGGAGGAGGGCATTCATTCTAGAAGGACGATGTGCGCCCCTGGCCGGGGTTGCTAGGCCAGCGCCCCATTCTTGGCTGGATGCAGTACAATAATTTGGGAGTCGAACGACATGCTCCCCGGCCGGTGTGGTGTAGACGAGCCTTGTCCCTTGCCGAGTGCCTTTGCTCTGCAGTGTGATGGACGATGGCGTTGAGTCTCTCGGGAGCACGAAGGTCTGCGAGTATGGTGGCAGGTCCGCGATGCTCTTGCAGCCGCACCAATGGAAGTACCTTTTGCTTGCAGTTCCTGGAGCAAGCATCTTGTCATCTCTCATAGGCACTGTGATAATGTGGCTTGCATAAGATATGCACGTGCTCAGACCGGCGGCTGGGATTCAAAGCCCGTGTAACCGTGTAAGTCGGTACTATGTACGGATACGCACAATCACACGCGAGAGATGCTGAGACACAACCACAGGAGCCCATCTCGTTTCTTCGTCTTTGCTCCGAGGCCACGCCGCGGGCGACTCAGTAGCCAGCAGCGTGCCTCGATGGCCGGTTGACATTGGCCATGTCGACGAAAACAATGCGAGGATCCGGGAGTGATTTGATGTCTATGACTTGACACTCGTGGTGGAAGACAAGAAATTTCTTCTCGCCCCGGTACGGATTACTTGAGTGTACTGTACAGTACTTTTGATCCGCAGACTGGGGAACAGCGGCCCTTTTTTCTTCTTCGTCGGGCCTGTCTCTGCCTGGCCAGCACAGTAAGTTACTTGGTAGTCGGCATGAGGCGGCACGCCAAGCAGGGGGCTTAAAGGAAGGGGACCGGGGGATGCAAAGCATGTCCAGGGGTTGCTTATTGCAGAGGGAAAAAGGTCATTGAGGAGATGGATCCCGATTGTTATATCGTACAGTACAGTACGTGATGGCTTCCCCCTACTTGGGCACGTTTTATTTTTTTATGCGGATGTCCTCTGGCAGCCTGTGGGAGATAACCGTGCCATGCACCACCACATGCACATGTACTGTGGGCACATGCGAGGCACGAGGCATCTTCCCGGACCGGCGCGTTGTTATTGTTGTTGTCTTTCCCCGATGATCAAGGCCTGGCATGCACTACGGAGTACCTTGGTTCGACGACCATCACATCAAGCACAGTACAGGGCTAGCCGCAGCTGGCCGGGGTTTGGGGTTTGGGGTTTGGGTCCGCTAGGCCGTCGAGCCGAGAGATGCCATGAACTGCATTTGCGTTGAAATAGCGCCGAAGAGACGAAGAAGAAACATTGGTCGTGGCGGCCCTTCCACCCCCCTCCCCCTTGTCCAGGCCGTCGCACGAACCGCCTCTTCCCGTTTGTTCCGTTGTCGAGGCGGTAGCACGAAACCTCTTTTGCACAATGATTGGGCCGTCTTTTTCTGTTTGGCCTCGTTGACGTCGCGTCGAGGCCCCACCATCTATCTGCCTGCGCTTCTGTATGTACGGCTTGGGTCATGATGGAAAAGACTGCTGTGACGGGATGTGATGGTGACGATGCCCAAGCCTCCCGACCCGACCCTTGTTCGGCACACGAGGATACCTTACTATACCTTGTTGGCAGCATCACCCGATTGCAACTTTGCGATTCCGCCGTCTCCTCCTTCAAGGCATGAGGGGAATGCGTGCTGCCAAGAGAGGGAGAGAGCCGGAGTGTGTGAGAGAGGGGGAGAAGAAACGTGCCCTGGGCTGGGGCCCCTTGTCTCTTTTTCCTAGCGCCCTTGGGCTGGGGCCTCCGCACCCACCTCTTTTGGGGCCTCTGTGGCCGTACATTAGCGCCTCTGCCTGTACGGCACTCTCCCTGGAAGTCTGCACAGAGTCTGGGGAGGTCCTGGGGAGAGTCTCCGTCGAGGACTTGTCGTCGCTTCTCGCCGTACATGGTTGATACTTTTTTTTCGTCCGGTCTCGACCAGCCTCCCCTTTCTAACCACACGAACAAGTGTATTCGTACATGCATGTGAAACTTTTTTGTTTCCTTTTTTTATCCTTTCTCAGGTAGTTTCTATTCGCGGGAGGGGGGAGGGGGACCCTTTTCACAGACGTGTGGCATGCGGATAGATGCACCGCGCAGAGACTGGTCGTTCGTCGCCTGCTGTTGGACGATCCGAGCACTACGAGCACGGCTGACCCAAAGAGGCGGGCTCGACTGACCCGTCCAGTCGTTGTCTGGAGGCTCGACTGCATGTGCCCCAACGGAGTGAGGTCCCTGCAGCACAAGGCATCTTCTCCACAAAGCTCTGCCAGAGGCTTCACCTACCCTGTTGCCTGACCTCCAGGGTGAAGTCGGCGTCGGCTTCGGCCTGCCTCAAGTCTACGGGGAACATGGCTGCTGCCTCTGATGCGGCCACAGCGCCCCCTCTCGGCCCCCCCCTTCCATCCGAAGCACCAACACCACCTAATGGACCACCTGCCGGCAACGCACGAGGCACCCCAGGGTACGCTACCCGGTACAAGAGGTACTTGGACGCGTCGCCGACTTCCACGCCTGCCGCACCTCTGCGACGCTTGTACCCGCCTACTGCCCCAGGCCTCGCGGACCAAGCGCGCGCCATCGCATTCGTACCTCCCGCTGCACGGCTTTGTTAGTGCGCGACCTGGCTCTCGGCCCCTCCCCGGAGCCCAAGGTACGACATGGCCAGGTACTCCTGCTGCTACTGGACTAGGTAGCTCCCCAGCCCGGCCACAGACGAGCTAAGAAGCTCAGGCAAGCTAACAGGCCCAAGGTAATGCCTAGAGTGCAAGGTAACCACCTCAATCTAGTAGCCGCCAGCGCTAGGACCGGCGCCCACTCTTCTTCTCCATCCCCATATCCTCCTCTCCATCCATCATCGTCCTCCGCTCTCCATTCTCCGTTTCTGCATTGTCCGGCTTCGCATTCGACGCTGCCCCGTTGCCATCGTCGTCATCCTCCCCTCCCCCCATACGACCTCGTCGCGCCGCCGCAATCGTCCCTTTCGAGCCCTCCTTTTCTCGCCTGCCGCCGCCCTTGGGCCGTATTGTTCGCCCCTGCGATCCGAGACACGCTTTGATTCCGCACTCGACCCGTCCTGCGCGAGCCAAATTTTGATTTTGACTTGTGGCCCCCTCCTCCTGCTCCGTCCTGCCATTTCTCTCTCCCCCCAGGCAGCGTCGGCCATCACCCGGTGCCTAGATACCCGCAATGGCCTCATCAACAAAGGTATGGCGAAGAATATTTCCCTGTCCGCCGCCGCGCTCCTTGCTCCCAGCGTGTCCCGTGTCTAGCTCTCTCGCTGCTCTTCCCTGTCGCCCGCATCACATTCTCATGCCCGACGCTAACCCTGTCGGCTGCTGTTTCTAGTTTCTGCGAGAGTATAAACTCGTCGTCGTCGGCGGAGGCGGCGTCGGTAAATCTTGCCTGACGATTCAATTGATCCAAAGCCACTTTGTCGATGAATATGATCCCACGATTGAAGGTTCGCCTCGTCCAGCCCGATGCCCTCCTGCCTCGTCATCTGCACCCCCTCTCCGCTCGCCAGTCGCTGACGTGTCCGTCCTCCGCCCGTGACAGACTCGTACCGAAAGCAGTGCCTCATCGACGACGAGGTCGCTCTGCTCGATGTCTTGGATACCGCCGGCCAGGAAGAGTACAGCGCCATGCGCGAACAGTACATGAGGACCGGAGAGGGCTTTCTGCTCGTCTACTCCATCTCGTCGCGCCAAAGCTTCGAGGAAATCACCACATTTCAGCAGCAGATCTTGCGGGTCAAGGACAAGGACTACTTCCCCATGGTGGTGGTAGGAAACAAGTGCGATTTGGATGAGCGCGAGCGCGAGGTCTCATGGCAGGGTAGGAATCCCACGCATGCACACACAACCCGCGAATCCATCCCCACTGCGTCTGACTCTGGATCCTAACTCGCAACTGCAGAGGGCGACGCGCTGGCCAAGTCGTTTGGCTGCAAGTTCCTCGAGACGTCAGCCAAATCTCGCATCAACGTCGACAAGGCCTTTTACGATATCGTGCGCGAAATCCGGAGATACAACCGCGAGATGCAGGGCTACTCCACCGGCAGCGGCGGTAACTCTGGCATGAACGGCCCCCCCAAACCGATGGATATGGACGATGGTGAGAAGGAGCCCGGCTGCTGCGCAAAGTGCGTCATCATGTGAGGCGTTGCGCGATGGCACGAGGTGTCGTCAAGCGTCGGGATGGGCGGGTAAAGGAGAAAAAGAAAAACAACTGGTCTCAAGACCAGAGGGGCTGCACGGTTGGATGGACCGTCCTACGAACCACGGTCGAAACACATGAGCCGCGAGAGGGGATGGGGATGGAGCATGAGTGGCCGCTTTTGACGGCAATCTACGAGACAAGGGCGACCAAGGTTGAGGGAACAGTAATATCACCAGCCCTTGTTTCACTGCATCGGACGACGAGCCGAGCTCCTACAGTACTTGGCCGCACGACCGCTTGGACCTGGCACGGAGGAGCCAACCCGTTGGTGAAGGCGAGAGCGACCAGAACGAAGAACAAACAAACAGCACGGGTTACGAGCAAGCGCCCGGCACGACTGGCCAGTCAGCCGTACACGCGCTTTCTTTCCTTTTTCTTGGCTTTTATTTTACTTTGCCCGACATCATGGATCAGGGCTTGTCTTGCCCGCACCTGGAGAGGACCGAGGGGCCTACAGGGCTGAGGGGTAGCTATGTACAGACGAGGGCTTGTCGTGTGCACGTGGACCGTCTGAGCGAACCCTCTTGGTGGAAAGGGGCTTGACCCGGACGGATAGTGACAGGTGAGGGGAGGGCATCTTGGCTGCAGATATCTTGTACGCAGATCTCGTTGGCTCCGCCACAGCTTTCCCCCTCCCAAGACAGACAGCTGGGTAGGGTCAACGTTGTTTCCGGTCGACGTCTTTTCCAGATGCCAATCTTGGACCGCTGCGCTGTTTCCTATCTAACTACCTACCTTAGATGCCCTTATTTCATAACTGTAATTTCAGTCCTGGTCTTCAGGAACCGGATGCGAAGCCCCATGGCCCTTTACAGTATGCAGTTTCGTTCGATTCGCGGGTCTTGGCTGATCCAGCTCCCCGACGGGTGCTGTCCCTTCGCGGCAATCCGCTCACGTGACGGGCGTCAACGACATGTCGCCAAAACACCACGGAAGGCGGCAGGTGCGACAGTTGGCCAGTGCTAACACGATTGATCATCTATTCCCTATGAGAAAAAAACAAAAAACAGAAACATTTCGATTCGCAATCTATCGCCCAGGGGCTCACCGACTGACGTGGATTAAGTTGACGAGCCCCAGGCTCCTCGATCTCTCCACGTCTCCCACACTTGTCGCCCCGCCTATGCCGCCACTACACTTGCCAAGACGACGGGCTCGATACCCCCCCTCTGACCATCGATCTGCCGTCCTCTAACCCTCCATGGGCTCAGGGTCTCCCGGCGCCTTGTTGGTCACGGCCGCCCAGCCCTGCGGGGCCTGCGAGAACCACGACTCCCATCCCGGAACCAGCCCGGGGCCCGTCTGGTTGACAACGGCGTCGTTGCACTGCATGCAGATCCACGCCACGGGCTGGCCGTAAGCGCTGGGATGGCCGTTGCCGACGTTTGCCTCACCCGGCGACATGGTAAGGAGGCATCCGGCGCACCGCTCGCCGCCCAGGTTCTCGTCGCGCCAATTGCGCACCGTGGTCACGCTGGCAAGGGCCTTTTCGATGTAGAAGCAGCGGTGCTCGCGGCAGAGGCGCTGCTGGAACATCTTGGTCGCGCACGCGCAACCCGTGGCCGGTCGCGCGTCTCTGTGGAAGTGGACGGGGTTGCCATTGACCGTCAGCGTGCCCTGGACCTCGAGGCCGTCGGTGAAGTCGCTTCCCCAGATGGTGCGCGCGCCGTGGCGCAAAAGGCGGCGCAAGGACCCCATGTTTCTGCTATATGACACGGCACAGCCGTTGCAGAAGTAGGCCCGCATCTTCAGGAGCTCTTCCGGCTCGACGCGCCTCCACCCGGGCCTGACGCCGACGACGACGTCGGCACTGTCTTGCGCGCAGGGGTCGCAGACGCCCCATCCTCGCCCCGACGGGCCGGGGTGGTCCAGCGATGCGCAAACCTGGTGGTTGGCGATGGGGCGGTCGCATTTGCCGTTGCCTTCGAGGTTCGGCTCGTCGCACCGTCTGGTGCCGTCCGGCTTATTGCCAGCTGAGTTGGCTGGTTGAATCATCAGGGGGACCTTTTCCATGTGGTTGCGAATCAAGACTTGGTTCCTCCGCCTGACCGACGAGTGGCTCTCCTCGAAGAGCGTGACCCTGGCCTGGTTGCTGGAGCCGGCTGTGGACCGTCTGTGGACGTCGTTCAACGTGCCCAAGTTCTCTGGTGTTATATATCTGTTCCACCTGCCGAACCGCACGAGAGAGCCTTGGACTGAAGGCTCTGTGACGAGAGCTTGCGGAGCAGAAGACTGTCCTGCGAGAGACTGCGTGGGAGGAAACTGTGAAGAAGTAGACGACGACGACGGACCGGGTGCGGCAGAAGGAGCAGGAAGCTGCCGAGGAAGCAGGGGTCCAGCCTCATAGGCTTGCCCACGACGTTGGCGGTTCCTACGACCGGGTCGGTAGAACAGGCAAACGAAGCGCGAAGAGGCGTTGGCCGGACGCTGGGCCGGACCCGCTGAGGTCTCTGCATCATCCTGCAAACGCGATGCCTGGCTGTCGTCCTGCGACTGCCGAGCGACATGGGGCTGCGAGCCGGGGCCGCGGCCGCTGCTTTGCGCCTGCTGAGTGGCAATGGACGAGGCGGGGGCGCTGCTGGTGTTCTGCAGCCCTGGAGTGGCATCGGGCGCCTCGTCGGCCCTGCTGCCTGGCCTGTCTCGCACCGCGCTGACTTGTCGTTGCTCTGGGGGCTCGACGAGCCGGCCGGCGTTGTCTTGTCCGGAATGGCCCATTGTCGGCCCTGGGTGCAGAGGGTCGCCTGGTCTTGCGCTGCCTGGTTCAGAGCTGCTTGCTGGTCTTTCGGGGGTGCTGGAAGAGCCTTCTTTTTCGCTTGTTCGTTGAGTTTTTAATGATTCCGGCGAGAGATTCACAAACTCGGAGATGTCGAAATCGCTCCCCTGGTTTGCGCCGTCGTCGGTCCGGTTTGGCTCCCTTTCTGGCCGGTTTACGACCCCATGCGCCGGGTTTGCATCGCTGGCGGGAGCCTGCTGCTCTTGGTCACCCTGCGGTCGGTTACGAATCGCATTCCACAGGACTTCAGGGGCGATTCCCGAGTCGATCAAGGCGTTTATCCTAGCGGCAACGTCGTTTACCTCGTCGATAGGGACGTCTACCAGGTCATCAGGGGCGTTTAGCGGATCGTCCAATCCAGCTGCGTCGTCTCTGCTCTCTGGTCTCTCTTGACCATCGTTGCCGCTGTTGCCGGGGTCAAGTCCATCGTCGCCGCCTTGGCTGCCGTCTCGTCTGTCTCGTCCGCCGCCGTCGTCTGCGTCGTCTCTCCCTTCGGGGCTTTCCCGGCCATCATTGCCGCTGTGGCGATCATCTCTGTCGTTCTCGTCGCCTCGCCTGCCACCACCCCTGTCTCCTCCGCTGCCGTCGTTTGCATTGTCGTCATTGTCGTCATTGTCGTCGTCGTCGTCGTGGCCGCCGCCGCCTGCGGCGTTGGGGTCGATCTCTGTCTCATCGCTATCGTTTGCTTCGTCTTCTTTAGAACGCCCGTCTCCCGGCTGGCCCGCGTCTCCTGGGGGCCCTTCATCGTTTGTGTGCCCGGGAGTTACTTGGTTGGAGTTGGCATCGTTTCCTCCGGCATCGGCATCAGCACCGGCACCGGCACCGGCACCGGCATCAGCACCGGCACCGGCACCGGCACCGGCATCAGCACCGGCATCAGCACCGGCACCGGCATCAGCACTGGCACCGACACTAGCACTGGAACTAGCTCTGGCACCAGCACCAGCACCAGCAGCGGCGGCGGCGGCGGCAGCAGCAGCACCAGGACCAGGAGTACGAGTAGTCCCGCGCCGTCTCGGGGCCCTGCCGTCAGCGTAGCTGACCCTCTTTGCCATAGCGGCGGCCACTGCATCGGTGTACTTCTCGTAATGGCTAGGAATATTCGCCTCCGGCCAGTTGTTTCTCAGCATTTGGACAAGGTCTTGAACCGAGATCTGGCTCGTGCGCGTGTCCTCGAGAGCGCCACCACGGTGGCCATGGGGAGGAGCCCCTTGCGGTCGCATAGCCCTCGCCATCTCTTCTGCGGTCGCCACGACGCCCATCCGGTTGTTGTCATCTCCTCCTTGCATCGAATATACGGGGAAGCCAGGGCCGATCCAGTGCTCGAGCTTCTTTCCGTCCTTGGGGTCGTTGACGCCTCCCGCGCCGTACCCGAGAGCCAGGTAGTAGATGGGCCCGGGTGGAGGGTCGAGCCGCCCGTTGTGGCAGTTCAAGTTGGCGCTGTCACCAATCTTGAAGGTGTCGCACAGGTGAGCCTCTCCGTTTTGCACGCACGAGTCGCAGGGTCGCTGGCGGTCGCAGTTGCGTCCCGTGGCGATGCAGCGGCTGCAAGCCCTGAAGGGCATGAAGTTCCCAAAGCCGACGCGGCTCAGATCAGGGAGAGGATAACTGTTTCCCGCGTCGTCGACGCAGTCGAGGCCCATCTGCAAGCACCGGTTGCAGGCGTTCGTGGCCGCGTCGGCCATGGCTCGACAGTGGTTGCGGTTGATGGCGCAGTTGGTGCAGTTTTTCCGCCACGGCGAGCCGCCCCGGAGCTCGGCCCAGCCGCCGTTGAGCATGTGCGTGACGGTCCAGGCTGTCGGGATATTGGGCTCGGGCGGGTGTGCGACGAGGTAGCCGCCATTCCAGCAGGTCATTTTGTTATTCTCGCAGCGTGTGCATCGTCTCGTCCAGGACTTGCGGTCCCCAAGCCAGCTGCAGCCCGGCTCGCCCTTTTTGGCAATTCGATTGTCGCAGGTGTCGCAGGCATGGCGGAACCATCGCTCGAAGCCCTGGCGAAGGTTGGGGCGCTTTTCCATCAACTGCCCGTTGACGCGGCAGTCCGTCTTGAGGCATTTGCCGCACGAGTATCCGAGGGTGGTGTCGACGTCGCAAGCACCCTCCTTGCCGTTGGCGACGCAGTGGTCACAGGCGGACGGAGCATAGTCGTCTCGGTCCTCGGTGGCGTATCGCCGCCAGACCTGCTTCCTCCTCAAGATCTTGCACTGGTGGTCTGAGTCGGGGTTGGCGAGCCGGTGGTCGGCGCAGTTGGTGCACTCGATCGTGTGCTTGCCGACCATGTACCAGTCACACGGCCTTGCTGCTGCCATGCGCTGTCCTTCGGGATCGTTTGTGCAAAAGTTGCACGCCTTGAGCTTGGGCTCGTTGCCGCCATCCTTGTCGCCCGCATCCTGCTGGACCTTCTTGCCCCTGGGCTTCCTGGGCTTCCTGGGCCTCTTGGGCGGTGGCGTATCCCCTTTCTCACTCTCTTCATCGTCATCGTCATCGTCACCGTCGTCGTCGTCGTCGTCGTCGTCAAGCTCGGCATCAGCGTCTTTGTTTCCGTCATTGCCCCTTTTCTTGGTGGCTCGGGGCCCGTCGCCGTCATCCTTTCCGCGCTTCCGTTTGGCCGCTGCGGACGCGGCCCTTTTCTTCGTGGTACCTTGCGTCTCGTCGTCGTTGTTCTCCCCACGCTTTCGTTTAGGAGGTTGCGCCGAGGTGTCTTCGTCCTGCGAATCTTGAGACTCGTTACTATCTGGCACGCGCTTGCGCTTGGACGGCGCGGATCCAGCCCCTTTCTTGGTGTTTTGCGTCTCAGCGTCGTTATTTTGTCCGCGCTTTCGCTTCGGAGGCGGCGCGGGTGCGTCCTCATTTTCCTGGGACTCTTGAGATCCGCCGTCAGCTGTTCCGCGCTGGGGCTCGGGTGGCGCGGAGGCAGCTGGCTCTTGCATGGAGGCTTCGATGGCCCTCTCCTGCTGGGGCTCGGGATCATAACGGGGAGAATAGGGGGTACTGGCCCGGGACAGTGAACTTGAGCGAGCCTCAGGGTTGATTGGTTGGCTCGTGGCAGACTCAACCTCCTGACCCTGCCGGGGCTCATCAGAGGTATCGGGTTGAGGTGCAGTGGGCCTAGAGGACATGGACCTTGTCACCGGGCGGGCTTCCCGGTCCGGATCCGATTCAGCCATTGCGTCTGGAGGTTGGGGTTTGGGGAAAGGGGCCAAGGTCAGGGGGCACAGGCTTGCGTTTCCTTGTCGAGGTCGACTTGAGGGGGAGGGGAGTGAGGGTTGTCGACTGGAGCTTGCTTGTGTCTGTCAGTTGATGGCAGTATTTGATCATTGATTGAGGCAGAGAGGATGGGCTGTCGAGCGTTGTTGATGGTAGACTCGGGTTGTCCGGCAAGGCAAAGGATTGTCGTGACCGTTCTGAGCTGGCTGGAGCTATGGGGTGAGTTGTCAAGGGGCAGAAATGAAGGACAAAGGTCGTATTGCCCTCTCTGTAGAGCCGGCACGCGACCTCTGAGTCTTGGATGCTCAACGACCAGGCTGCGAATGCCCTCGCTTGCCCTTGGTCTTCCCGGCTCTTATACATGGCGGCGCAGAGTTCGTCGAGCTATTCCTGTAGCCCCGGGAACGTGCTCTCTCCCGCCTCCATGGTCCCTCCCTCCCCATCCCGTCCACCTCGTCTTGGGAGAGGGTGAGCGGGAGGGCAGAGCGACCACGGCAGAGACAAAAACGTCTTTGTCCCGGGGGGCCATGACTCGAATCGTCTGCGTCCTGCGAGGGCAATGGGGAGAGTTCCTGGACATCAAAGTCGAATAAGCGAGAGCAGAGTACTTTTTCTTCAGTGCGGGCGGGAGGAAAAAGAAGTGAATCTTTGTGTGTGCGCGCGTGGTGCGGTGAACAAAGGCCGGTTCCGGGACACACAGTTCACGACTTCGCGGCCGTCACTGGAGTCTACAAAGCGGGAGTGAGGGCGGCAAGTCAAGTGGGAAAGAAAAGAGAGGTTCGTGCAAGTTGCTCTCTTTGCTCTGATGTCCTGCCCTCTTGCCACTGTTTACATACATGCCAATTGCCAAGTAAAGACCATCGACAGGTACAGCAAGATGCTCGCCCCCTGTGGGATAAAAGGGCCCGTTCCTCTCCCGCGTCGTCGCGCTTTGTCAGTCTTTTGTCACCGCGGCCTGTCTTTTGTCGTCCTCACCCCCCCCGCGGCGGGCCCCGTCCTTTCCCTTTCCCGCGCGGCTAGAGCAAAGGCTTCTTCATAAAGACGGCCGGCCCGCCGATAAAGGTCCTCCCGGTGGCCCATGACCAGCCCCCCCCCCTGGCGCAAAAAGCAAGCCTCGTCGTTGGTGCGCGTCTCAGGCGGGTCGGCCCGTCGCGGGAGGGCGTGGCCATGGTCGTCCTTGTTCTCCAGCTGCCGCCGACTCTGTTCGTGGTGGCGGCGGTGCGCTCGAGCTCTGCCATGGCTCTGCGTCCGCGGCCGGAGAGCATTGGCGGTGCTCCGAGCCACGGGGCGGAAGACGCGGTGAATCCCGCTTTGTGAGCTCGCCGATGGAGCAGCAGCAGCAGCGGCAGCAGCGGCGGCGGCAAGAAAAGACAGCACACAGACGGCTGTACAGAAGGTGAAAGAGAGAGAGGCTCGATAAATAGAGAGGGAAGCCATAAATACCGTCAAAGGTAGAGAGAGAGCCTTGGCCCAGCCGACCGAAGCGAGCGTCGCGGCCAGGAAACGTCTCGAGCGCCGCGTGCCCGACGGGGAGAAAGGAGGCCTCGCCCGGGGCCCCGTGCTCGCGGCCGTCGCTTATCGCCGTGTCGACGAGGGGCTCTTGCTCCCTTTTGCGTCTGGATATGAGCACGAGGGCCTGTGAGAACAAAAGCGACGCCATGGATGGCTGGTACGTGTCTGGCAACAATGAACATTGGGAACCCCCCTGTTGCTCTTTCTCACCTCGAGAAACCTGTCGCCGTGGGCTTCTAGCATCTCCATTCGCCCGGGCGTCTTCTCTGCCAATGTCTAGGTTTTCTAGAGTGAATCCGTTCATCTTGACGCGCATTCTGCCCTGGACGAAGCATCACAGCCTCCGGCTCAAACGACGGCAGACATGAAAGCCAGCCAAGACGAACACTGTCAAGATGCAGAAAGGGCGTAGATGGCAAGCCAGACGAGACAAGAAAGAAAGAAAGAAAGACCTGCAATCCCATACACCACCCTGTCCCTGCTCAGAGCCGGCGCTTCAGGCTTCCTTGATGGGGTTGCGTTGAGCATCACAGGCCATATCCGGGCTTGAAGCAGTGGTTGTGCCTGTTCTCTCTGGCATAGTGTCATGGTGTCGAGAGGCTCCTGTGTCAAGGCCTTTTCGTTGACTCATGTCTGCCACCAACCACGACGACACAATGTGACGATACACTCACTCATGCACGACATCGATCTAACTGCCCTCTCGTTCATATCCGCAAACGTCACCACGCACAAATGGCTGCATCAGACATTCTTGCCGTCATTCTTCACACACAGCCCGACTTTTGCTTCGAGTTCTCCCTTGTCCTTCACGGACCGCTGTCCGTCACAGGCCTCATTCATCGCTCACTTCGGCTACGCCAGTCAATGAGCTACTCGCTACTAATCATTTCTGCACCTCCACCATCCGCTACTTTCAGGCCCATCGGCCCGGCCCGTGTTCTGCTTTCGTCCTGGGCTGCCCGTGCCCGGCAATCTAGCACGTCCCTCCATTTTGGCAACCTGTGCTGCCCTTTGTTCGCCTCAACACCCTGCCATGTTTTGCTTCCCATCTCCCCTCCCCGAAAGCGTACCTTTTCATTGCGCTCTTTCTTGCCCATCACGGGGCCTCTAGTACCCCCTTCAGCCTTTTCAGCCCGAAAACTGGAATCGCGTCGCCTCGAGCTGGCCAAGTCCGTCTCGCGGCGCCACGTTCCTGCGGCGGTACGTGTTGGTAAAGTCCTGCAGCAGCCCTCGCACGTGCCGCATGCCTCCCGCATCGCCCGACTGCAGCTTCTCCTTGATCTTGGAGATCAGCCGCTGCGCCTCGGCGGCCGACACCGTTCCCTGGGGGAGGAGCTGTATCGTCTGCGACACCCATTCCGTTGTCTCGGCCGGGAGCAGCTCGAACAGCGCCAGGAGAACCCCGCTGCCGTCCGCAAAGCAGTCTCGCGGAAACGTAATCATCATGCCGGCCATGACCTGCTTCACCAGGCTCACGCCGTGGCTCATCAGCAGGTTCTTCACGATGCCCCGTATGTTGGCGGCCGCTTCGTCTGGCAGGCCCTCGCTGGTGGCCGGATTGTTGCCGCCGTACGACAACAAATCTCGCAAAAAGTGCAACGTCGACGAGAGGGGGTCGCGCTGCTCCAGTGTGAGCGCGTAGATGGACGCCTCGAAGATGGGCACCAGCAGGTGCGACGGCACGAGCCTCTGCGGGTAGTACAGCAGCGCGTCAATCAGGAGCCGGAAGAAGTCGTCGATGACGTCGGGCAGTTCCTGCGGTTGCAGCTCCGTCATGACGCGCAGAAACGTCGTTGTCTGGGCCTCGAAAAATGTGTAAATGTTTTCCGTCGTCGCCTGGTCCACGTGCTCGCGATCCTCGGAAAACTCACGCAGAATTGCCGACGTGACCCAGAGGAAGCAGCCCTCCCTCGCCCGGTTGAAGCTGCTGGCGAGCTTGTTGGCCATTTCCGGCAGCAGCGGCGACATGGCCGTACGGTACGATATGACCATGTTGCGCCAGCACCGGCAGATCCTCTCGCAAATGGGGCTAAAGTCTAGGAAGTTGTCTAGAACCGTGGACAGGATGGGAAACACCTCTTGCCAATACTTGACCGCAGGATTCTCCTCTCCCGGCCCGACGAGCGGCACTACGTTTTGCACGAATATCGTCACGAGTTGAAGGTGGTCTGCCAAGCCTTGGTTAGCAACATATCCACACCAATGGTGGGGAAAAGGGGGCCCTTGCCTGCCAGCGCCAGCTTGCCCTCGTCGTCGGTGGCGCTGTTGGCCTTGCTCATCAACCTTTGTACCAGGGGGTCACAGTAGAGCTTGAGGAGCCGGTACGTCTCCGCCACGGGCTGGACGGCCACCACGTTGGCGACGCCCTCGGTGATCTCCTCCCGGCTCAGTTCCGGCAGCTTGTCGAGGATCTCGTCGTAGAACGTCTGCAGCTGCAAGACTTGTCCGCTGAGGAGGTGCTTGCAGTCGGTACAGAAGAACTTGACGGACAGCGCGGCGGCCCTCATGATTTCCCGGGAGTCGGACTGAAACGAGTTGACAATGTAGTTGAACTGGGGCTCGAGATAGTCCGGGTGCGCCGCCGTCCATTCCGTGTACCGCCCGAGCACCATGATTGTCGCGAAGCGCAGCTTTTCGTGGCTGGGGATTTGCACCAAGAGCGGCATCAGCTGAGGCAACACGATGTTCTCATCCTTGTCCACCATGCGTCCGAGTGCACGCATGGCGAACAGGGGGGCCTCGAGCTCCTGCCAATGCGGCACGTTGGTGCCCGATACCTGGCCGGCATACTTTTGCGTCCAGATCTGGATGGCGTTGAGCACCTTGGTCAGGCAGTCCGTCACTCCCATGATGTCGCAGGAATCCTTGAGCGTGTCCCCCATCTGGTGGCGAAACTCGCGGAACTTTTCCTCCTGCTCACGGTCCCCGTCGAATAGTTCGGATTCGTTGCCAGAATCTGGCTTGGGGTATTCCAGGTGCTTGAGGAGTATGTCGACGAGCTTCGAGTAGACGTCCACCATCTCCAGGCGGCCCTGGATGTACCTCTCGAGCACGAGGTACTGCTTGAGCTCATACCAGAAGCTAAAGGTATGTTCAATGACGTCTCGATCCGCGTCTCGCGCCGCGCACTCGAGGACCGCATCCACCAGAGGCTTGAATAGCGCGGGCTGGCGCGCGATGCCGACGACCCAGCTCTCGGCGGCGGTGGCAAAGACCTTGGTCAGCGACTTGAGCTTGTCGGCGTCTTCCTCTCCAACCACCCTTTGGATGTGGGGCTGGATACCGATGATACGGGGGAACAGCGCCTGGACCTCGTCTTGGCACTCGTCGACGTCGCTCGTTTCCCTCAGCATCACGCATAGGCACTCGGAGGACTCTTGGCTGCATTCGTCGCTCGTGACGCCGCCAAAGATGACGTCGAGAAGCGGGGAGTTGATAACGTTGGCAACCGGGACCTCCCTCAGCCAGGATGTGATGCATTCCATTAGCTGGGGGTTTCGAGAAGCGGCGGCTAATGTCTTGAGATTAGCCTCGAGCTTAGCAGGACCCGCCACGTTCCCATGAAGGGACTTACCTGAGGACTGAGCATAGTTGATGAGGAGGTGGACGACCTGTTTCGTGTTACTTCCCAGCAAGGCCTGTGTGCGGGCGGCGAGATCATCTTCCTGTGTCCAATGGTTAGACTGTCATGCCTCTGAGGATGCCGGACGGCCAGAACGCCAAAGTCGCTAAGGATAACGCGCGCCCAGGTCGATGGGTATGTTGTTGGGTCCACGTACAGACAAGGTGATTTTGCGACCCTCGGTCACCTCCTCGGGGAGCACTCGGAGGAAATCCAGGATGCACGCATGGCTCTCGGGGCTGTCGGCGAGCGACTGGACGACTGATGGAAGCACGTCGTCCCAATCCTTCATCTGTATGGCCAGGATGGCCAGACACACACAGAGTTGGGTTCTGATTGGTTTCGGGCCAGCTGCGAAGTGCTTCAACAGCAGGAGGATCTGGTTTCGAAGCTCCGGGAGCTCACCGGGAGAGACTTGGGTCGAGAGATCGTATGTCAACTTGGGCACTGGTCAGCTACCGAGGCGGCGCCAGGGGGGGTATCCGAAGGGACCCACCTTGCCGCGAAGAGTGATGGCGGCGAAGAGTGTTGCTTCGGGCTCGCTTTCGGTTTTGAGTATGCCCAAGACGGTCGCCCACGAATCTTGCTGCGGGCGTGTTAGCAGGAGCAGAAAAGCGGCGGGGGGGCGACGGTGTCGGGGGCGCATACGGATTTTTGGAACCTCTCGAGATAGTGATGGGCCTTTGTCTTGTCGTCTTGCTGGCCGCTCCTCATGGTCATGACGGCGGCCAGGACATCTGAGGGAGTAAAGGCCGTGTGCGCGCCGTTTGAAGCCATTGCGTGTGATTTAAGGGGCCGGTGATGGGTCTCGGGCGCAAAAACTCGAGCGCATGTGCCTCAAGAGGCTCGGCAGCGGCCAGGAGAGGGTGCTTGGCGATGGCGGCCTGATGATGTAATCAAGGGCGCGCGGCCGAGGCCAGCTGAAGCAGCTGTGGCGGATGACGTCTGATGGGGGAACGTAAGCGCCGGTGAGGCAGCTGTCGAGAGGGAACAGGAACGAAAGGCCGCCTGGAGGATGTTTTGCTGGATTTATTAATGATGGCATGGATCGCCGGCCGCATTCTTTGGCGGGGCAAAGAAGGAGACTTGTCTGGCGACCCGGGTCTTTTCTCACACTGTGTAGCCGCTGGTTTTTCCGCTCCGGGCTGCCCGAGGTCCCCTGAAACAGTACGAATTCGGTCCGTCATTCACCTCACCTGCTCCGTTCAGCAGGCGAGGACGGAACTTGCAAGCCCAGACTCTGCACAGGCTTGTGCTGTAGGGCCTCTGCGCGCCAGCCTTTGAAGCCCAGTCGCATTACAAAAGGACGCCCGCCCGGCTCTTTATGGAGCCAACCAAGTTACAGACGCCGGCTCTTTCAACATCTAGGCAACTGTTTGAGTGATGCAAACCTTTGTATGTGCTGTGATAATCGGATTCATGAAAACATTTGCCCCGGCCGGTCACGGTTCCTCAAGCCATGACGGTGCTCTGCGTGCCGCTGCTCGACGACGCCTCTCGGAGCTGGCCGCTGCCCAGAATCAGACCGTGCAGGTTTCGGTCGTGCAGATCGACAGGCACCTGCTCGCCCGGCGAGGCAGACAAGAGCTGCTCGGTGAGCGCCAGGCCGTAGAGCAGCAGCGGCGGGTGGCCGTCGGCGGCGGCCAAGTACCTGTTGAGGAAAAAGTCATAAAAGCCCTTGCCGTGCCCCAGCCTGCGAATGCGGCCGGCGCCGTCCAAGTCAAACGCGACTCCGGGCATGAGCATCAGGTCCAGTTCCGCAGAGCCGCCGAGGACGCGGCGACGGCGGTCGAGCGTGGCCGGGTCTACCGAGGGGATGCCCCAGCGGTCGGGCCTGAGGCTCTCGTAGTCGTGGATGCCGGTGAGGCTGACCATGTCCATGACGCGCGCAGGGCCGTCGGCGGCGTCGGGCTTGTGCAGGTAGGGGACGAAGACTTGCTTGCCGCAGCCGAGGGCATGGCGCACGATGGCGTCGGTCTGCACCTCGCCGGTGGGCATGGAGAGGAAGATGCTGATGCGGGTGGCATCGCGGTAGGGCTTGAAGTCTTGGAGTGCCTCGTATATCCTGCGGCCTGTGGTGACGGTGGTGGTCAGTGGCTGTGAACGTTGTGAGGGGATAGATGGGAGGCAACGGGTATACTTTGGGCGAGGACGGCATCTTGAGACAGGCTCGACAGCCGCTGCCTCATGAGAGACCTCAGTTGCTGCTTTGCGGCGACCAAGGGCACGGTCATGTCGGGCGCCGTGATGGGTTCATCAATGACACTTTGCAGATGACGGCGATGGCGATGGCACGCGGTGGGCCTTTTTTCTGTCGCCGATGTCGCTCATCGCTGTTCGTACCTTGAGCCCAGTCAGCGGCCCCGCAGCCAGGCGCAGCAGGCCACTGTAGATATGTATTAGTGCTGGCCTTCCACCCGCGCCAAGTGCATGAATGCCGCCGGCAAGGCATGACTACTAATAGAGGAATAACGCGGCCGCAATATGGCCGGAGATGAGCGGTGAAAAAAAGCCGCTATGATCCAAGGACCAAAAAAGAAGATGAAATGGACGACATGTTGGTGCGAGGAACTAATATGTCAGGGTCTCGTGAAGAGGGTGTCACTGGGTGAGCGAAGCACGTAGGCGCGCCTTGTTTGAACGGTATAACAAGTCTTACAAGGGAGTTTACGAGGGAGTTGAGTGCGAATACATGCAAACAGAACCCACCAATTGGAGTGTGTTCTGGCCGGAGAATATATCCATCGCATCTCGTATTCCACCATCTCCGGTCGCGTCGCGTCGCATCGATGGCAATTTATATTCCATCCCCGGGAATCCCTCCCCTCCCCCACGTCGGCTCCGCCCCGCCGGCGCAATGCTTGGTATTGATGAATCAACCCCTGTAGGCAAGTTGGGGATGCACGTCCGCGGCGGTCTGTAGTACGTACATACATACCTATCGAGTGCCGTGTCGCGTTGGCCTGGACACACAGGCTCCGCGCCCGCCGCCGAGCCCAAGGGGGGTGCCTGAGAGGCCGGACGCCCGAAGCGGCCGCCGGCAACGGGTCTTTTTAGGGTTGCAGAAGCCCTGGGTGCTCCACCCCCTCTCCCTCGGCTTGTGCTGCGCTGGCGGGGCCCCTGTTCCCTGACGGATCGCATCGCCGCAGCGCGCAACCATCCCCATCCACCATTTACAGTAACTTCTACATACATGCTCTGCACCACCCTGCGCTTTGTCCGCACAGCAGATTACCCTCATGCATCTGAGCACGCATCGCAGTAGCCCCAGGAGGGACTGCCAGCCATGGGCAACAAGGCCGAAGCCCCATTGACCGGGTCCTCGCTGCCGCTGCACACCCTGGCCCCCGCCGTCTCAGACGCTGAACCAGGACGTCGCGTCTACCCGAGTCATCTCACTCGTCCTCGCGCGTCTTCAGCTACACCCGCGGCGCCTTCCGGGGCCTCTGCCGCTATCGCTGCCGCTACCGCTACCGCTACCGCTACTAGGGCTCCTATTACTACTACAGCCACCGCCGCCGCCGCCGCCGCCGCCTCTGCCGTCACCTCGTCTCCGACCACCGCCTCTCTCCCCCCACCGCGCCATGTCCGCGACGACTCCTCGGCCGCCAGCGAGCCAATAGCGCAGCCCGCCCCCGATGCCGCCGCTCTCGACGACGGCACCATGACGGCCTCCAGGAAATCGCCCTACCTCCTCCCCGGCGACGGCGCCGGCCCTCCCAATGCCTCCTTCTCGCCCTACGGCTCCGTCGCCCCGGCCCGCCGCGCCGCCGCCCATCGCCCCGACAGCGACTCGGAGCTCGACGACGACGTCCACCAGCTCCGCCACGTCCACGACAGCATCCGCAGCCGCAGGAGCCTGAGCTCCAGGCGCTCCTTCTTGTCCCGCCAGTCGTCGCGCCGCTCCGACGATCTCGACGGCGCCGCCCTCGTCTCGGGCCTCGAGGGCCGCTTCGGCCTGGCAGAGGCCCCCCTGCCCGGCGACATCATCCTCGACCACGACGCCGGCGCCTCCTCCGACGGCTCCCAGCACGGCCTGCAGCTCGACCACGACCAGTCCTCCACCCGCTCCGACGACGACCTCGACGACAACTCCCCCCATGAAGCCGTCCGCGCCTCGGTCCCCCCCACCGACAACACCACCCTCTCCATCAACACCCCTCGCATGTGGTGCCTCTCGGTCCTCTTCTCCATCCTCGGCTCCTCGACGAACCTCTTCTTCTCCCTCCGATACCCCAGCGTCGCCATCACCCCCGTCATCGCCCTGCTCCTCGTCCACCCGCTCGGCCACCTGTGGGACATGCTCCTCAAGCGCCCCTACGACCCGGACGACGAGTTTGTCGACGGCGTCAGGACCCGGCCCCGCGACGACCCTGCCGCCCACCGCCGCAAGAAGCTCAACTCGTGGCGCCTGTGGCTCGCCCAGGGCCGCTGGAACCAAAAGGAGCACACGTGCGTCTACGTCAGCAGCAATGTCGCCTTTGGCTTCGCCTTTGCCACGGACGTCATCGTCGAGCAGACGCGCTTCTACAACCAGGAGGCCCCCGTCGTCTACCAGCTCCTCCTCACCATCTCCACCCAGATCCTCGGCTACGGCTTCGCCGGCATGGCTCGCCGCTTCCTCGTCCGCCCCAGCGGCATGATCTGGCCCGGCACCCTCATGTCGGCCGCCATGTTCTCCACTATGCACAACCAGGACAACAAGCCCGCCAACGGCTGGACCATCAGCCGCTGGAACTTCTTCTACGTCGTCTGGGCCGTCTCGTTTGCCTTTTACTTCCTCCCGGGCCTGCTGTTCCCCGCCCTCAGCTACTTCAACGTCATCACCTGGTTCGCCCCCAAGAACGTCGTCGTCGCCAACCTCTTTGGCGTCGCCTCGGGCCTCGGCCTCTTCCCCATCACCTTTGACTGGGCCCAGATCACCTACGTCGGCTCCCCGCTGCTCGTCCCCTTCTGGGCCGCCATGAACGTCATCGGCGGCCTCGTCGTCGTCATGTGGATCATCGCGCCCATCCTCTACTACTGCAACGTCCTCTACTCGTCCTACATGCCCATCCTGTCGGCCGGCGTCTTCGACAACACCGGCCACATCTACAACGTCACCCAGATCCTGACGCCCGAGTTTCTCTTTGATCGCGACGCCTACGCCAGCTACAGCCGCGTATTTCTGCCCATCACCTACGTGCTCAGCTACGGCGTGCAGTTTGCCGGCCTCGCCGCCCTCCTGACCCACACCCTGTGCTGGCACGGCCAGGACATCTGGCGCACCATAAAGAGGAGCCTGCACGAGGCCCGCCAGAACGACAAGCCCGTCTACCAGCCCGTCAACGAGTCGCGCGCCGCCTCGAGCACCTCGCTCGGCAGTGGCGACCGCAGCTGCATGGACGGCTCCACCATGTCCAACGGCGACGGCCTGCTGAGCCGCGAAGACGTCCACTGCCGCCTCATGAACCGCTACAAGGACGCGCCCCTGAGCTGGTACCTGCTGACCTTTGCTTCCATGGCCGCCATGGGCATGTTTGTCGTCGAATAGTGAGTTCCCCCCGGTGATTCCGAGGCCAGGCCGTGGCTGACCTCCCCTCGGCTACCCCGTCCACCTCCCCTGGTACGGCCTGCTGCTGGCGCTCGGCATCGGCGCCATCTTCTTCATCCCCAACGGCATCGTCATGGCCATCACCAACCAGCACAGCAGCATCTATCTCATCTGCCAGCTCATCTGCGGCGTCGTCTTCCCCGGCCGCCCCATCGCCAACATGGTCTTTGTCAGCTACGGCTACATCTCGTCGGCCCAGGGCATCAAGTTCGCCTCGGACCTCAAGCTCGGCCACTACATGAAGATTCCCCCGCGCATCATGTTCCTCGTCCAGGTCGTCGCCACGCTCGTCTCGTCGCTGACCCAGATCGGCGTCCTCAACTGGATGTTTGCAAATGTCCGCGGCATCTGCACCGCAGAGGCCGTCAACGGCTTCACCTGCCCCATTGCCCGCGTCCACTTCAACGGCTCCATCCTCTGGGGTGTCGTCGGCCCCGGCGAGTTCTTCGGCCCCATGGCCATCTACCGCACCCTCGTCTGGTGCTTCCCTCTCGGCGCCTTCCTCCCCATCCCGCTCTGGCTCTACGCCCGCCGCCGCCGCCACAGCCTCTTCCGCAAGGTCAACCTCCCCGTCATCTTCGGCGCCATGTCGTGGATCCCCCCGGCCACCGGCCTCAACTTCTCCGTCTGGGCCCTCGTCTGCTACCTCTTCAACTTCCTCATCAAGCGCCGCGCAAACGCTTGGTGGGGCAAGTACACCATGACACTCAGCGCCGCCCTCGACTCGGGCCTCGCCTTTGGCATCGTCGTCGTCTTCTTCGGCTTCATCTACCCGGGCTGGGTCAGCGGCTTCAGCTGGTGGGGCACAGAGGTCTACAAGCAGGGCTGCGACTGGCAGGCTTGCTCTTACAAGAATGTCCCCGAAGGCCAGACCTTTGGCCCCCACACGTGGTAATGTCCGTCCGTCCCATCACGGCCGCTGCGGCGCGTCAAAAACTAGACCAAAATAGAACCCGGCGTTGGTTTATCATTTCCGGATATGCAATGGAATATAACTAGAGCTTGTCGAGCGTCTTCTTCACTTTTGTTGGGTATCAATCTCACAGCACCCGCGCTGCGTGCGAATCGAATTCCACTGTCTATCCTTGCATCTTTGTGTATTACAGCATAGCACTATCTAGCCACTCATGGGTCCTCCGGGGCATCTTGTGATATATGACATCGCTATCTCCGCTCACGTCCGACTCACTGTCCGGCCTCCCAATCTGGGTTCTGTTCAACATGTGTTAGCATTCGCGGCATCAGCGACCGCACTTCGGAGTAAGACTTGCCTTTCGCAGAATGACCCGGCCCTCGAGCGTGCTGCTCAAGCTTATGTACTCATCATCTTCCAGCTCCGCGCGTTCGCCGTGGCCGAGCAGCACGGGTGTGCTCTGCGTCTGCCATCCCGTAATCGTCTTGGGCCGGCCGGCTTGACCGACGACGTCCACGGCCTGGCCCACGCGAACATTGACCTTGAGCGGCTCAAGTTTCTCGTCCAGAGTGACCAGGAAGCGAGGTTGCATGGCAGGCACGAGGAAGTAGACGAGGTAATGCGAGGTCGAGGCGATAAACTCCTTGGGGTCGATCATGGCCACCATGGTGGCCAGCAAGCCCGCGGCCGCAACGTGCGAGAGCACCTGGCGATCTGTGTGGAACGGGTTGATGGACAACGTCCCCTTGCCCATGTGCAGCAGACCCTGGGCGATGCGGACCATGAACAGGGCGTCCTGGTCGCGATGGTAGTAGCTGGCGAGCTGTCTCAGCAGCTGCGCCAGCCTGGCATTGTTGGTGCCGGCGCCAAGCATTCCCATGGCGAAGATGGCATTGATGGCCACCTCGGGGTCGTTGTCGTGGCTGTATCTCGAGAGCGTGTCGTACACCTTCATCTGCGGGTTACTCGGGCTTATCAGGCCCATGGCCAGAGGCACGGCCTTGCGGATGTTGGCCTCGCCATAGTGCATGAGATGCCCAAACTGCCGCAGCACCATTTCCTGGCCCACGTCTTCGCCCATGGCCACCAGGGCAATGCCAATGACGGCATATGCTTGCAGCAGCTCGTCTCCCTTCTTGTCCTCGGTCTCCTCCTTGTGCTCGTTACAGATGTGCAAGAGCTCCTGGATCTTCAAAACAGCGCCTGTGCCAGCCCAAGCGCAAATCTCCGCTAGGACAGCCGTGGGCTTGGCCATCGGGTGGTCCACAGCCTTGAGCGTCTCCAGAATGACGTCAACCTCTTCTTGCCGGCCAAAAAAGAGCAGGCCAAGGCCAAGGGCCAAGAACCGCGTCCACTTGTCCGTCAACTGGCTCTTGCGGTCTTCGTCCATGAGGGTCGTGACAATGGCTTCGGAGACTTCGGGATGCGACGACCCAACAAAGATGAAGCCGCAGGCGAGTGCAGCCATTGCCGAGATCTGCATCTCTTGGGAGGAGTCGCTGATGATGGGCAGCAGGAGTTCCAGTAGCTCTTCCTTATTAGAGCCGGCGTATGATAAGCCCAATCCCATGAGGCAGGCTGTCCTGATCAGGGGGTTTGAGTGATGCAGCTTCTCCGCGTCGCCGAGGAGGGCCAGGGCCGGCTCCGAGTCTACACAGATGCCCGAGTTCATGATGCCAATGGCGAGCATGGCTCCGGCACAGATCTCGGGGTCCGACGAGTAAGTGTACTTATCGATCTTATCGAGGCCATTCTCGACGTCCCACAGCATGAGGGTGCCCATGGATGCGACGGTGGACATCATACCGTCCGCCTTGGTCTTCCACACCCACGTCTCCTTCTCGCCATCGACCAGCATCATCTTATCCTTGCCAAAGCCAGCATTGACAAACGCGTTGACAAAGGCGGCTGCGAGGTTGTGTCTGGCGGAATCGAGGTTCGTCATGCCGGCGACCCGGCTGCTTTCCAGGTGGCTCTTGTATATGTCCTCGGTGGTCTTGGGGTCCAGGATGTTCAGCTCTTTGCCGAGAGCCTTGAAATGGTCCGACAGCTTGAGGTTGGACAAGCAATCCGAAAGATCCGGGTCATCCCTGGTGTCCTCAGGGAACTCTAGGACTATCCTTTGGCGGGCAATCAAGTAGGAAAGCTGCTTCTTCAACGCAGGGTTCTTTGCTTTGCCAAAATCGGCTCTGATCAAGTTGACGTCGTGCAGTCGGATGGCGAGCACCATTGCCTGAGTAAACTGCTTGTACTCAATGTAGATTTTGTGTGCAGTTCGGAGAAACGTTTCGTTGTCGGGGTAGGTGAGCAAGTTGACCATGCTGACCATGTAGAGGCATACTCTGGCGTAGGTGTCGTCGTCGACAAACCTGGGAATTTCCTCGATGATCTCCAGCTCGCTCATGAGGTCGACAGCATCGGCCTCGGCATTGCTCTTGATGTACAGCGGCACCAGGACCAGAGCCAGGTCGACCAGGTCCTTCGTGGGCTCATCCGCAGTGATGCGCTTGGCATACACCTCGCCGATCTCCAGTGCCAAATGTCTGACGTACTCGTGGCCCCAAGACCCGATGTCGGTCGTGGGCGCCAACAATCTGTACTTGAGAGTGTCTTGTCGGTCTTCGTCCGAGTACGTCATGCCAATCACCGAGAGGACATCCGCAAGGGACGTCTTGTTCTCGCCATCGGGCCAGTCGTCGTACAGTTTTGTCAACGTCTCATAGTGAGGCCGCAGAAACTTCAACGGCTTTGGCACCGCTGTCATTGATGATGTCGAAGTCTTGATTGACGATTTCATGGCCTCCAGGGCGGCTTTGTACAGCTCCGTATTGGACTCCTGCATATCGGACGTCAACCCCGCTTGCCATGGCTCAGAGTGTCTTGGGCGTCTGTGCTACTCACCGTCAATCGCTCCACCATCATGTCCAGCTCATTCTTGAGTTGCTGGTCCTCTTCGCTGAGTTCCTCCTCTGCCGCTGGCGTCTAGTCAGCGAACCAACCGCGGCGCCGGAAGGGGACTGGGGAGCTTGAGGGAGCCTACCCTCTTTCTTGCCGTCTTCCTTCTTGCCGTTCAGCACGGGCTTCTCATCCTTGGGCTCGTCGACGGCCTTTCCCTTGCCCTTGTCCGCAGCCGTGGGCGCGCCGACGTCTTTTGCCATGGTGACGTCGGGGTAACGAGCTCTGGTGGAGCTCCGGCAAGAGAGGCTGTTGAAGGCTGCAGGGGGGATGGGCGGGCGACCGGATTGGAAATAAGTCGATAGAGGAGTGAGAAGAAAAATGTCTGGCTTTCGGGATCAAATGTTGCCGACGCGGCGTTGAAGGGTTCTGCAGAGTGCACTGCTGGTCTTCGTCAGAGAGGTGCGGGCAAGGGAGGCAAATGGCGAGAAAGCTGTTGCTCGAGGTGCGCCGCGCCGGCGTAGCTCCGGTTACGACAGGTCGCTGGCGCCTTCCACAGCTTGGGAGCCCCAGATTTCGAGTCACGTGCGCTGCCTGCCAAGTGTCATTCTTTTCTGGGGATCGGAAAAGTTAATCCGCGACAGCCAGTGTCCGCCTTATCGATTAAAAAACACCCAACTCCACTCTATCGAATCCGTCGAAACCCAAGGCCTCACGACCATGGAATAGAAGGCCCCGACAAGCACAAGGACTTTTGCCGAGATAGCCGTGTGACGTGGAGAGTCCAAGTTCAACATCATGAAGCTGGACACGCGGGCCATGCGCCATTTGGCGTCGGAAGACTGGCGAGTCTTGACAGCGGTATGCCGCATGCGCCTCTGGCCCATTCCCAGACTAACGCCAATGTCGCAGGTTGAAATGGGCAGCAAAAACCACGAAATCGTCCCAACGCCGTTGATTGAGAAAATAGCCCGGCTTCGCGGCGGCGCCAGCGGCGTGCACAGGAGCATATCTGCCCTCGCAAAGGTCGGCCTCATCGCTCGAGTCAAAGAAGCCAAATATGACGGCTACCGCTTGACGTACGGCGGCCTCGATTACCTCGCTCTGCACACTCATGCCACCCGCAAGCATGTGTACAGCGTCGGCAGCCGCATTGGAGTCGGTAAGGAAAGCGACATCATGGTTGTCGCCGACGACAAGGGGGCGCAGCAGGTCTTGAAGATTCACCGACTCGGCAGGATATCGTTTCGGTCCGTCAAGTCGAACCGGGACTACCTCAAGAACCGTGCTTCTGGCTCCTGGATGTACCTGTCGAGGCTGGCCGCCATGAAGGAGTTTGCCTTCATGCAAGCATTGCACGAGGAGGGCTTCCCCGTTCCGCAGCCGCTCGCGCAGTCCCGCCACACCATCGTCATGACCCTGATAGATGCGTTCCCCCTCCGGCAGATTGCTGCAATACCAGATCCGGCATCGTTGTATGCCGACCTCATTGCTCTCATCCTGCGGCTCGCCAGCCACGGCCTGATCCATGGTGACTTCAACGAATTTAACATACTGATCAAGGAGAACAAAACAACATCCGAGGACGGCCAGGAGCTGATCAAGCTCGAGCCTGTCGTCATTGACTTTCCCCAAATGGTTTCCATGGAGCACCAGAATGCCGACATGTATTTCGACCGAGACGTCAACTGCATCAAGCGCTTCTTTCAGCGCCGGTTCCACTTCACTAGCACCCAGCCTGGGCCTTTCTTCGCAGACGCCAAGAAGTCCATGGGGAAGAGCGGAGCCAAACGACTCGACGCCACTGCTCAAGCTTCTGGTTTCACCAAGAAGATGTTGAAAGATCTGGAGGCTGCCATTCAGCAACAAGCCGCGAAAGAGCAAACAGCAGTCGACAGTATCGACGAAGACGAGGAAGGAGAGGAAGAGGAAGAAGAGGAGCAGGGCGATGCTGAAGAGGAACAAGCATTCGTAGTGCTGTCATCAGACAAGGGCGGAGAAAGCCTTAACGACGCAGGAGGACCATCAGACAACGGCCAACCCAGCCACTCGTCCAACGTGATGCAGCCAGACATATCGAAGCTAGCAATCTGAATCAACAACAAGTGATACCCGTGGCTCGAAGGCCATTCGCTTCGCAACGCGAGGCTCAAAAAGAATTTGATTGTCATTATGGTGCAGGCCGTGCCGCCTTGTTAGTCTCTCACAGTTGCCGTTCCCTAGTAACTAGAGTACAAAGTGTGTAAAATGGAACTTTTCTTCTCCCTTTTGCCCTGTCACAGCCCATCAATAGTATCATCTATCTCCGACCATAACATGCTTCGCAAAGGCGTAAGAGTGCCACGACGTCTTGAGTGTGCAGCTCCAAGAAAGAACGGTGATGAAAGAAGCAAAGAAGAACAAGGAGACAATGTGCGTGATGCATAATACACGAGAGATGATGCAGCAGAACTGGCCATTCCATGGAGGCCTCATTGGGTCTCCTTCTTGCCTGCCACGTGCACTCGTGGCGACGTCTGGACACTCTCGTCAGCGGCGGCGACGACGGTCGGATCAGCGTGAATCGTAACGCCCTCGTCACACTCCGAGGAGTTGGGGGTAGAAACAGCCGCATCCGTACTCGCGTTCGTGACCGCCCTGATCAAGAGGTCAGTACGTGCTGAAGATGCTAAGGCGTGAAGCATACTCGGACAATCCACGTCGGGTTCCCGAGTGTCTCGTCGCGTTGCCATCGTCATTCGAAGAAGTCGAAACGCTGCTGAAGATGGTATCAATTAGGACGAGTTTCTGCAGCCAAGATATCCTGCCCGACTTACCTTCGCGAGGCCGGGAGAGTGCGTCGCCACTGGGACTGCTGGCCATACAAGGTCGGGCTCATGCCAACGAGGGGGGTACCGTAGGCGCCAATGTTATACTCGTTGGTGCGAAACTGACGGCGCTCAGCGGTGACGCGCTTGAGCTCCTTCTGGGCCGGAGTGTCGGCGTAGCGAATGTTAATGAGGAGGCCCTCCTCCCCAATGCCGACGCCATTGAATTTGTGGATGACTTCGTCGCAGACATCGCGGGACTCGAAGCTGCATTGCTGTTAGTCCAATCCCTCCCGACAGCGACATGGCGTGCGACGCTTACCGAGCAAAGCCGACACCGCGGCTGTTCCCCATGCTATCACGGAGAATCTTGCTGGACAAAATGGTGTACCCGAGAAAGATAGTGGCCAGTTCCTGCACAATGTTAGCCTTGTATAAACACAATGAACCGAAAGGACTTATAGACTCACCACCTCAGTCAAGCTCTTAGGCAAGTTGGAGATGTAAAGATTAGTGGAAGCTTCATCGCCTTCGGCCTTGAGTCTCGAGTTGAAGGATTCCTGGACACCGGTTAGCACTCTCGACTGGAATACCATATGGGCAAACTCACCCGCGCAAATCCAACCTCATATCCCAGGCGATGAAAGCCACGGATGCACAGCTCGGAGTCATGCGATTCACAAAACTTGGCAAAGCCAAAGCTGCAGTGCGTCAGTCAAATGCTTCTCATCAAATCCTCACCAGGCAGACGTACCCCTTGCATGCTCCGGTATTGGTGTCGATTATGGCCTTGGAGGTCTCGACGGGCCCGAATCGTGAGGCGAACTCGTAAAGCAGTCTGTCATCCGTCGTCGGGTGCAGTCCGCGGATGTAGACGTTGCGGTTGCCGGGAATGCGATTCTCCAGGCTCTGCTCCAGGCTCTTCATCTGTCCCGGAGGGGTGAAGACAGCCGGGACAGCCCGGGGAACGGCCGGTTCCTTCTTCAGGATTTCATCAATGGTGCGGTCAGAGACAGTGGAAACAGCCGACTTTGCAGGTTCGGCGTGAAGGGTGGCGAGGCCCATCTGCTGGGGAGACGGGGTCGTGTAGGCCGAGCGATCGAGACTGGCAACGCGAGGGCCACCATCACGCTGGGACACGGTGCCGTAGAATGGGGTCGCCGGGGTGGACTCCGTGGTAGAGTAAGAGCCGCGGCGGTTCTCGAGTCCTGGAACCTCGGAGTTGCCACGCTCAATGCGGGCGTGGTTGGCATTGGCGCGGCCCGGCGTGAAGGGCATGATAGGCATGGGCAGGCCGACGTAGGGGGGGCCGTAGCCACCTGCGGGAAGCGCAAAGTTGTGGTAAGGATTCTCCTGGGAGTGGCCCATGCCCATGGTCTGGGCAGCGGGCATGGGGGCGAGAACAAACTGTCCATCGGACCCGACCATGAAATGGCCTGGTCCCAGAGGAAGCGGGCCCGAGTTGTTGGGCATTCCCATGCCTCCAATCGTGAGGCCCGTGAAGTGACCCATCATCGAGGTCGGGTCGGCAACCGCATGAGGAGGACCGTGGCCGTGAACATTGCGACCCGTTGGGTTGGGGAGGTAGTGGGTGGCGACACCAGTGCTCGCGTCCATGTTGGATTCGGTCAGAGTCGGTTGTTGATAGACTTGCGGGTTGCCTGCAAACACCATCGTTAGCCTTGATCAGGTCTCGCGGAGCACACCATGGCCAGAAGGGAGACTGACGCACGGGGCTGTGAGGAAACTTACTCCTGGAGCCACAAATTCACTTCGAAGGATTGTTCGAGATGGCGGCTGGACCGAGATCTGCGATTGTTGGTGAGCCAAGTGAACCGGAGACTTTGGAGCAGCAAGCGGGGTATTCGAAAGAGCGAATGGGTCGCTGCGGGAAAGACTGATAAAGCAACGGGCAGCTTTTATTGAAGAGGGTTGTGTGCTGTGGGAAGACGAATTCCCTGCGGTAGGACAGGAGAAGGAGACGGGGCAGGGAAGCAGGCAGAGGAGGAGAGCAATGCAAAGAAGAGGCGGAGATGGCACCACTCACCTCGTCCTGTCTTCCGACTAGCTGAAGTGATGGTGCAAACGGGCTCGTGGCCAAGACAAATGTTGCTACCAAGAGGCTGAGATGAAGCGAGAGTAAGTGAGATAGAACGAGCTATCGAGCAAGATGGGGATTCGAAAAGAGATTGACCAAGCTGCGTGACCAAAGGATCGCCGAGAGCGATTGTTGAAGCTTGGTTGATGCTGTGTGAAGAGGGAGGAAAAGGAGAGAGCTGGGAATGGCGCCGAGAAGAAGAAGAGGCAGCGAAGCGAGCCGAGAGACGTACCTAATGCTTAAGAGCTGCTGATGCGAAGGTAACTGCGATGCTTGGTCCAAAAGCAGAAGGAGAGAAGTTGCAAATGATGATGGGTAAGCTATTGGGCACGACGGTCGAGGTTCGCGTGCCAGCAAGAGAAGAGCTGGTGGGGAGAAAAAAGAGAGACGAGCCGAGCGATGACGAAAGCCCAAGTGGAAAGACGGAGGGGAGGCTTGGCCGTTCCGTCCACTGCACTCCTGTTCAGTCCGGTTCAGGCAACGCAGGGCAGTCGAGCGCTGAGAAGAGCACCTGCGCAGTGTGGGTGACCGCCTCAGGGCAGGGCACAAGGCCTCGGGCAGGAGGCAGGTACCTGACCTGGATCAATCTCGAAGCCCGCCCAGCTATGTCCTTGGGGTCTCTGCTGCTGGTTGAGGCAGGTAGACAAGGCGAGGTGAGGAGCCGAGGTAAGTGTGACGACCGACGAAAGGTAGGCGAGTTGACGAATACAGCGATTCCTGGGCACCGAGCCTGGATGGAAGACAAGGCAAGAGGCGCTTTCAAGCTTCACAGTCTCGACCAGCACTCCGTCTCCTGCAGCGCCTGCTCAGTCGTTCGCGTTTCGTTCGCTTTGCGCCGTCCTTGTTGTTGCTCCACCAAGTCCGTTGTTGCCGCTGACGACGATGCTCGACGGGCCTTGACGGGTTTCCACCGGGCTCTTGTGCCTGCCGTGAGCAAAGCAACAGTCCTCCTCTCGACGAAGACTCCTCCTCCTCCTCCGATATCGGCTCTCCCGCTCCGGAAAGCAGCAGTCGCAAACAGCCCAGGGCGACAAGGTGCTCTTCGACGGATCCGAGGCGAGTATCCGTGGTCGATAACGCGGAGGGAAGATCTGATATCCAGTCACAATGAGATGTCGACCTATACCCCAGCGTCGCGGCCTGACAAGAATCGGCGGAGTAGATGACCCGAAGATGGCCTGCTCGACAGTCGTGCTGCCAGAATCGTCCGGGGTGTTCTCTTCTCTGTCACCAGACCAGATGGGCTAATAATGCCTAGGTATCCTGGTTCCCTTCTGAACGCCGCTTCACGCCTGTCCTGCCGATTCCTGGCTTGCGTTGGATGTATCGATGCTTCCAGCTGATATCAAGTCGATGGACGAATTCGAACGCAACGGCGTACGCAGCAACCAGACTAAAGAATACTGAGCAAAGGATGACTATGGGACAGGAGGATGGCCGACTACACGACGGACTTTGCTCGAGCAGAGGAGAGCTGGGCCTTAAGAATGGCGCGCAGCCTGTGAGACGAGCAGGTCCAAGTGAGGAGCAGAGCATGTCCGACACGGCCTATCAGCTCCGACACTCGCCGTCTTTCCTTTTTTTTGTCTCTCAGACAGAACCACCCGATGATTCACTTGAGTGGTGCGTTCTAGGGGCCACGAGTGTTAGTTCTCGCCGGCGCTCGCAGGTGAAGGATCGCTTCGCGGCGCCTTTGGAAGACTGACGTGAAGCTCAGTGTCAATAAGAAGCGCTTGCCGGTATACAGCCGTGTGACGGTTCACATGTTCACGACGGGCCACAGACGCACAAGGCGACAGGCTGGATGCCAGTGTGTGCCAACGGCCCTCCCGTATGGGGAGAGACGGTGGCCCGAGGGGTATCATTGCTGGCGGACGATGAGGCGATTTGGCCGGGGCCGAGACGGGAGCAAAGACGCAGGGACAGATGGCGCTAGACATTCCTCTCGACGAGACATGGTCCTGGAGCAGGTAGTGTATTTGTCGGAGCGGGACTTGCCCTTTTGAGCGTCTCAGAAGACAATTCACATTCCCAGTTCCGGAAGGTCGAAGATTGGCCAGGGCCAGACTGGACGGGCAAAATGCCTCCCTCGGGTTCCCCGCTTATAGACGCCATCCGCGAGACCAGAACACGGGCCGAGCACTCGACGCAAGGGAGGGACTTAATGACAAGAAGAGACACGGTCGCCACCGCACCGAATTGCATTGAAACAAGGTTCAATGGACATCGGCCTTTGCGCATCATCTTGCCAACAACAGAGGCCTCCCTTTGGAGCCTCCTCGCCTGCGGCCGTGAGAGCAGGGGGCGGCGCCAGGAAACGAGTCGGTTGCCCGGCCCACCGCCCATCGGATGCGAAGCAAAAAACGAAGGGGTCAAGAGGGAGAGAGTGACAAGGGAGAGAGGATGACGGGGCTTGGGAGGTTGGCTGGCTGAAGTGACTTGGCTGCCTCAGCACGGCCCCGGTCCATGTCAGCTGTGGTGGTGATACCAGGAGTCCAACATGGCGGTATCAAACGTACACGGACCGCTGTCAGATCATGTACGTCTATTGAAGAGTTGGCCACGGCAGCATCTGGATGGTTTCACATGTCCTTGGTAGATGTTCATACCCTACCTACCCTGGAGACCTGGCCCACCTACATGCGGGCAGTTCAACAGCTCACATCCAGCACCAGGGCCTCCTCGTCTTCTACTTTTGTCTGTGATAAATCAAGACGTCAAAAAATCCAGAATGAGAGGGGAAGACAAAAGCAGCCAGCTGTACCCATCCGTGTCCCAACGACCACCCTCAGTCGGCGCAGATACCCAAAACGGCCTGTCCGGCCTGCCCTTCAAGTCCTGTATTCAGACAGCATCTATATCTACCTACCTCAGTGCATGCTTGGTCCTACTCGGGAACCAACAAAGAGAGGGCCGGCTCCTTTATAGCAGAAACGCCGGGCCGGCAGAAAACAAGGCCATGCATACACAAACCACGCTGACCATGCACCGACAATACGCCCGCCACGCCTCATCTCCCTTCAGGACCAAACGTCCTCCTACGAGGCTTGTTAGCTACTGGCTGCGCGCATGCGGGGAGCCCACGTACCTGGTATTGGTTTGCCGATCTCATGTGCTTGACAACCTCCTCTCCTTTCTGCTCCGACACGCCCCGCCCCTCGGCGATGATTTGGGCCAGCACCGTGTTCACCTCGCGAGCCATGTTTGCCGCGTCGCCGCAGACGTAGAAGAAGGCCTTTTGCGTCAGAAGCTCGTTGACCTCCTTGGCCCGCTCCTTGAGCCGATGTTGAACGTAGACTTTCTTGCCGCCTTCACGCGAGAAGGCCGTGACCATCTCGAACTTGTCGCCGAGAGCTTTCTTGCAATCCTGCACATGCCATTAGCGACGAGGCAGACCAAAAAAAAATTGGTCCACATGTCCACGTACCTCCCACTCCGACTCGTACATGAAGTCCTCGGCGCGCTTGCGGCAACCAAAGAACAAGAGCGTGCGGCCCACGTCGACACCATCCCGCGCCTGCTTGGCCCGCTCCTGAACGAAGCCTCGAAAAGGCGCAACGCCGGTTCCGGGGCCAATCATGATGATGGGTTTCGCGGGATCCGAGGGAAGCTTGAAGTTGGAGTGCCGGACGTGGACAGGGACATGGATGCCATCGTACTTGTTGCGTGGGCCGTCCAGCTCGTAGCTTCCGCCGAATGGTTCAGGGTTCGGATCGCCGTTTTGCTTCTGCTTCAACGCCATCAGGTAGTTGGTGGCGACGCCGCGGAACGGCTCATCGCGCGCGGGGATCATCTGCGACTCGACGACGGCCGTGATGGAAATCTTCTTTGGCTGGACCAGCGAGGATGAGGAGATGGAGTAGTAGCGGGGCTGCAGCTTGGTCAAGCCCTCGATAAAGGCGGAGAAGGGAATGTTGGTCCACTTCTCGCCCTTGCCAACAGCGGCCAAGAGCCGGGCAATGTTGTAGAAGTGAGGGCTTGTCTTCTGCTGGAAGTAGTCCTTGTCATTGCCCAGTCTGCTCATCTCGGCCTTGATATCATCCGTGGGCGCGAAGGCGGCAAGAGTCGAGACGAACTGACGCGACACGGGGGCGCAGATTTCCAAGTGGTACCTGACGATGGCATCAAACGTCGTCGGGGTCGGGAAGGGGACCTTGGCGGTGGGCTCGAGGGCCTTGACGCTGATGACATTGTCCCTCTTCGCAGTCAGGCCAATGACGTCGAGGAACCGGTCGACCTCTTCGCCGGGGTTGGTGGGCCAGATGGCAATGTGGTCGCCGGTTTGGTAGGCAAGATTGGAGCCGCTGACGTCAATGTCCATGTGGATGCAGTTCCGATCCTTGGCCGCGAACAGCTCGCGCGAGTCGACAATGGGCGCGATGTAGGGGTTGTGGGCGTTGAAGGGGCCCTTGGCCGTGCCATCCAGGTGCATCTTGTTGGGCTCCCCGAGGTAGACCTCGGGAGAGTCGCGGGTCAGGTTGTCGCGGTCCACAATATCAAAGGTGGGCTCGTAGACAGCCTCGCGTTCCTCGAGGCCCATTTTGGTGACGAGGGCAGCCCACATGGGATCCTTCCAAGCCAAGAAGTCCTCTTCCATGGTGCCGGCGCCGTCGTCACCCTCGCCGGCATCGCCGATGCGGTGGGCGCCGAGCTTCTGAAGGGCCTTGTCAACATTGCGGACCATGGAGTTGTAGTGTTCGTAGGTGTTGTTGCCGAGGCCAAAGGCGACGTAGTTGAGGTTGCCTAGGGCAGGATCGCCGCCCTCGGACAGGGCGACGTCGTCGGCGGTGATGAACTCGTAAAACTCGACGGCATTGTCCGTGGGCTCGCCCTCGCCATAGGTGGCCAGGACAAACATGACGACCTTGTCGGCGGGCAAGGTGTCGAGGTTGTCAAAGTCGTACTCTTCCAGGTCGGCCACCATCGTCTCGAGACCGAAGCGGCCTTTGCCCTCCTTGGCAAGACGGGAGGCGTAGTCCTCGGCGGTGCCGGTCTGGGAACCGTAGAAGATGACGCAGTTCTTGCTCGACTCGTCCATCTTCTCGACAATGTTCCTGGTACGGCCGGCCTTTGCGCCGTTTGCGTTGGCAAAGGCATTTGCGTAGGGGTCCTTGACGACGCCCCAGTAGGTGCCCTTTGTGAAGTAGGCGAGGGTGCCGAGCAGGATGGCCGCGAGGACGACGAGGTCGAGGGTGTCGAGTTCGGCCATGGTGGATGATTTTGGATTCGAGCAGGCGCAGACAGAGGGTATGGAGGCGCGTGGCCAGAGTCGCAGCAGAGGCCAGAGGATAAAAGGAGGCACAGAAGGGGTCGGATGCCGCGGACGGGAAAGGGTCCGAGGAACGGATCGCCGTAAGACTCGCAAGAGGCTTTGCGCACGTGTTCTTTTCCGTCCCGTCGGCAAGATGCGTGGACGGTGCGTGGGCGGGCTGTGGCTGAAGCAGGTGAGCGAGTCTTCTGGGTTAGCGCCTGTTCTCGGGACACAACCGTGCCAGAGGCCTATGGTTCGAGGGGGAAATTGATTCGGGCTGACGTGGAGTCCGAATCTGGCGACTACAAGACTAGGTAGGTAGTAAGCTCCGTCCCGAATCTTGGCGTAGGTACCTGTCAGGCTATTACTAAGAGATGCTCGCTGAAACCGACATGTACCTGGACCTTGTCTTCTTCATGAAAGCTCACACTATGGATACGTACGGACACTGCTAGACGAGATATCGGGTCCCCTGCCGATCCCAAGTAGATGCGAGTATCCATTGAGGAGCAGGCGTATATATGCATTAACTATGCCTTGGGGCGTCGTCACAGTCCGGGGCCATCGATCCAGCGCCTCTATATAGCATTCTCACCATGTTGTGGAGCCTCCGACAGGATGCGGATGTGCGATTCCGCACTTCCGAAGCTACCTTTTCTGCCGGCCAAGGTTGCTGCTCGGGCCCGGAACTCGGCCTCGGGACCTTCCGCCCATGTGTTTGAAGTTTGCTTTTTTTAGACTTGCACGTTCAGTTCTTCAGTGGCTGGAACACGCAGCTTTGCCGGGTCGCGAATGTCTGTCGAGGATACAGCGGTCGGCGCCCGCTTCTGCTGCCGAGAACACATTGACAGATGAAGGGGAGAGCAAACCACATACAAGATGAGTACAGTGATCTCTTATCTTTTGCATGCAAGTCATGTGTGCGCGAAACACCAGTACTTTCGCCTGTGACGCCCCGCGGCTAAGTGGGCCGTTGTACAGTAGGTACAGTCCAGACAGTACGGCGGAGCGGAGGCGCCGGGGCGACGGGCTCCACTACCCGTAAATCGCGGAAGCCGGCTGACTACTCCTATGTCACGTGCCTTTCCGGCAGCCCTTCCTCGGTGGCTGCCGTCTGCTACACCTCAGTTTTATCAACACACTGGTTTGCCCACGAGTTTCTCAATTCATTGCCCCTACTCGCTTGTTGCCGGCTCTCATGCCCATTATTTCCTGTAGCAAAAGGCCAGGGTTGGGCTTGTGTACGTACATGCATCGCCGGACCCCAAGTTCCACAAGTACGCGCGATGCATATCAGACAAAATAAGCCCTGTTCTCGCAGCAACATGCTCGTCCTGTCAATGTAACTATGACATAATAGGCGAAGAAAGGGGAGGAGGGATACTCCCGGAATAATAATACCTGTACAGTACAAAGTGCTTGTTAGATCTCCGAGACGCTTCCCCATAAGCGGAACCTTGTACAGCCCACACAGTATAGTACGGCACTGTACAGCATCCAATTGACCGGGTAGAGCATTGACTGGGCACTTGTCCAAAGGCCAGTCAAAAGTATCAACAAGCATCCCGAAAAAGAGGCATGTGCCCAACATTCACTATGACTCCGTACCTGGTAGAGGCCGGCATGCGTACACGCGCCTCTAGTCAAGCCGCGCCGTGCTTGCAAGCATGGCATGGCACTGTACGACACTGTACGTGTACGACACGAACAAGCGCCCAATGGCCCAGACCCACTGCATTGGCGGTATTATTATGCTTTGGACGAGAGACATCTTGAATACATCCGCCTGTTGAACAGTTTGTCGCTCTCCGTCGCGGCCGCTGCTGTTGTTGACTGTATGCAGCGTTTTGCCACGCATGCACAGACTCGGGTCCGGTCCGGCTCGAGATGGGTGAGTGCCACTGAAACGCTGTCCCCAACCCCCCTCGAGCAGCATGACAGCTCCAGAGCCGCCAAACATGCGACACCTCCCTTTTCCATTGACGTTTTGTCTCATGACACCATGCCCTGACTGACCCTGCCTGCCCACAGCCCCGTCTCAACCGCCGCCGGACAACCCTCAGGAGCCGCTCAAGTTTGCTGCCGCAAGGTCCGTGTCGAGGCTTGACGACGAAGCAGAGCCCGACGCCACCTGGGATCGGACGATCCGCCCTCACGCCTACAGCCCGAACCTCTCGCGACATCCTACCCACTCCCGCGACTCCTCGGCCGACAAGTTCCCCTCGACCTTGACCTCGCCGCGAGCCCACGCCCCACCGTCGCGCCAGCCCGTCGGAGGAGGGGCCGCAGAGCGACCCGTGGACCCCAACAAGGCTGCCATCTACGGCCATCATCGTCAGACGTCCATTGTGCACGGGATCCAGCACTCGCGAAATGGCAGTCTCGCAAGCTCCACTGGCCCCCTCAGCCCCCAGATGATAGCCGCTGCCGGCGTCGGGCTGGACCGTCCAGAGATGCAGTCGGTCGCTGCTCGATTGGACGCTGACCCGGCCACGCCCTCGCGCCCTACAACAGCCTTGTCCGGCCCCATGGCCAACCCAAACGGCTTCCCCATGGAGAGGTCCGCCTCGGCTGCCGACATGTCCCCCCCCGGCCTCGGCCAGCGCAAGCACGAGAGAGTGCAGAGCAAGTCGCGTCGCGACCAGGCAAACCATCAGCCACATCCGTCGCGCCATCACAGGGATGACCAAAAGACCGTCGGCGAATATGCTTTGCACGTGCTCTTCACCTCGGTATGTCGCCTCCATGACACAAGCTCTGGCCGTGTGGCTTACCATCTCGTCTCAGTTCATTGCTCAAGCCGAGGAGAAGCTTACCGAGTGCATCACCGTTCCCTTCGATCCCGAGCCCCAGATCGAGCGCGTCTGCGGACCCGGCGTCGACGCCGCCTTCGACCAGCTCATCGTAGCCCTCGGCCATATCGCCAGCCCCAAGCCGAAGGCCCTGATCGACTCCATGATGCTGTGGAGAAAGAGCAAGAGCGACGCCGCAAACGAAGCCCGCAGCCAGCTCCAGCAGTCGCGTAGCAACCACCCCGGAGGCCCGCTGCTGCGCAGAAACACGGAGCCGTTACAGGGCGGCTTTGGGGGCCCGGACAGCGGATCGCCAAGCAACGCCACCATGTCTTCCAAGCAGGAGCACGTTGCCCAGCAGGAGCGTCGATCGACCGTCTCCATATATATCCTATGCCGAGTCCTTCTCGAGGTCATCAGCCAGAGTAACCTGGCTTCCATCACCTTTGAGATGGAAGACAAACTTGAGAGCATCATTTTCGGCCAGCTCAAAATCGCAGACGCTGAGCAGCTGATGGTTTCCCCCTTGAAACTTGCCAATTGGAATCTTTTTGCGCAGCTGCTGGGGTACATGAGCGACATCAACTTTGCCGGCGTCACCAAACGCTTCATCGAAGACCTCGACAACACTCTGCACGAGCGGGGCAAGGGCCCGACGGCCTTCACAGGGCGTGACCTGGAGGGCAAGATGGACCTTGTGCTGGGTGGAATGAAGCATCTGCGGATCAAGATCTCTCCTGAAGGCGCCTGGGAGGAGTCGTGCGAGTTCCTCGCTCGCCTGGGCCGCTTGTTCAGCAGATCGCACGGCCCCAGGGTCAAGATGGCCTTTTGCCAGGTCATTGACATGCTGCTCCTGCCCATTGCCGCCAAGGCCAGCAACAGCCATCTCATGCATCCCAAATGGGCCGAGGTCCTCGCCGCCATGGGCCCGCGCCTGGCGCAGTTGTTCATAAAGGTGCGATATTGGGCCGTCGCTTTTTCCCTGACGGCGACCATGCTTTGCGTCTCGCCACCCGAGACCTTTGGCTCGCAGTGGCTTCAGCTGGTCCTCTCCCTACAGACCAAAGCCAAGGACCGCTTCACTCGCCCGCTCTGCCTTCAAGTCATCTCTCGGCTGATCTGGACGTACCTGTATCGCACAAACGACAACTTCCAGAGCATCATACGAAAGCTAGATGATGTGATGAAGCTGGTCCTGCCATCTTCTAAGCGCAGCGTGGTATCCTTTGACCCGGCCGTCACGGAACCGCTCATCCAGATCATTCGCATCATCGGGTTCAAATACCCGGAATATTGTTTTAAAACAGTCATTTTCCCGCTCATCAATGCCGAATTGTTCGTGTCCAACAAGGAGTTGAAAGTTGAGCAACTGGACCCGGACAGAGTGGTCGTAGGAATCCGAGCGTTTCTCTGCATCATGTCCGACCTGGAGAAGGGCGAGCAGGGCCAGCCCCCTTTCCCACAGTTCTATGATGCCTCCTGGTCGGCCGACAAGCTGCCAACGTCGCCGATCCTGGCGTCACCGCGAAACGGGCCCCTGTCGAATCTCGCAAACATCCCCAGAGAGAAGAATATATCACGTCCTGTCCTCACACACGTCCTGGGCGACGGGGTTCGCGAGTATTACCTGCAATTCTGCAAGATTCTTGGCAAGATAACCATTGTCTGTGACAACACGTTTGGTGGCCAGGCGGCCTTGGACGAAAAGTTCAACAGCCCTGGTTCCAAAACGCCAATTACAGAGACTTTCAACTTCTCTCGGCGCGACGAACATCAGAACGCCTCAGATCAGAAGCAAGCTTTCTATGAGCTGCTCCACGTGGCCGTGCAGGCGCTCCCAAGGTGCCTATCCGTTGACATTCCGTTCAACTCGCTCATCAACCTCTTGTGCACGGGCACAGCCCATGTTCAGTACAACATTGCAGAGTCTTCTGCAAATTCCCTCAAGGCCATCGCGAGGCATTCCCATGCACAGCAGGTGACAATGGGCTTTGCTCGCTTCATATTCAACTTTGATGACCGTTACTCGACCATGTCTGACGGTGGCATGCTGGGCCCGGGCCACATCGAAAACACCCTCCGGCTCTACGTCGAGCTCGTCCAGATATGGATTGAGGAAATCCGGCAAAAGACGCGGGATGCGGCCGCTACGCAGGCTGATTCTAGTGCATCGGACAAGAGAGCCTTGAAGCTGGACCTGTCGAGCATGTGGGCAGAGGTGGACCAGGCCGAGGCTCACGGCCTCTTCTTTCTCTGCTCTCAGTCGCGTCGAGTACGTCACTTCGCCATTACGGTTCTGCGTCTCATCACCGAGTTTGACAAGGCCCTCGGGAAAGACGCAGCGGAAGAAAAGGAATCCCTGAGACTGATCAACATCCTGGAGAACGACTCGAGCCAAGTCATGGACTTCAACGATGAGCACTTGTCCGTGGCTGAACGCAGTAGGCTGCAACGCGGGCTGCAGACAACCAACACCAAGAGCGTGGTGGTTGAGCTCTGCACCAGCGACGTTACCTACGATACAACCTTATGGTTCAAGATCTTTCCAAACCTGATCCGCATTGCCTTTGACAAATGTCCCTTTGCCGTTGCCATATGCCGAGACCTGATTTGCAATCGCATACTCCAGCTGTACAAGCCGATTGTTGTCTTATCCGAACCGACTCGCGGCCTCTACTATGGAGGCGACCAAGCCAATAGCCGCATACCGGCCCGGTCGCCGGCTACGCAGCCCGAGGTCTTGATTGAGCAGTGGAAGCTCTATCTCATTTTCGCTTGCACGACCCTCGCGGACCCTGGAAATCAGACGCCCAACCCGGCCAAGGAAGTGCAACACATTCGAAAGACGTCGAAGCCTGGATCGACCGACAGGATTGTTACGGCGAGGACCCTGTTCAAATATCTCATCCCTCTACTCTCCTCGTCCTCGGCCTCGGTCCGAGACGCCGTCGTGGTCGCCATGGGATCCATCAACGTTCACATTTATCGAACGCTGTTGGAGGAGCTCCAAGGCCAGGCATCCCGATGCAACGACGACGCGCGCGCTCGCATCCATCAGCGGACCAATAGCGCCCCGAGAAGGAACCGGAAAATGGACTTGCTTCGAACCGAGATCACACACGTGTTCAAGTTGACGTCCCACTTTCTCAGGGATTCGCAAGTGTACCAATCCGAGTTTTTCCTCGGCACTTTGACGTCATATGCCAAGGACCTGAAGCTTTTCCTGATGGACGGAGAAGTCCAGATGGACTGGGAATTCCAAAAGCTCAGACGGCACTACTGCGGGCTGATGGAGGCACTGTTCGAAGGAATCAACAGGACAAAGGACCCTTCCCGCTGGATGACATTTGAATCCCGAAAGTCTGCGTTCTCCTTGATGGAGGATTGGTGTGGATTTTCTCCGAACCAGACTCAGATACGAGCCCGGGAAGACACGATGCGCCAGTCGCTCATTGACCAGCAGGGCCTGGGGGAACGCGGGACGGTCACAGCCGCCATGGAGATTGAGAAGCGCAACTTGCGGACGGCGGCTCTCAGTGCCATGGCCGCTCTGTGTGGCGGTCCCATCAGAGTAACAACCGAGAGCGGCGTCACCCTGCAGTTTGACATTCGCCGAATGCTTGCCTGGATCGAGGCGATCTTCAACTCGGGCAGCGACAAGATGAACGTCACAGGGCGGAGAGCCCTGAAAAATCTCGTTGTTCACAACCAAGAGTACACATATCTCCTCGAGCATTGCATTGCCCGCTGCTACCTGTCCGACCTGCCGAAGATGCTGGGGAGCTACTTTTCAGTCGCCATCGAAGTGTTGCAGGAACACAGCAACTACCCCTGTCCGTTTTGGAAACTCCTTGGCCTTTGTCTGTTCAATCTTGGCAACGATCAGAGCGAAATCAGGTCCAAGTCATCGTCGATGCTTCGGACCCTGGAGACGCGCCAGCAGCGGAACTCCAAGATCCAAGATTTCGACATCAGCATATCCGACAAAACGCAAGCCGTCTACAAGCTCGCACAATTTGAGATATCCAAGCGCCTCGCCAACCAACACACGGAGCTGGCGTTCCATATCGTGTCTGAATTTACCTACTACTTCAAAGATCTTCAACCAGTTGCGCAGAGAAATGTCATTGCCGTCATTTTACCTTGGATCCAGACTATAGAGCTCAAACTGGATCCGAATGGCGGCCCCACGGCGCAGTCATACGTTCTGCTGGCCAACTTACTGGAGCTCACAATCAAGTCCAGCGGGGCGCTGCACAACGAGGTTCAAGCCTTGTGGCAGGCGCTTGCCACGGGACCGTATCCCGGAAACGTCCGCCTTGTGCTGGACTTCATCATGCAGCTGTGTCTGGAAAGACGGGAGCAAAACTTTGTCGAATACGCCAAGCAAATTGTCGTCTTTCTTTCTACGACAAACAGTACGCCTGGTATCAAGGTCGTCGAATTCTTGCTCATGCAAATAACTCCCAAAGCAATGGTTCCCAACGAGAAGAGGGAGGCAGTGCCGCCGCCGTCAGACATCAACAATCTCCCTTACTGTGCCGACTTGAGCGAGGTTCTCCCCGTCGGGACAAAGCAGGCCGGCTTTTCGCTGGGTCAACTGTCACTGATTCTACTGGTCGACTTGATGGTATCTCCCGTGCACCTGACCTCTGAGAACTTACCGCTTCTTCTCCAAGTCGTCACTGTTCTTTGGGACCATTACACTCCGCTGGTACAGGAGCAGGCACGCGAGATGCTTGTCCATCTCATTCACGAGCTGGTCATTTCACGGATGGACGATGAGTCGCAAGGAAAACTCAAGGAACCAATTGAGGATCTGGTCGACTTGATCCGACGTCACGATCGCTCAGTGGTCTGGGGCTACGAGGACAGCAACGGCAAGGTCGAGAACCACGACAACAAGGTTCCGCCAAGCATGGAACACTTGACCGCCGAAGTTGTCAAGACTTTCGAGACGACGTTCCCTGGGATCAAGGAACAATGGGGCCGCTTGTCTCTGACATGGGCCACTTCCTGTCCGGTCCGACACTTGGCCTGCCGGTCCTTCCAGATCTTTAGGTGTGTTCTCACCTCACTGGACCAGTACATGCTTGGCGACATGCTTGCGCGGCTGTCCAACACCATCGCCGATGAGGATCCGGAGATTCAGTCCTTCTCCATGGAGATCCTGACAACGTTGAAGACGTTGATCGTCAAGCTGGACTCCGACAAGCTTCTCACGTTTCCCCAGCTGTTCTGGACTACCTGCGCATGCCTGGAGTCGATTAACGAGCGCGAGTTCCTCGAAGCCGTAGAGATGCTTAACGAGCTGCTCCGAAAAGTCGATCTCCGGCTGCCCAACGTACGGAGGATAATCGCGGAAGGACAACCGGACCGATGGGAGGGCCAGTTTGAGGGGATGCAGCCGCTGCTGTACAAGGGCTTGAGATCTTCAGCTTGCTGGCAGCCATCGCTCGATACTTTGGACAGGCTGGTGAGACTTCCCGGAGATGGGCTCGTTGGCGACGAGCACCGAATCTTTTATTCCCTCCTGGCCAATTTCCCTCGCTTCCTCAACGACCTTGAACGTGGAACCCTGAGCGAGCAATCCATCAAGGCCGCGAGGATTCTTTTGACAGAGACGGACAAGCACGGCTTGGATGCCGTCAGCGTCGTCCTCGACGACTTTGTTGCTGGAAAGCACCAAGACAGCCGGGATCTCCTCAGTCCACTGTTTAGCGGCCTCAAAGAGTGTTATTTGCCTCGACTCGAGTTCAACATGATCACCTTTCTGATGGGCTTACTCACCAACTCATTGTCCTGGGTCAAGGTCCAGACCATGCGCATCCTCTGCGTCGTCATCCCGGCAATTGATATGCGCAATCCCGAGCTGGCAGGGCATGGATCGGATCTCATCTCGCCGCTGCTACGTCTGCTGCAAACCGAATTCTGCATGGGTGCCCTGGAGGTGCTGGACAATATCATGACCATGTCCGGTAGCCACATGGACAAGCATCACCTACGGATGAGCATGACGCGATCAACGTCCCGGGCCGTTCGCAAGGAGTATGAACGCACTCAGAGTCTGTTTGGCATCCCGGAAGCGTCAGGCTGGTCGATCCCCGTTCCTGCAAAGAAGACGGAAGCCACCCGGGCCAACATTCACGCTGCCTTTTACATGTGCCAAAGCACCGAAGGGTCCATCACGGAGGTGACGCCGACTCCCGAAGTCGAGTTCCATACAGACGACTTTCCCTACGGCTACTACGACGTGCCGGATCGGACCGAGACCATGCTCTCGGACGAGGGACGCGTGGAAGCTTCGGCAGGCGATTTGGTCACCAAGCTGGACAGCCTTGACGACTTTTTCGACGAACCTTCTAGCCCGCACACGGATGATGACGGCCGGTCGTCAAGGACGATTACAGAGTTTACGCCCGAGTCGTACGAATCTGGCACCGAGCTGTACGACGAGCAGATTCTGCCCATACTGCACGAGGCATCCAACAACACGTCATTCCAAAACGGCTTTGCTGATCGGCCCATTATGACGCCGCGCGACGTTGCGTCCAACACCATGAACCCGGGTGCCTTCACTGTGGCCATGCCTGCTCGGCCAGGGTTGCATTCGCGATCCGTCACCTCACCATCTACGCCTGCCTCGTATCAGTTGCACATGATGGGGGACGTGGCATCTGACGAGGAGTATTTGTCCGGGGGGTTTTCGGACCTGGAGGACGAACGAGCAGATGCTCGTCATGTGGACGGGGCCTTTTTTCTGGAAAGCAAGATCAAGGAGGCTCGACAGAGTCCGTACTCGGGCGCTCGGCGCTTCATGGGCAGGTCTCGGGACGAGGCGCAGCGCGACAAGACTGATGCGCCAGGCACGCCCAGGATGCCGAATAAGGTGTTTCCGACCAAGCTTTCGGGCCCCAAAGAAGGTGTCTGAGGATGAGCACATATTTTAAGTGAATCTCGATGAGACGTGCGAGGCATAGTTGCATAGTCGAACGGAACTTTCAGGTATTGGATATCTAAAGCCCAGAGAGCTCAACTGGGGAGATTTTGAATTGCATTTACATGAGAAGGTTGGCGCTTGGAGAAATGGCATCAATGGGATGAAATTTGGTGTACGCAGCTAGGGACTCAGGATGGCGGCCGCTGGAAGGGGAGATAAGTAGGGTTGGCGTGCAAAGTCGGAGCGTATAGGCATACCTGGAACACACAAAGGTGGCGTCACACTTTTCGACACGGGATTAGCAACAAATAATGTTGGCAACGGTGATTGATTTGCGGAAACTGACGTTTGTCTCTACTATCCACTGGAGCGTTCCCCGAGTCTGTCATTGCCCATTGCGGGAGGCCTGTACAGGTGAATGTCGGACGTCAGGATTCGGCCCAAAAAATAGTGTAGGTCAAATTGGGCATGGGGCTCGGAGCTCAACCTAGCGAAGTCGGCCGGGAGAATAATCTAGTATCGGTGCCGCGTGGAGTAGTCTGTTGGGAAGAGGAGAGGAGTCAGTCGAGACGTAGGCGGGACGATGGGATGGGAGGAACGTACCCTTGGGGCTAACAACCAGACCACGTCCCTTTTTGGCACCTCGATAGATGGTCTCGATGATATCGATGAGCTCTTGCTTGTCCTCCAAAACCCAGTTGAGCTTGTTGTTGTTGCCGGTGCCGAAGTCGCACATGATGTGCTTGTTGCGGTAAAAATACATGATGGTGCACGGGTCGTAGAGTTCTGCGCACGGCGTCAGCATCTCGACTTGGCCCATGGAGAGGCAGGCTTGATCAGTGAACGTACCGTACATCTGGCTGAAGTCGGGAACCTGGTCGATGTCGCAAACGTAGATGACGGCAAAGCTCTTGACTCTGTCGGCAATCTTGTAGAGGACCTCGTCCTGGCGCATGCAGTCTGGATCCCAGTCGCGGCCGAAGCGGATGAGGACCAGGCGCTCTTCCTCGCTGAGGATGGCCTGGTCGACGTGCCAGCCGGAGGTGAGATGGGGAATGACGACAGAGCCCATGGCTGCTGGTGAGCGAGAGTGGCGGGGTTGTGCTTGGTGATGCGCGCTGTGGAAATCAGCCCCCTGCGACGAGGGATGACGATGAGATCAAAACATTGAGAGAAGAAGGCGTCTAGGCGTCTACCACTATTCGCGGCTTTCGTTTGGGGGATGATGTAATTAATGGGTGCGGCAGGACTGGATGTCCCGTGACAGAGGCGGGGCCCGCTTTAGTGCATACCCAAGTAACGAGGCGCTTTCAACTTCATCAACCAAACAAGGGGAAAGAAAGACATTGAGGTTGAAAGCCAGCAGCAGAGCAACCCTCGTGCGTGGCTTCGGACAATGAACCGCCAGTGGATGTCAAATCGACGCTACGCTCATCGGCGACTCAAAACATTCATCTGAAGGCGCATGTCTGGGAGATAAAATGCTGAAGCAGAGCTGTTTCCAGCCATGGCGGCAGGCCAGGCTCCGAATCTCTCCCGCCCGCTGCTTCGTCCTCAGCCCTGGGAGACGGCAATGCCCAGCTCATGACAAGCCGCCCGGGGAACAAGAGCCTCTTGAGAACCAACTGCAGTTTCCCGATGCGCCAACAACACGGCACTCGGATCTGGCCTCCTTTCTGGACCATACGCGGCGCACCGGTCTCGACGAGAAATCAACCGTCTATGTCGGCACCCACTACGAGTACACCGTCGCCGACGCCCTGTCGAGGCACGGCTTCTTCCTCAAGCGCATCGGCGGAGCGTCAGACTACGGCACCGACCTCATTGGCACCTGGACGCTCCCCTCCCTCGACCATCCCATGAGGGTGCTCCTCCAGTGCAAGGCCGGCGTGCAGCGCGTCGGCCCTCAGCATGTGCGGGAGCTCGAGGGCGCTTTCATCGGGGCTCCCGTCGGCTGGCGAGGCGACGGCGTGCTGGGCGTGCTGGTGAGTGAGCGGGCCGCGACAAAAGGCGTCAGGGACTCGCTCTGTAGGAGTAGGTGGCCCATGGCGTTTGCGTGTTGCTCCAGGACCGGCGCCCTAACCCAGATGCTGTGGAACCGGCGCGCTGAGGAGCAGGGCCTTGAGGGATTTGGCGTCACCGTCAAGCATGCCCAGGATCAAGCTCCGGAATTGGTCTTAACGCGTGACGGCAAGGTTGTGGCATGAGGCTAGGGCCTTGTGCCTCCATTACCGCTGCGCTGCAGCTCTAGAGTATGCTGAGTGCGTCGCCATGATCTGAGAGGCGCAAAGTGATGAAGCAATCTCCAGTCGACTTGAAGGAGTGGGTTCCAGTGGAGAGTGCACACCTTTGACTGCCACCAAAATGCCTCTGCTCTGACGCTGGCATCAAGTCTACACAGCTGGGACGGAGGAGCCCAGCGTCCTACGCATACAGAACAGCCAGATGATAATCAGATGATGCCTCTTGCGGACAGTCTTGACACATCCGTCCTGCTGCCAGGAAGCAGTACTGCTCGCCTTCCGGCTCATTGCGGATTTTACCTGAGTCGGCTTTTCATGATCAATGCGAACAGCTGTTTCGAATGGAAATCCAAAGCTTCACAAAACCAAGATTCTTCTGTCTCGACTTGGCTAATAAACTGACGTGGTATCAATGGCCACAACCTTGCCACCTCTGGCTTTCTGCCCGCCCTTGGCTTCGGCATTCCCCGTCACAACATACAGCGTCTTGCCATCTCGTCGGGTCCTACCGAAAGCGCATGACGTATCTCTAGCAACAATCGGGCTGTCCTTGGACCCGGCAACTGTGGAACTTTTCCCGTTTGTTGCGACGTGGAATACGGTGTTGAGCTGGTTGGTTGTTGCCCAGAACCCGCGTTCATCGTGAGCAAAGTCGTCGACGAACAAATTGTATCCCGTCTCACGATACACCAGCTCCGGCCGGGCCTTGGGCTCGGGGTTGCCCAGCTGGTCGATGCGAATGCGGTATATTTTGCCTGCAAACGTGTTGGACCAGTACAGGTAGCCGTCGAGCACCTTGATGCCGTTGACGCCAATCTGGAGCGGCGAGCCGGGAACAGGAGCCATCTCGGGAAGCTTGACGGCAACCTTGGCCTTGCCCGACTGGATGCAAAGCCGCCAGACCAGCCCGAGAGCCGAGTCGCTAATGAGGACTGCGTGGTCCACGTATGGCAGTGCCGCCACGCCGTTGGGGAATGCCATGTCAGGGTGCTTGGCGATATGCTTGACCAACGGTCCGCGGTCGTAGTCGTTGGACCGGAAGTCGACAAGCCAGGTCTCGGCCGTACCATTGACCTGGGCGCCCGAGCCGGAGAAATTGGAACCCACAACAACGAAGACGTCTGACGAAGGCTCCGCGATGCCGAGGAGGCCGTTGACGGAGGGGAATTTGTGAAGCAGCTTGACGGGGGGGTTCTGGGACCAGGGACGCGAAAGCGACAAGAGGGCGGCCTCGGGGCGGAGCTGGGTCAAGAGGACATGTCCGTTTTTGCGGACGGCCAGGTTTTCGATCCAGGTAGGCGGAGGGAACTGGTGGAGCACCTTGGTCGGGAGGGAAGACGGAGAGTCATGATGGTCGGCGTCTTGATAGTGCTTTGAGATTGCAGCCGAGGCGACTCCAAGCAGTAGCGCCGTGAGGAGGGCGGATGCTCGGATCATTCTGTATTTCACCGTTGTCATCCCAAGGGCGATGCCAAAGCGCGCTGGCTTGAGAGCTCAGAGTTGCCGGGGTGGGCAGGGGGAAGTTTCCACTGGGATAAAGGCAGCGAAATGGCAACGGGACTGGGCTTGAGGTTTGGGTGGACGCGGCTAAGCCTTCGTATCAGTCGCCGGCCTGAGACTTCTGAAGGATGGTTTCTCCGACTGAAACTGAGGAAGCTGCCTGCTCGACGGCGTCATGAGAGGACCAGCACACTGCCTCCATCGATTGCGGCAAGCTCATCCCGCCCTCACTCTGTCGTTGTCGTCGTCGTCGTCGTCGTCGTCGTCACGCTGAGTGTAAGCTTCTCCTTTCTTTGGAGAGGGCGATGCGTGAAGAAGACTTGCTGCAGCAGTGGGTACGAGGGCATGCATGGAGGGAGCCTGGCCGATGCGGAATGCTGTCAGATTCCTTGGCTGCGCCAAAGGGCCACGGCGACTCTGAGGCGTGAGACATGCGAGCTTTGGCTGGACAGAAGGGTGAGGAGAATGAGCGCGTTGGTGGGTATTAATTTGTGCTTTCTCTCCGGCAGACGGGGAGCTTTCTGAGGGGCCTGAGCAGAATGCAATGGGCACTCTACAAACACACACACATATGTATTGTATATATATTGCATGTATATATATATATATATATATATACGTATATTCACTATTATCATGCATCACCGTGGACATGTGTTGTCCGGTCTCGCAGCCGGCCTCGTGTATCCCGTCGAGGTGGCTCAAACATCGCTCATTCTCTCTCTCCTCCGCAGTCAGTGGACGACGTCATGACGCCCTTGGCCCCTCGCTGCCATGTGCAAGTGATGGATCGGTGCTGCCGCATATCAGTCGGTCTACAGCACAGTATATCCAAGGGGCCGCGTCCACCATGATGGAACCCACAAGCGGCGATTCGTCGTGCCGAGCGACGCAGGCGGTCCGCAGCCCCGTGCAGTAGCGCTGCGACGCTGGCCATTTCGTGTGCGTCAAGCAAAAAGCATGTGAAGATGGGCTTTGTTGTTCGTATCGCCAAATTGACTCCCAGGAATGACATCACGGTCAAGCAGGTGGTTCGAGGCAGCAGCTTCCAGTCGTTGACATGACGCCGGCATGACGACAAACGGCCGAGGACCTTTTGTTTCTGTTGGCCACATGCGTGCAATGAGCAATGAGCGGTAATAAACAACAACCGCGGCCCGCGTCTCGAGATTTACTTTTGTCCGACTCCCTTTCTGGCCTCCCTTTCTGGCCTTTTGCGCCCTCGCCTGTGCTGAAGTCTCCCCATCCGTCTTGACATTTCACCCGGCAGCAGCCCTTGTCCCGCCCGCATCATGGGGTCTACAAAGGACGGCGTCAAGAGCGGCAGGCGCAAGGAGCACTCGGAGGCCAAGGACGGCGATGGCGTCAAGAGCGGCGGACACAAGAAGAAGCGCGCCGAGAGCAAGGCCAGCCATGGCGTCACGGCTGACGGACAAGACGCGGAGCATCCGGGCAAGGCCAACGACAGCGACCAGGCCGGCGGACCCAAGGAGCACCCGGAAATGGCCAACGACGGCGAGGCACACGCAGAGACCAACAAGGCCCCCGGTGGCGGCGTGAAAGCGGACGGACCCAAGGATCCCCCGGATAGCAAGGCCAACCCGGAGAGCAAGGCCAACGACAGCGTCAAGCGCGACGGACTCGCTGGGCGCGCCGAGACCAAGGCCGATAATGGCAACAAGCCCGGCGTGGTCACCTCGATACCCGAGGTGCCCATCACGGTACAGCGCAAGCCGTTTGTGCAGCCCGACGACAAAGTGCGGCTCCCCCATGCCGGTACGTCGTCGTTGAACCTACCCCGAGTCTGGGTTGGAGTCGCGGCTGATCCCGTGCCGTTTGCAGGAACAGCAAGGGCCAGCCTAGCTGCCACGTACGAACGCCCCGACGGAACGGCCCAGGGTGGCTGGGCCGAGCGTCATCAGAACCAGACTGTGAGTGGTTTTCCCGAACCGTTGATGAAGTGGTGAACAAGTAGCTGATGGTGATGCTTTTGCCCCAGGTTCTTCAGCAGCATGTCGAGTTCTTTGACCAGGCAAGTCGTTGGCGGACGGAGACAGACCTACGCAGGCGACTCTAGGGCTAACAAACCCCCAGGACCGTGACGGCGTCATCTGGCCTGTCGACACGTTCAAGGGCTTCTACGCCCTGGGCTACGGCATCGCCTTCTCGCTCCTGGCCGCCGCCATCATCAACGGCGCCTTCTCGTACCCGACGCTCTCTGGCTACCTCCCGGACCCTTTGTTCCGCATCTACATCAGAAACATCCACAAGGACAAGCATGGCAGCGACAGCGGCACGTACGACGCCGAGGGCCGCTTCGTGCCGCAAAAGTTCGAGGAAATCTTCTCCAAGTACGCCGAGGGGAGGGACTACGTGACGGTCCCGGACGTGCTCAAGTTCCTCAGGGGACAGCGACTGCTTGCCGATCCGTTTGGATGGCTTGGGGCCCTCTTTGAGTGTAAGTCACGCCCGCCTCGGACGAGAGTACAAGGACTGACGTGTTTGTTGAGCTGTAGGGCTCGCAACCTACCTTTTGCTCTGGCCTGCAAACGGGCGCATGGCCAAGGAGGACATCCGCGGGGTGTACGACGGCAGCATCTTCTACACCATTGCCGCAAGGCGCGAGAAGTTGAAGAATCGAGGCTGATGCGTGGACGACAACCGGCCGGGATGGACCGTATGGGAGGAAAGAGTTTGGGAAGCCCACTTGGTACGAGGCCAATTCAAAGGGCCAGCCGAACCTTGTTGGAGCTGCTTCCAACCATCGATGATTGATTTGCGGATCAGACGTGAACTGAGGCGGAGGAGTTTGTGGCGCCGTCGAGTTCGCCCCCCGTCATGTGGAATCACCGTTGTTTTGTTCCTCCCTTCCATATGCTCACTTATGTTCTTGTTGAGTTAGGTTAGCAACTTAGTCATCTGCCGCGCGCTTCGTCTGATGGACGCTTGGCTGGTCTGGCCTGATCATCCAAGCGTCAGACTACCAAACACGCGACTTACAAATCAAGGACCAGACACAGACAACGGCCGTCCGTCTCTGGAGCCCTCGCCTGTGTCCACACACACCCCGTCCACACACCCCGATCAAGCTCCGTGTGTCGGCCCTGTCGGGGAAGCTGTGCTGCTTGATAATCACCCCTCGCGTTGAAACCGAAGCCGTCCTCCATGGCCCGTCATCATCAGCACTAGCATGGCGCTCCATGGCGCTCCATGGCTCCCCCTTTCCTTGCCATCTGCCGTCCTTTGCTGTTCTTGTCGCAGAACCGACCAGAGGGGGACCGTGATGGCAAGCTAAATGTGCGCGTGTTTGCTAAGCACCCGCCAGACTCGGGCACATGTGGAGATGGCCTATTTCTAAGCCAGAGCTCTAGAGTTTTAGACGGGGCAGCTCGACGGATGCGTTCTGGTATATAAGTACGACTTGGTGTGTCTGGTAGCTGTGGCACATTAGGCTCTGGGCAGATATCTTCCACGTCTTGAACACTGTCCATCACCACTATACTCGTAAACACGCTCCATTCTACCAGCCCTTCTCCCCGTTTCACTTACTCGACGATGGCCGGTCTTAAGCCCATTACCGTTTGGGTCCATGGTATGCCGGCTCTTTTCCCACTCTCCGCCGCCGAAGAAGCGGGTCTAACGAGTGATGCTCCCAGTTGGCGGCCCCAACCCTTACAAAGTCCTCATCGCGCTCGAGGAGCTCGGCATTGCCTACGAAAAGGTAAGATGGCGGCGCCAAATACCCAAGACCGTCGCTAACCACGTCCGTTAGATCGTCGTTGAGAACCCCAAGGACGAGTCTTTCCTGGCCATCAATCCCAACGGGCGTCTGCCGGCCATCAAGGACCCCAACCACGGCGACCTCATCCTGTGGGAGTCGGGCGCCATCCTCGAGTACCTTGTCGACACGTACGACAAGGAGGGCAAGTTGACCTTGACGTCCCACGCCGACAAGTGGCACCTGAAGCAGTACCTGCACTTCCAGATGTCCGGCCAGGTGAGTCTGAGCCGCAACCAGCCGCCCTCTTCCGAGAGCTGACATGCGTTCAAGGGCCCCTATTACGGCCAGTCAATCTGGTTCAACAAATACCACCCGGAAGACGTGCCGAGCGCGAAGAAGCGCTACGAGGATCAGACGGTGCGCGTCTTTGGCGTCTTGGACAAGATCCTCGAGGGCAAAAAGTATCTTGTCGGAGAGAAATTGTAAGTTGTCGACCCCCCACTTTCCGTTGTCTCCATGTAAGGGGCACATTTCATGACAAGAGCTCGACTGACCCCCTTGCCTCTCCAGCACCTACGCCGACCTAGCCTTTATCCCTTGGGATAACGCCATGAAGAACTTCCTGCCCGAGGTCTGGGACAGGAACCAAGTCAAGAGCAAGTATCCCAACTACGCTGCTTGGCACGCCCGCCTCGTTGAGCGTCCGGCCGTGAAGAAGGTGTACGGCTTATAGACGCACTCGGTTGCTGGGTTGGGGCAGTTCGTGCTCAGGCTTACATTGGATCTTGAATGTCGCAGCTCTCTCCCTCCCACAGCTCATGTGAGCTAGAATGTATCGACGTCTAGAATAATAAGTCATCTCTGAAGGCGCCCCCCAACCCCCAATCTGTGATGCATCCTCGTACTCGTGTCATCTCGACGGATGATCATCATGGCTGGTCCCGCATCCACATACGGCGCTATCAAGACCAAAGTACACTCATCAATCATCCCAAATGGCCGCCCTGGCCTTGTCGGCGTCGTCGCGTCGCCTCTGCTCTTCAGCCTTTTCCTGCTCCTTGCGCCTCTTCTCCTGCTCCCGGACGGATTTCTGATAGGCCCTCTGCTCCTCCGTCTGCTTTGGCGCCTTGAGCCCCAGCCCGGCGGCAATCATGCGCCGAGCCACGGCATCCGTCTTTTCCGGCCGTCGGGTCTGCGGGCCACCATCCCCACCACCGGGCGATGCGCTTACAGCCGGCTCCGCGTCCGGGTTCCAGCCATGCGGAGAGCTAAACTGCGGCGATTTGGGCGCGGGCGGGGCTGGCGATGACGCCTCGGCTCTGGGAAGAGGTGTTTTCACCTCGTCTTCGGACGACAGCTCATCTTGGTCCTCCCACGAGTCTAGAACTTCCTTGTTCTTCTTGGCCTTGGGCGGTTTTGGAGCTCCTTTGGAGCCTTCCAGCTTCAGGTCTGGTAGTGAAGATGCGGCGTCGTCTTTGTCCCGCGCCGACGAAGCCATGGATGGAGAACCGCGGCCGAGGCAGCGCAAAGCAGCCTCGACCTTGACGACAGGCCGGCGGGGGGCAGAGATAGTGGGAGTACGCAGATGAAAGATGGCTTGAATGGCTTGTTCCAATGGTCTCCGAGAAAAGAGATATATGCGTAATTTGTTCTTCGATGCCGAGGCGCAGGATGGACTCAATAAAGCCTGTGTCGAGGGAGATCGAGAGCTCATCCGTGACACAGGGCGTTGTTCAGCCCCCCGTTAGAGGGGAGCGCCTCGCTAGATACCTATGTGCACGTGCGTGGAATCTTGGAGTGCCTGGGCAGCGGCTCGGATACTCCCTATCATTTGCATTAAAGAAAGAAAGAGATGACCGGAACATTTCTGACCCGAATCGAGCTATGCGCAAAGATTTCAAGTGCCTCCAATGTTGCACGTCCTTGCCAGTTGTGATGGCGAGGATAACGTCGAGTGAATTGTCGCCGCCTCGCTAATGCTCTCTTACGGATAACGACCAATGGAGCTGCTGCAGTGAGAAGATAGTATGCCCAAAATCAGAATATGAGCCACTCGGGGGCTTGCTCCAGACAGCCGAGGATCAGCCGGTGGAAGATCCTAGCTCATAATTACCGTAGCTCACCCCCATGGCCGCCCGTCTTTTTCCTCGCCTGATGATGTCGCGGTGCTCCAATTAGTCCGCATTTTGCCCTGCTAGACGCCCGGCCGCCCAGACCTCCTCCGCAGCGGCGATGCTGCCCATTCTCGCCTCCACGACGCGCACATCCCCATTGCAGTAGAGCTGCACGCCTCCTGTCCCGGTTGCTCTGCCTGCCGATTCCAGGCGCGTCCCGTCGCCCTCTTCGGCCGAATCTCGCCTTTCACTCTCGCCAGCTCTGGCTCAGCGGCCTGGCTCACACATCATACCATGATGCCGCGATGCCGCGTCTCCGGACGCTTCGCGCTCGAGCGCCCCCATCTCCCAGCGACCAGAGCTCTCTCCAGGCCCCTGTCCCGGACCCGGGCCGCGACGCCGCCCTGCCTCTCGAGTCACTACGCCTGCGCTCGCCCCTTGCCCGCCCTCCGCTCGCGACTAAACCTGGCATGCTTCTCGACGACTGCCATGGCCAGCAAGGAAAAGGATAACAAGGACAAGGGCGGCAACTTCTTCGACTCCGCCGTTGAACCACCCACCGAACCGCTTTCGGAAGAGGAGGTAAAGGCCAATCTCGACAACAACAAGAAGGAGCTCGACGACAAGGCTGTCCCAGAACCCAAAGCCAGCGACGCCGACTTTACCGTCTCTGCCAAGACCGAAGGAAGCGGCTCCCCGGCGTCGGATGGCAAGGCCCCCGGCAGCTCGACAGGCGCGGGCTCCGGCTCGGCAGACGGCGGCTCCAGTGGCGATGGGGGAAAACGGGGTCGCAAATCGACCGAGAAAGCGCTCCAGAAGCCTGTCGTGCCCGAAGTATACCCTCAGGTGCTCGCCATCCCAATCGCTCGGCGGCCGCTCTTCCCCGGTTTCTACAAAGCTATAACCATCAAGGATCCAGACGTCGCCACCGCCATCACCGAATCCATCAAGCGTGGCCAGCCATACGTTGGCGCCTTTCTCTTCAAGGACGAAAACGAAGACGAGGACATCATTAGGGATGCCAATGACGTGTATGACGTCGGCGTCTTCGCACAGATTACGAGCGCCTTTCCCATACACGGCCAAGAGGGCGCCTTGACCGCCATCCTATACCCCCACCGCCGCATCCGACTCTCCAGCCTCTTGCCACCGGGCGGCCATGATGCCAAAAAGGCCGATACAAAGGCCGACACCAAAGCCGAAGCAAAGGTCGAGCCCGAGGTGCCGCAGCCCATCCCCTCCAAGCCTGCCGAGGACGATGCCAGTCAAGATAAAAAGGGAGACGTGGTGGCAAGCTTCGAAGAGGCGGCCGTGGAGAAGAAGCCAGACCAAGTGGCGGAGCGATACGAACCCACCTCGTTCCTCAAGCGATATCCCGTCAGCCTCGTCAACGTGGAGAACCTGGCAGACGAGCCCGTCGATCCCAAGAGCCCGGTCATTCGGGCTGTCACCAACGAGATTGTCAACGTCTTCAAGGAGGTTGCCACCATGAACAACCTCTTCCGCGACCAGATATCAACCTTTTCAATGAGTCAGTCTACCGGTAACGTGACCTCAGAGCCCGGGAAGCTCGCCGATTTCGCCGCCGCCGTGTCCTCGGGGGAGCAGAATGAGCTGCAGGAAGTGCTTGCATGCATGAACGTGGAGGAAAGGATGCAAAAGGCTTTGATCGTGCTGAAAAAAGAGCTCATGAACGCCCAACTGCAATCCAAGATTACCAAGGACGTGGAGAGTAAGATTAGCAAGCGGCAGCGCGAGTACTGGCTCATGGAGCAGATGAAGGGCATCCGTCGCGAGCTCGGCCTCGAATCCGATGGCAAGGACAAGCTGGTCGAGAAGTTCAAGGAAAAAGCCGGTAAGCTGGCCATGCCCGAGGCGGTCCGCAAAGTCTTCGAAGAGGAGCTTAACAAGCTCGCTCACCTGGAAACGGCTGCCTCTGAGTTTAATGTGACTCGGAACTACCTGGACTGGCTCACTCAGATTCCGTGGGGGCAGAGGAGTCCCGAGAATTTCGGCATTCCCAACGCCGTCAAGGTACTGGACGAAGACCACTATGGCCTGCAGGACGTCAAGGACCGCATCTTGGAGTTTATCGCCGTGGGCAAGCTGCGCGGCACCGTCGAGGGAAAGATACTCTGCTTCGTCGGCCCCCCCGGTGTCGGCAAGACAAGCATTGGCAAATCCATCGCTAGGGCCTTGAACCGACAGTACTACAGGTTCAGTGTCGGAGGCCTGACCGATGTGGCGGAAATCAAGGGCCACCGCAGGACATATGTGGGCGCGCTGCCGGGCCGGATTGTTCAGGCATTGAAGAAGTGTCAGACCGAGAACCCGCTCATCTTGATCGACGAGGTCGACAAGATCGGCCGGGGATACCAGGGAGATCCCTCTTCGGCACTGCTCGAGCTCCTGGACCCGGAGCAAAATAACTCCTTCCTGGACCACTACATGGATGTGCCGGTCGACCTGTCCAAAGTCCTCTTCGTGTGCACTGCCAACATGACAGACACGATTCCGAGGCCGCTTTTGGATCGCATGGAATTAATCACGCTCTCGGGTTACGTCGCGGACGAGAAGAAGGCCATTGCCAACAGGTACCTTGCTCCGGCGGCAAAGGAAGCAGCCGGCCTCAAGGAGGCACATGTCGAGCTCACCGGCGAGGCGATCGAGGAGCTCATCAAGTCGTACTGTCGGGAGTCGGGTGTTCGCAACTTGAAGAAACAGATCGAAAAGGTCTATCGAAAGTCTGCCTTGAAGATTGTTCAAGACCTCGGAGAGGAGGTCATCCCTGAGGACGAAGCCCTGACAGAGGATGGCAAATCAGCATTGCAAGCAGAGGAGCGAAAGTCGGAAGACGCGAGCGAAGGCGCAGCGGCCGAGGGAGGGGACAAGAGTGTTGCGGAATCAGACGAGGTGGAGACGACGGAAAAGCCGCGGAAGCCACTGAGTGTGCCGGACTCGGTCCACATCGAGATCGGAAAGGACAACCTCACCGATTACATCGGACCGCCCGTGTTCACATCGGACCGCCTCTACGACGTGAGTCCACCCGGCGTGTCCATGGGCCTGGCTTGGACCCAGATGGGCGGCGCGGCCATGTACATCGAGTCTATCCTGCAGGCGCCACTGAGGCCCAGCACCCGGCCGCAACTGGAGATCACGGGCAACCTCAAGTCGGTGATGAAGGAGTCGACGACGATCGCCTACTCGTTCGCCAAGTCCTTCATGGTCAAGCAGTTTGCGGACAATCACTTCTTCGACAAGGCCAAGCTGCACCTGCACGTGCCCGATGGGGCCGTCTCCAAGGACGGGCCGTCGGCTGGCATCACCATGGCGACCTCGCTCTTGTCCCTTGCCTTGGACGCCCCTGTCAACCCGACGGTGGCCATGACGGGCGAGCTCACCCTGACGGGCAAGGTGCTGAGGATCGGCGGCCTGAGGGAGAAGACGGTGGCGGCGAGAAGAGCGGGCTGCAAGACCATCATCTTCCCCAGCGACAACACGTCGGACTGGCTGGAGCTGCCTGAGGTATGTGGCTGTCCTTGGCGACAAGTAACCCCTTTCGACGCGTGCATGACTTGCTGACCGTCAAATTACTGCAGAACATCAAAGAGGGTATCGAGGGTCACGCGGTCGGGTGGTATGGCGAGGTATTTGACCTCGTGTTTCCCGACCTCGATCGCAAGCAGGCGAACGAATGTAAGATTTGCGAGTGGAAAAGCCAGCAGAAGGAGGAGCCTGAGCGACCCCAAGAGGACGAATAGACGACGTATTTAGACCAGGCCATGTAAGGATGTGCATGAGGGCGGGCGCTGCCGGGCCAGTGGCACTCGCACTCTCCCCCCCGCCCCTGTTTGTTGATCGGGGCTGGTTGCGGGGAGCGGCATGACTTGGCGTTTTGACATTTGTTTGGGCACGATCAAGAGGAAGCGAGAGATGATATATTTCATGGAGGCGGATTGGAGGAGGGACGGGCGGGGGAGAAGCCGAGTTGCTGACTCGAATGACTTGTAAAAACACACACTCCTATCATACTCTTCGGCGACGTCAGCAGCGGTGGTGAGGGTGGAGGAGGCGGACTTGCTGCTACTCATTGTTGTAGGAGCGAACAAACGGCTGGAGGTCGATTGATGCATGCCGTGGGAGAGGCGCCGCCGTATGCACTGCTCTTGTAAGCGGACGTCATTTCCTTGACGCCTCCTGTCATGGGGCGACAGGCGCTTGACTCGGACGGCTGCTGACGCTGCTGCGAAGCATTCCTGTTTGTTGAGAGGAAATAAAGGTAGCGCAGACTGATGCACGCAGCGGTACGGCGCATGAGCGTGCCTTGGCTGGAAGCGGCTGCAAGAGCTAAAGTCTCGCAGGAGCAGGCAGTGCAATGCACCTAGTTCTTGGCATGCTCAAGTTGCCTTCCCGCTGTCCAGGACGGACAGACGGGCTCTGGGTAACACCAAGAGGGAGGCAATGCACTTCTGCAACCGGTAACCAGTGTCCGAATCCAGACCATGCCATGGGCGCGTGGTCCGGACAAGAACCCGTGTCACCGTTCAGCTTTTGCCCGCGAGCCGGGGAAACGGAAAAAGAGAGACAGTTCCACCGTCATGGGGCCCGGAGGTCCTTCGACCGGGACGAAAGTGGAACCAACGCCCGGGACGGGCCTCGTTGCCCTAAGGTAGCCTGGATTGTTAGCGGCTCGGCTGTGGGGACGGACGGCGAACGTGCCCGTCGAGTGGGCGGTGTCAAACGCGGTCGAGCTTTGCCGTTAACGGCAACGACGTCGGTGGTTGGATGCCTGGATGGGATGGGATGATGGCACGAATGCGAGCATGTACGACGCAGAGTGATGCACGGGGTAGGTGAAGGACAAGAATGCGTGATGGCGGCTGACGGCCGGGCGATGATGGAATACGCAGACGACTCCCTGCGAGCCCAACGGGGTCAGAACGATGCCCAAGGAAATCGAGAAGCGCCGCTGCTGGCGCAGTGGTGCGTGGCCGAGAGGCAGCCGTCGCGCGCGACAGCCTCACTGCTGACTGACTGCCCCCATCAACTACCTACCTATTCCACCACCACGTTCAGTCCATGTTCGTTAGCCTCCCGCCGCCTCGTCCGTGGGCTGCACTCATGCCTGATCAGAGGCTAGTGACGTGTGAGAGCGAGAGTGAACGGTATGCAGGGTTCGAGGCGGGGTGATGCCGGCCGCTTTGCCTTTCATTTTCTTGAAGGGGGTGCGGTCGAAACGGCTCCCGAGATTGGATTGGGCGGCGGGGGAGAGCGAGGCGATGCGCTGGCGCGATTGGGCTCGCAGCGTCCCCCATCCCACGTTGCCCAATGGATGCTTCTGCTGCTGCGGTCGGCGGGATGCATCATCCACGGGTACAGCCAAAATGGACTCGGGCTGAAGGGAGCGAGAGCCACGACCGACGACCAGACGGCAACGCTTGTTAGAGGACCCGGGAGGAGACGGGACCGAGAGAGCAGGACGTCATTGCCTGGCTGGCATCGAGGACTCGCATCGAGGACTCGCAGCATGCGCTCGTGGGCGGGTTTTTTCTAAGCAGTTACTTCATACATGACATGACATGGCATGGCATGGCATGGCATGACATGACAGGAGCCGGATCGTCGTGAGCAACGGCCGGGGCAATGGCGCCTTCATCGTCATGGTCCCGCTGGGGCCTGGTCGCTAGCCTCGACGCTTCTTGCGCTCGCTCACTCATGCTTGACCAGGAGAGGGTTATTGACGCCCGATATGTTAGCAGAGGCTGTCGTTGGACGGTGAAGGAGGGAGACGGTTGGATGGGCCCGGCGAGTTGGATGCTGGGGTGGGGAGCAGCCCGGGGTGCGCGGAGACGATCGTTGTGGAGCTTGCGGAGCGGGTCGACGCGTCGCTGTCCATTTCACCTTTTCCTGGTTCAAGGATTGGTAGAGCAAAGTGATGTAATTAGGCGCGTTGCTAGATGGATCATGGTCTGAGCCGGAGCAGAGGGCCAGGCTAGGGCTGTGCTTGGGATGGCCTCAGTGACTTGCGAGGTCCTACCGCCGAATGGTGGGTCAGTATTGTTGTAATCTGATGGACACTGCACGGTACTGACCGCGGAGACGGCTCGGGTGCCCCTCGACTCCAATTGGAGAGTCCAAGCACAAAACGGCCATGATCACCAGGGCGCCTTGGTGCCTTGCCGATGGCCAAAGTTTGCTCGTCTCAGCTGCGCTGCAGCATGATGACTCTTCGGAGCTGCGTCGGGCCGCCCGCCAGACGAGCGAGCATCGCTGCAGGAGTACTCCGTCCTTGGGAGCATGCTACATGCGTCGGCGTGCAATCTTGGTCTGTGCCTCGGGTACTCACACCCCGTTGGTCACGTACACCTGCTCGAGGTTCGGCACATCACCGCTACGGTTCTTCCCGCATCAACCAGCCACCCCCCCCAAGGGGGATCTGAGACGGGCGCTAACAGCGCTGTGCCGTCCAGTAACTTACTCGCGGAGACGAGTCGAACCACGGGCAGCCTTAAGGGCACCTCGACACATCAACAATAGGGACTGCATTGTCCTCGTCACGATCCTCCTCCTCCTCCTCCCCTGCTGCTGCCTGCTCTTCTTCACCAGCCTGTCTCTCGTCCACATCCCATCTTCATCCGCCTCTTTTTGTATCAGTGCCCAGTGCACCAGAAAATTCCCTCTTTTATTCATCCCTCCCTGCCTTCCTCCATCCATTGCCCCCACCTCGCCTCCCTTTCTCCCCGCCGCCGCCCTACACCGAATTCTCGTCCAGCGCCGCCGCTCTGTGTCCATCATCGTCGATAAAAAGGCCCCTCGTCCATCAGATGCTGCCGCCCTTGTCGCTCCCGCGCCGGTCTCGCACCTGTCGGCCCCGTTGCACCACTCAGACGAGACAGCCAGCCGCCGCCGCCTAATCCCGAACACGAAGACAGCCTCACCTCACCTCACCCACGCTCACCCCACCATCACCCCTGGTTCCCTTTTCTTCCACGCTCTCCGCCATAGCCATCCCTTTCCCCCTCTCTTCGCCTGTCTTTCTCTCACGCTGTGTTTCCGGGTACGTGTGTCACTCCTGCGATAAAGAAGAAGAAGAAGACGACGACGACTGCACGCTGGCCTAAAAGGGGACCTCGATACTGCTCATGGCCGCTGTATGCCGGCACCCATCCCCTCTGCTTCGTCCCCCATCCCTCAAATCCTCTTCTTCTCCCTCGTCTGCCTGCACTTCTGACCTTCCACCCTGCGTACCCAGTTTGTACAAGTGACATTGCCATTGCTGCAGAGGCTGTATGCGCTCACGTACCTACACCATACATGAACCCCCCGAGACACGTTCCCAGCCACGCTTCCTACGCCGTGATCGGGTCCTCCATCAGAATCGAGCGCTGAGTGCACTCTGCGAGCATCTGGTCAGCTTTGGAATTGCCATTGGCTGCTTCAGGTGTTCGCCTTGCCGCCAGAGCTCCGTTTTGCCCTCCAACATGGCTCTTCCAGAGGGGACCGAGCCTGAGCCGCCGTCCGCGAGGCCTGCCATTTGGCGCAGGATCCTGGGCAAGCCAAGCCTTCCGCCGCCATCTGTTCCTACACAGCTGCCGCGGAGCTATCGTCTTGAGCCCGAGGAGCCGGTGCCGCCTCCCTCCGCGGCGCACGTGGCTAGAAAGGTCGTTACCGGCCTTCCTCGGTCTCAGACATTCAAGAGGCAACAGTCTGAGCAGAGGATGCACTTGGCGCCCGTCACGCCCTCGGCAGACGAGCGAAGAGCCTGTTCGGTCGACAGGCGTGCAAGCAGTCTACATAAGCAAGCAGGATCCCAATCAAACGCCGATCCTCGTGCCAGCGCCCCCGTCGTCCTCGGCTCTGCCCACGACCAGACCGATTCTCAATCGCTGCGCTCCGTGCCTGCCAGTCAGGTCTATGAAGGACCGGACGACCAGTCGCTAGACCAAATGTCTGATCACCTGTCAAGCCTAGGGGAGCAGAATTCAGGTCTGGACCTGGAGGCAGTGGCAGAGACGCAGTCCATGACGACCTCGCAGCATGAAGCCATAATCAATGACGAGCTAGAGAGGACGTGGATCCTAAACCTCAGCATGCACTTTCGAGACCGTTCAAAACGAGAAAAATTCTTCGTCACGTATCGCGAAAAGGATCAATTCTGGCGCCGAGTCACCATTTCTCTCGACTACCGCTTTGCCCCGCCCAATTCTCTTGAGATGGACCTTATGCACACCCAGTATCAGCGGGAAAAGAGCGCCAGGATCTACGAAGCCATCCGCGAAAGCCTCCCTGACATCAAGTTTTACGACACTGTCACCAACCTGAAGCTCGAGACTACGGATGGTCGACTCCATGTTCACGTCGTCGAAGACGGCAATGTGAGTCGAGGACTAATCTCTCACCTCTAGTCTACTTTCCTCTTTCCCCTTACCCTTGTGTCTTGGGACCTCGCACTTCATAGACTTAGAGTCGCGCTTGATTGCTGACGCAGGTCCAGGAAATCATCAACTATCCTCGTGTCAGTCAGGTTCGGCACTTGGGCTGTAGACGGATCCGGGAACGCGATATTGTCTTTGACTCACACATGTCGGGTTTCGTGTACAAAGTTTGCGTTAACGGCCACGGGCTTATCAAGAAGGAGATTCCAAGCCAGGACACGATTGACGAATTCTTATACGAAGTCAACGCCCTCAACAACCTGCGGTATTCCCGCGACGTCGTCAACTTCTATGGCGTCGTGGTTGACGACTGCGACGAGTACATCAAAGGCTTGCTCATAAGTTACGCGTCTCAAGGTGCCGTGATTGACATCATTTATGAGCATTGCAAAGAAAACAAGCGTGGCCTCCCGTGGGCTAGCAAGGCAAAGTGGGCACGACAAATCGTCCAGGGATTGGCGGATATCCACGACTCTGGTTTCGTTCAAGGCGACTTCACCCTCTCCAACATTGTCATTGACGACGCCGGCGACGCAAAGATTATAGACATCAACAGGCGGGGCTGCCCTGTGGGCTGGGAGCCTCCCGAGGCGACGGCCCTGCTTGAGGCGGGCCACCGCATCACCATGTACATTGGCGTCAAGTCCGATCTCTATCAACTGGGCATGGTGCTTTGGGGCCTTGCGGTGGAGGAGGACGAGCCGGAAATCCACGGACGACCGCTCATGCTCGGCCCCGAAGTCAACGTGCCCGACTGGTATCGGCAAATAACGGAAATCTGCCTCAGCCCTGACCCGAGAATGCGCCTGCAGGCATCCTCGCTTCTTCAATTCTTCCCCCCCGACGCTGCTGATGACGGGGGAGTGTACGCCAAGGCTCATGCTATCTCGGTCGATGACGGGCACTCGCTCAACCAGTATTTCATCGACGGTTATCGCACAGACGGCCGGCCACTGATTCGAACGGTCGAGCCTCTCAGTGACTGGCCTTACTCGGGCAGGACCTACGTCGACACGAGCCCGGTGCCGTACGAGCTATACTTGCCGAGCCGTGGGCGATCGCCCCCAAGCCCGCTGCCAAGCGATCTGGACCTGTGCGAGTCGTCACGAGACCCGCTAAGCAAAACATCGTGGGCTGCTAACAGGAGCGTGAGGCCGTCGTATACTGACATAGTGGAAGATGAGACCATGTCGGACAGCATATCCCAGCGCGAGGGCGAGCACAATCACCAAACGCTAACGCCGACAATGGATGACAGGACCTCTGAGGCGCAGGAAAACACTGGTGGTCGAAACACGTCGGAGACACCGGCTGCAGGTCGCGCAGATCAACCACCCTCGGCCGCCGCGTTGTTCGATCAACATGAGACGGGCGATGGAGACACAAGATCCCTGGAAGAGCCCGCGGTTGTGCAGAACGAGGAAAGCCGCCAAGCGGCGGCACCCAGAGCGACAATGCCAAGGCTTACCAGGGAGCAAACTGCCTTCATCGTGGAGCTGCCCAGGCCAAGGCTCAGCCCCGAGGCGGCCGATGTCATGCGGGAAGAGACCGAGGGTCGACAAAGGACAGCAGACAGTTGCACAGCAGATCCTGTGCGAGGTAATATTTTCCGAGAAGCGGGGGCAGAAAGCCGTTTGGCTAAACTCGTTGGTGACGCGCCCGACATGACGCAGGAGAGGTCAGGCGACGATGAAGCCCCATGGGCAGAGGCGGCGACGGGCGCCGATAGGCCGCCATGGAAGCCACAATCGCAGCTGGCCGCTGTCGAGGACGGCGATGTCGCAACAGGAGGTCTGGGGTACGAGCCAGAGTACGTGGCTGCACAGGCGCCCAGGAGCACAGATGTGGGCGTCGAGTCATATGATGATGGCAGAAAGGAAGAGCCATGGTCGATTGATCGTGCGGCCCCCCGGTCGGGGAACGCACCGTACGCAGCCACGGATCGCTCGGCCTTGATGGGCAATGGCTTCTCAGAGTACCCCCGGCAGATGGCGCTGCCCGTGTCGTTGACGGGGGTGGGGGCGGCGCACATGGGCATCGACGACGAGCTAATGCGAGAGAAGGGCATTATTGACGACGACTTTGGAGCGATGGTGCGGCCGACGTTGGCAGGGCGTTTGATGACGACAGAATCATCGCCGTGAGGGGCAGATGGGAGAACAGACGACAGATTTCCTGCCCTCGGCTGCGGCCCGTGTATTTGTAGAGAGACTTGGCAAGCGATGGCGATTGGGCCTCGGCCATGTTTTCGTAGCAGCTTTGGATTTGGACGACTCTGGCATACGGATTTGATGACGGTTGGATGATTTGATTCATGACTTTGACGTATAGTGGACAGGACGAATTGACGTACAATATGAATACGGTGCTGCTGTAACTTCTTGTAGGTCTGAGTGTGATGGCCGCTTTTGCCAGTCATGGCTGGACACGAGCAATACTGCACAGAACAGGGACAGAGACACTCGGGCCAATGGCGCTGGTTGCCGCCAAAAGAAAGAAAAAGGGGGTTCTAGAAGGACGCTTCTGGAGCCGAAGATGGTGTGGGGCTCCTTCCGCGCCCTTTGGGTGTGGCAAATGCCAAGGTTTTCTGTTGGGGCGGTCCAAGTGGGGTTTCCCTTGCCCGGGCGGTGGTGACTGTACATGTACTGTACGAATACGGATACAGATGGGTATATACCGCCCTTTTATCAGGCGGCGAGGATGGGGCGGAGTTTTCTGGTCAGTCGGAACTTGCATTGCAACGGTGGCATGTTTACGGGGCATGAAGTGGCATGACGACAGGGCCATTGTTGGTGTCATGATTGGTGGAGACTGCAATGTTGAAGCAGTTAAAGAAGAAGGGGTGGATGGAGAGAGATCTGGCATTGTCTGGATCAGTCAGTATCGAGTGTGTATGTACAGTACTTTGACCGCAAGCTGCCCATCACGTCTCCGGTGCCGCAACGGGTTGCCGTCGCTTGTCTGACGTATTCGTAGTTGCGCCATGGAGAAGCGTTGATCAACGGTCGACCACGGATGTAAGTGGAGCAAGAGGACAGCGGAAGAGTGGTTTTCCTCTTCTCCAAAGCTAGCTAATACTGTACACTTACTCGGTCAATGGACGGTGAGGCCTGTGCAGAAAGACTGTCCAGCCTCCAATCACGGAACGCAGATTGCGCAAAGCCATGACGGCAGCGGATAGACCGGCGACGCCCCGGGCGTTCGGGACAGTGGGTCCCGCCGGCATAAGGGAGTGATGGCGCCTTTTGTGCGAAGTAGCGGCCCAAGGGAAAAAAAAAGTTGTTGGGGAAGGATGGCGACTAGAAGGGATGAAAAAAAAAAGGTTGAGCCACGCCAACGTCCGAGTTAGGCAGGCCTCTAGTGTGCATGTAACCCCCCGCTGCACACTCGCGTATCGCCGTAGCTCCGTTTAAGAGACGACCGTATACTGTGTATACTGTGCTGGTGCCTTGTTGCGTACATACAGTAATTACGCGTCTTCTCGAAGCTGTGAATCATGTGAAGAATGGACCAGGTGCTTCATCACACTGACTATCATGTGCGTTTTGCCCAAAGCCGAGGCCGTGCCTGGGTGCCTGCTTGAATGCTTGGGTACGCGTCATGAAGCTGTGTTTTGATTTTGTTGAAAGACACGGCCATTGTGTGCATTGCACAAGTCCCGAGCATAGGCGGAGGTTCTGCAAGGTACAGCGTCACCTCGTGGGGGGGAGCTCTGGTTCAAGCTGCATGATGTACTCTGAGCAAGTAGGTAGGTAGGTACTGTACCTACCTCGTACCGTCAACCGCTCGGGATCGAGCCTCGACAGCGGACAACAGCTTCCAAATAACAAAGAGGCCATTCTCGTCAAGGGTGAGAGTCAAATTCATCACGATACATCGGGGGCAAAAAGGAAAAATTGAAAACGGACCCGGGAATCCACAGGCCCCTTCCGCCGCAATCGTGGAGAAGTCACTCCTGCAGGGCCCGGCAGGGTAGGCAGGCAAGTACCGACTCACTCTCTGCGCGCGCTTCAACTCTTTGGCCCGCCTCCGCCCCAACCAACAGCATTCCCCATACTTTTTCTCTCTCGTCCCCCTTCCACTTGCACGCCTCTCATTACTCTCCCTCCCTTCCTGTTTTCTCTTTATTATTCGCTCTTCCTCTTCTCCTTCTCTTGTCCCCCCCCCCCTCTCTCTTCATCTCCTCCTCATCCTCCTCATCCTCCTCATCCTCCTCCCAACACCCTGCCGCCCCGGTCCGAATCGCCATCGCTCGTCCAACTTCCAACACAGAGAGAGAGGCAGGCTTCCTCCCGTCACCGCCTCAACATGTCGGGAGCCCCGTCCTCGGCCGTCAAGGCCCAGGCCAAAGCCCAAGACCACAAGCCTCTTCGCTCGGCCAAGCATGACGTCGCCAAGGTCCATATCGCAGACACCCCCATAACCTGGTCCAGCTGGCACAAGCACGTCAACTGGCTCAACACGACGCTCATCGTCTTCATCCCCATCCTGGGCTTCATCTCGGCATACTGGGTTCCCCTCCACCTTTACACCGCCATCTTCGCCGTCATCTACTACTTCCACACCGGCCTCGGCATCACTGCCGGTGAGTGCTTTCCCCTGGCCTCAACGTTAGCCCAATCCACGCAGAGCTGCTCCCTGGCAAGCTGGGTTTGCCCGTGATGAACCAACCGGTTACCCCGATCATGACAACTGATTCGCTTACTCCAGGCTACCATCGCCTATGGGCTCACACCTCCTTCAAGGCCACACTTCCCCTAAAGATTTACCTGGCCGCGGTCGGCGCTGGCGCCGTCGAAGGTTCCATCCGCTGGTGGTCCCGGGAGCACCGCGCCCACCACCGCTACACCGACACCGAGAAGGACCCCTACTCGGTCCGCAAGGGTCTGCTCTACTCCCATCTCGGCTGGATGGTCTTCAAGCAGAACCCCAAGCGCGCCGGTCGCACCGACATCACCGACCTCAACGAGGACCCCGTCGTCGTCTGGCAGCACCGCAACTATCTCAAGTCGGTCATGTTCATGGCCCTCGCCTTTCCCACCCTCGTCTGCGGTCTGTGCTGGGGCGATTGGCTCGGCGGCTTCGTCTACGCCGGCATTCTTCGCATCTGCTTTGTCCAGCAGGCCACGTTTTGCGTCAACTCGCTGGCCCACTGGCTCGGTGATCAGCCCTTTGACGACCGCAACTCGCCTCGCGACCACGTCATCACGGCTCTTGTCACCCTCGGTGAGGGCTACCACAACTTCCACCACGAGTTCCCCTCGGACTACCGAAATGCCATCGAGTGGTATCAGTACGACCCGACCAAGTGGTCCATCTGCCTGTGGAAGTGGCTCGGCCTCGCCTACGACCTCAAGCAGTTCCGCGCCAACGAGATCGAGAAGGGCCGCGTGCAGCAGATGCAGAAGAAGCTCGACCAGAAGCGCTCCACCCTCGACTGGGGTACCCCCCTGGAACAGCTCCCCGTCATCAGCTGGGACGACTTTGTCGACGGTGCAAAGAATGGCAAGGCCCTCGTCGCCATTGCCGGTGTCATTCATGACGTGACCGACTTCATCAAGGATCACCCCGGTGGCAAGGCTCTCATCTCCTCTGCCGTCGGAAAGGACGCCACGGCCATCTTCAACGGCGGCGTGTACAACCACTCAAACGCCGCTCACAACCTCTTGTCCACGATGCGTGTCGGCGTTCTCCGCGGCGGTTGCGAGGTGGAGATTTGGAAGCGCGCTCAGTTCGAGAACAAGGATGTCACATACATGAACGACTCGGCCGGCCAGCGGATCGTCCGCGCTGGTGCCCAAGTCACCAAGATGATGCAGCCCGTGGCCAGCGCGGACGCCGCTTGATGGACAGTGTTATGCTTCGTTATGAATGAGCACGTCTTTTTTGTTTGATTTGGTAGTCTTGCGGGCTGCTCACGGGTGAAGGTGTAATGACGAAGGGGGCTAGCAGGACTGGCGCTGCGGGGGTTTGACGGTCCATCTCCGCACCCCAGACAGTCCAGCCTGAACAGAGCCTTACCCCTCGAACGCGCGGCTGGATGAGCTCACCAACCGCGAAAATGACACGGACGGCGTTGCAGGCGGAGTTTGGCTCTTTACTCAACATCAATGTCGAGAGGGTACATTGGGGATTCAGAAAAGTATAACCTAGCGCAGGACTCGAAAGGGGCAAGTAAATAACACGATAAATAACACGATACACGTGGCATACATGATGGCACCTTGAATTCCGCGCACCAAATGACTTGTGCAGTCACGAACAACATATTTAATTACGTTGGTACAAATACGTATGACTCGGACGTGTCCACTGAGTGAATGACGTCTTGTGCTGTCGGCCGATGGTGCGCCTCGCAGAAGGCACGCCGTCTTTCGATGTGGTGATGTTCACCACGCCTGGCTCTCTTAGAGCTGTGAACTCGGTGAGGAGATGAGCCACGTTGCCGTGTAATCTGGAGATAGCGACAATGTTGCGTAGCTCTCTGCGTTCTAACCTGACCCCAGCATGTCTCTCTTGGCTTGCTTGTTTCCTGCAGCGGGAGGCATTCTCGGGCGAACGGTGTGGTGGTATAGAGCAGCAGGGCAGTGACGGGACCTTGCAGCTGGGCCGGCATGCCAGTCAAATGCTCCTCAGCTGTCTGCAGTCTTCGCTCTCCCCAAGCGCCGCGATGGAGAGTCTCCTCGGCCTCGCTGGTCCTTGCTTTACCCATTTGCCTCCCAAGCATCTGCGGCCCGGCTGCCCCGGGGTCGCAAAGGGGAGAGAAGGAGAGTGGAATGCTCCTTCAAGGCACAGCCATCCTGGCCTTCATCATGACCAGCTCGGAACTCTTGGCCCAGGCACCGTCGGGCATCGGGCGATAGCACAGCAGGCGGCCGTCGTCGCCGGTGCTGCCGAGGATCTGGCCGTCGTCGTCGAAGCCGATGCGCCAGACGGGCGTCCGGTGACTGTCGAGGCGCGACACCTCGCGGAAGGTGTGCTTGACCTGACCGGGCTGGCCGGACCAATGGCGTTCGCCCTGGGCGCCCGACTTTGCCAGGCTGGCGCTCAGCGTGGACGGGTGTGAGGGGTGCTGGTGGGCGTCGGCCTCGTCCTTGGTGAGCGACTCCTTGGGGCCGTGGCCGGCGGGCTTGAGGAGGTCGGCCGAGGACCACGACTTGCCGTCGGCGTCGGAATAGGGCGTCTCGAGGCGGAAGACGCGGGCGTAGCCGTCCTGGCAGGCGGTGGCGATGACGTCGTAGCCGCGTATGTTGCCGGGCGCCCAGGCGACGTCGCGGACCAGGCCACGGTGGCCGGGGATCTCGGCGGCGAGGTAAAACTCCTTTTGCGTCTGCGAGACGCCGTACGAGGTGGTGATGACGTCGCGCGAGCGGTAAATCCTGACGGCGTCCATGGCGGCGACGACGAAGCCGAGGGCGTCCGAGGGCACGCCGGCGCGCAGGGCGGTGTAGCACGGCTCCGGGTTGGGGTCGAAGCGGACCTTGAAGGAGACCTCCTCGCCGCGGCTGGGGCGGGGGCAGACGGCAAAGTCGTCGATGGACGTGTACTCGGACAGGTTCTCGGGCTGGTCGTTTTCAAAGACGGTGAGGCGGCCATCGGTGGCGAGCAGGGCCAGATAGGTGTGGCGCGTCTCCTCGTTGTGCTTCATGGAGAAGGAGCGGTAGGGAGCGCGGGTGGAGCGGGTGTCGAAGGCCGGGCGGCCGCTGACGGAGCGGCCGGCGCAGAAGCGGCGGCCGGGGGCGGCGGAGGGGTCTTCGGCCCACAGGCGGAACCAGCCCTCCATGCCAAGCGAGGCGACGAGGTTGGGGTAGATGGTGGCGGGCAGCCATTGCAGCTATGTGTATGAATCGGCGTCAGCGGCGACTTCGGATGGATGACGAGGGCCGCCCGGGGCTACCTCGAGCACCTCGCCGCCGTGGGCGGTCCAGGTGTCGCACATGCGCCACGTGGCATCCTTGTGCCGGTTGAAGACTCGAATCTTGCCGTCGACGGTGCCCGTGGCGCAGCGGTCGCCGTAGGTGTTGAAGGCGACGGCCTGGACGAGGTCCTTGTGGCCGTGCTGCAGGTTGAGGTCGAAGGACTGCTTGTCGGCGCCGAGGGAGTAGTGCGCAGCGAATGCCGCGCTGGCGGGGGGGGCGGCCATTGTGGTTCCTATCGCGACGAGGGTTGAGCTTTGGGGGGGAGAGGGGGAGAGAGAGAGAGAGAGGCTGAGCTCGGGTGACGATGGACGTTGAAAGTGGGGAGCTCCGTTGCCCGACCAAGGTAGGGGACACGGACCAGCTGTGTGTATACATACAGTAAGTGTACTGTACATGGAAATACATAAAAGTACATAAAAACACAGCTACGCCAGGCAAAATAGGGGCACCCCCGTGAGGGGCCTTCTTATCGCATTACAGGATACGCTTTTCTCTGCTCTGACTGTAGGGACAACCCGTGGGCTTAACACACCCGGGTGCTGTCGGAACGGTTGTTCTGCATTCAGTGCCTCCTGCGGCATGCCTGTCGCCCTCGGATGCTTCCATCAACATTATCTTCCTCTCCGTAGGCGTACCCTGCAGCGTCAAGCCCAAACGTTACTCCCTAATACATGTACGCTGGTCCGTAACAATACCAGCGCCATTGAGCTCGACGAAGAGACAGTCAGGAGCTGTTCATACGTATCCTAGGGCGTAGTCTATAAGGTCGGCTCCCGAGGATTTCAGGACATGGTGCGAATCGGCAAGACGCAGGTGCCGCTCTTGCTCCCCCGGACTTGTCATGTGAAGACCAATCTCGTCAACATTTGCCGAAACATCGACGACACGATTCGGGAGAGGGCTTCGCTTCGGGATATCGCAGCAAGAGGCAGGGTCCTCGTTACAGGTTCTCACCCATTCTCTAGCCCCGAGCAAGCTTGTCTTGGGTCCAGGAGAGGAATTAGGCGGCTGTGACAGAAGATGTTTTGAGGCCGGATTGTCTAGCTGTGGCAAAGGAAAACACGTCTTAGATACTCAGTTCGACATGGCAGGAACATATCTTACCAGCTTCGAATCAGAGGCACGGGGGTCATGATGTCTACGTATATCCACGGCGGACTGTTCAGCTGGGCGTGGGTATCTGCAGATACGATCTGGACGTTAAGCGTCTCATCCTATCCAGTTAGGTCCCTCTAGAATCGTGGGAAATTGCGGATAAAGCAGACACCGCCCCTAGATTTTCTTTTTTACAGGTTAATGATGGAAAGCGCTGTCGGGCCCACCGAATCGGGCGGGAACGTGCCGTCGCCTTCGGTGGGCTCAACAGTGAGGGACAGGCACTGCCCACTAAGTATAGTGTACTTGCCTGGAGCGCGTCTGCATGCCTATCCAACTAAGACGCAACTGGCCAGGGTTCATCCACATGACAGCCCGTTGCCTTAGCCCACCCTCTAGACTCACCCCGTCTGCCTTCGACTCCCTATCTTGTAAGTGGAAGACAGGAGTCCGTTTTCTACCACTACTAAAATAGACGTCAACGGAGCTAATATACGCAATAGGCTAGCATTAAAAGCCAGCCGCTCCGCTCGCCCTCTCCTAGCCTCTAACTAATTTCTTTCCTTATATTACTCCCACTACCAGTCACCACCACGTTCCACGCTTTGCTAAAGCCTCGTCGGAGCCGACTATGGCCCGTATAGTCGGTGCTAAGCAACGAAATAGTAGGCATACTATATATTATGCCGACTTCCTTTAAAAATTTGCTTAATACGAGAAAGAAATATAAACGATTATAAAGCTATCTTCTCTTAACGCTAGATAGCGTGCCGCCCTTTATAAGTAACTCTAAGATATATACTTTCTTAAGCTAGATTACGCTAATAGGACTAAGATTAATATTATATAGATATTAAGGAAGTAGAAAATATATAGACCCCTTAGCGATAAAAAAGTTTTTATCTATTAATATATACTTAGATACTATAAAGCTATTAAAAGCGGCCCTTAGAGGTAATTAAAAGACTTAATCGACTAATAGCGATAGATTTCCTTAACAATCTTTATAAAAGATAGAAGATTATATCTAAAGGTACTTTATAAGAGTATTAGCGTTAGTATAAGTAGCTCTATAGTAGCGTAATAGGTCGATATTTTAATAGAAATTATAATAAGGAGGTTTAAAAGGTATATTTAGCTTATATTCTTATAGCTATTAGCGGAGTTTTAATAAAAGCGACGTTTCTATAGTAGCACGATACCGTTTTAGTTCCTAAGTAAAAGCTTCGACCTCTTAATATCGATAGGAAGCTAGTCCTTAGGACCGATAACCTCTTAGTACTATAGACCTTTAATATCGCGTACGATAAAAGCGTCTTCCCTTCTAAGTAATACCGTATCTAACTCTTAGGCTAATACCTACTCCTAGCGTTTACTAGCGACCGACCTACTAAGATTATAGATAATAAGAAAAGGAGGCCGAAAGATAGAATATATAAGGATCTCTATAGTCTAAAGAGTATTAGAATTAAAGACTTAGCCTATAATTTAAATTAGCCTATTAATAATAACTCTCGCTTACTTAAGAATATATTATACTAAGAGACTATAGCTCGCGGACGACTAAAAGCTCTTTACTATAAATATATATACTTATTAGTAGTATACTATCCGTAAACGGGTATAGACGTTCTAACTATAGCGGTTAAGTTTATTTATTATAAAGGAGTTAATCGTAAGCCTAAGCTATCTATTACTCTTTATATCTCTTAAGGCCTAGCTCTATCCGCTAATACTATATAGGACTATCTTCTTCTTTACTAGTATAAGAAGACTTATATTTTATATTATTACTATTATTATTAGCCTTAATATTAGCGATTAGGCTTTTAATACGCTAAGCCTAATTACTAGAGCGAGTGTTTTTTAGCTCTAAAACCGCGGATTAAGTATATACACGCTTCTTATTAGAAAAAAGAGTAGTAAAAATAACATATATTTTATAGGTTTAATAGCTTAGCTATTTTAAAAGAGAAGCCTTTATTATATTATAAGCTAAATAATAATATAAAGCGATAGACTCTTAACGCTAGGTTTTAAAAAGCGCTAAAGCTAAAGGCATTTTATAGAGGAGCCGCTAACGCGGCAGATAGTACGTTTTCTATTACGGGACACCCTATAGTCGATAATATAAGTACCTATAACGATATTAGCTTCTCTTAAGGAAGTTACCCTTAACTCCTTAAGGCTCCTTATAGAAGAAGGAACCTAGAAGCTACTAAGTAAACTCTAGGAAATTACCTAGAAATCCTAGAAACGATAACTAAGCGGATTATATAGATATTTTATAGAGATTTCCCTTAGGGATATATTATATAGGGAATATACTACGATTTCCTAAGTAATAATAGCTCCTTAAGAATTATACTAATATTTCCCTAAGAAGTTACTATAAGAATATAGTAGGGAAATTATAAAGAAATACTTATGCCTACCTAAGGAAAATACTAGGAAATACTATTAATATACTATACTACTATTATATAATTATAAGGTTAAGATATTACTTAGTTAAAGCCCTAAGTAAGGTCTTATACTTATTATAGTATATATAAAAGATAGAGAACCTACTAGATCTTAAGCGGGTAAAGAAGAATATAGATAGTTATTACTACTCTTACTTTAACTTATAAGACTAGTAGCTAGTCTATATTTAACGTATATAATAATATATAATAGCTAGTCTATATAATATATTTTATTATATATAGTAGCTAGTCTATTTAATTACTTATTAGACTTATACCGGATCTAGGTAAGCGGCTAAGTTAAAGTACTAGCCCTATACTAAGGGACTAGTACTTAATAAATAGTAGTAATTTTAATTCCCTTAACTATCTATTCTCCTAAGGTCTATATTTAGTAGAATAAAAGATAAAGAATAAGAAAAGGGATAAGTTAACCTTAACCTATAAACCTTAATATATTCTTATAAAGAAAGCTCTTACTTATATACTAATAAATACTAGCTTCTTAATCTCTTTTTATAGAAGAAATACTTAGGGAACTCTAGATAAAGGTAGAACTTTAATATATTAAAGCTTAAGTAATATAGAGCTTTTATTAGCGGTTAGAAAGATACCTATTTCTAGGATATTTCCTATTAAGTTCTTATAAAAATAAAAGATAGCTAGATCGCTTACCTAAGTAATAGGAATAACGCTTAAAGGAATTAAGAGCGGAACTTCTATAATACGACTTACTAGCTTACTTAGCTAATCGTTAAGGCCTATAAGAACGAATTAATAACTTAAAATATATTCTAGTAATAAGGTAATATTAGCTATAAATAATAGAGCTATATAGAAATCGGTATAGTATAGCCTCCCTTACCTTACCCTAACTACCTTTATTAGAAGGATAAAGCCCTAGAAGTTTGCTAAACCCTAATAACTAAAATAAAAAAGAACCTTTAAATAATACTACCTTTTATAGCACGTTCGCGATAATAACCCTAGTAAACTAGCTAGTAAGCCTAATTATAGAAGAAGCTCTTATAAGACTACTAGTAAAAGCTATAGTAAGAGAAACTAAGGATAATACTACTATAAACCCTTTTTAAGCACCCTTAGTATATATTAAACTAAAAGATATAAGGAAGTTTAACCTTACTAGCCCCTTTAATATAATATTTAATATTCTTAAAGAAACTAAGAAAATAATTATATATAGAAGTATCGATTAATTTATCGATTCCTTAAAGTAGGTAGCTATTTATAGACTAAAATATACTAATAAACTAGCGATATTAATCCTTAGCTTATTCTATAGAACTACTATTAAATAGTATTCTAGCGATCTAAGCGAATCCGACTAAGCTATACTTTATACCCTAGACTAAGGATATACCGCTTAGTATACTAAACTATAAAAACGCTTTACTATTTAGCTAAAAGTAGCGTTAAGATCTTTATAAATAAAACGATTTACTACCTTAGATATTATAAACGGAGCTAACTTCTATAAATAAATATTAAAGCTCTACTAAAAAGTAAAAGTAGTACTATACTTAAAAGAGCACCTTATTATATTAGTCTATTAACGACTAGATATACTATTATAAGAATTATTCCGCTAACTTATTAGTTTAAAATTATTCGATACCTAGATTAATAACTATAAGTAACTT